AAAAAGATGCAAACCTGAGTGACTTTGACCAGAAAGAAAAGAAACGAATTACTACGCCGGTTGGAGAGAGTAGCAGGGTGGTGTTGGTGTGTATGACAGCAAAATGAGAAAAAAGGTGTTCAGATTGAGAGAGGATAAATATGATCAGAAGGGAACGAATATGAAGGGTGGTAAAGAGTGCAGGGGATGAGAACGGCAGAAGCAGCGCAAGCAATCTAGAATGATATTTCTGTAAAGTGACGTGCTTGAAGGGGTATTGGCACTTTGCATAAAGTGGAACTCACCGTTTTCCCTTGTACAAGCATATACCTCCGAACGGGTACGCCATTAACGCGTCTCAGCACGCAGTGTTGGCGAAAGAACCAGAAAGCACAGGACACAAGAAGAGCTCCTTTAATGCTATCTTGATTTTTTTTTTAATTTTAAAGAGTGGGCCCCGGCTCTGTGTGGCTGCGTGTGGGCTTATTTTTTCAAATTGCAGGGGTGGGAGGCGGCTGGTGAACTGCGGAGAACAGCGACCACTTAACAGCAACATGAATATAAATATAAACGCCTTAACCGAACAATTAGGTAGCGCCTTCTCACCCCCACACGGCACTCATCTCCTTTCAGGTCTCTGTCTTCGGGCACCAGTTAGCGGAACATCTTGGAGAACATCTGCTTCTGCGCCTTCGTGACTTCCGCCTCGCCGGTGGCGATGGTGGTGCGCATCGCACCGACGTCCTCTTCACCTCCCCCGAGCTTTTCGTAGGCTGCGCATGCCTCCGCAGCGGCTTTAAACTCTTGTGCCCCACACAGCGCATACGTGAGGCGATAGTAGGCCTTCAGGGAGCTTGGATCGAGGGCAACGGCGGTCCGCGCGTCCACCACCGCATCCGAGCACTTCTTCAGCCGAGTGAGACAGAGACAGCGATTCAGCAGAGCGGAGAGGCGCAGCTGGGTTGCGGCTGCCTCGTCAGGCAGCAGATCACGTCGGCCCTCTGTCAAGTCAATCGCCATGCTGTAGGCCTGCACTGCCGCCTGAAGATCACCCGCGGCAAACAGTTTATTGCCGTCCTCTTTGGCCTGCTGCGCCTTCTCGTAGTTCTCGGGGCTGATCGTCTTCGTCTCCGCCTCGCGCAGCATCGCCGCTTGTGCCATTTGTGCCTGGTTAGACGGGTCGTAGGAGACCTGCGATGGGTGCGCGAGGAGCTCGTCGTAGCGCGTCAGAGGGCAGTCGACGCGGCCCCACTCCTCCAGGGCGGGGTCGTCGTGGTTCGACAAGAGAAACGCGTCGCCGCGGATGTCGCGCTGGGCCAGTTTGCTCGCCCGGTAGTTCAGCGGCAAGTCCTTGAAGGCACCGCTGTCGTCGATGTAGAGCGACGTGCCGATGTAGCCGGTGGTGCGCATCGGCATGGTGACGGGGATGATCTCGTAGGAGGCCTGGTCGAGGTAGTGCTCAATCATCGCCGCCTGCTGCTTCTCCGACGCCTCCGTCGACCCCTCAGCTGCACCGCCGTTGACGGCGTGCTTCTTGGCGCTTTCGCTGGCCTTCGCAACAAGGTGGCGGCCCATGTCTGTCTTCTGGTCCTCGGAGAGCAGAGAGCGACGGAAGTACCGTGTCAAGGTGCCACAGAGTTCCTCCTCGCTGTTGCCGTTGAAGCGCAGCTCTTGCACCGGCTCTTGAGCGTCGTGCGGAATGCGCAAGTACGTGAACGGCTTCACGACGGGCTGTGACGTGCTGCTCATTGTTTCTTTTTTTAAAAGCTAGGATTAGGTATGCTTAAGATAAGAGGACCCAGTTTTATTTTCCCCTTTTCGCGTAGCGTGTGGTGCGCCAACGTTCAATTCAAAACGTTGACAACGTGTGTTTGTGTGCGTGTGTGTGCGGGCGTGCTTATTATTTCCTTCGAGTTCGTTCCACCGAAGGAATGGTCAGCAGAATGTTGACGTTGCTTTCAAAGAAAAGGTGGAGGATTGAGAGGGAGAGAGAGAGGAGCAGTATGGAAATGTGGATTGACAAGAGCAAGCAACTACTCAGCATATCGCGGCTCGGCAAGCAAAGGCAGCTGCGTTCTCCAAAGCACGTTACAGAAGCAGACCAGCAAGAGGATTCTTTTGTTTCCGGTGAGCGCTCTCCATGACGTGATGTTTACTGTGTTTGTGGCTACGAGGGCCTCTTCACCTCTACCAGGCTGCTTCTTCACTTTTTCTGCCAACTTTCGGCAGGGCGAGGCAGACAATTATAGAGAAATCTAAAGAAAAAAACGTCTACGCTCAACGGAGAAAACAACTCGTACGCGCTGTGGCACGTTGGCGGTATCCATTTGAAATAAACGATGCACCTGCTGATGAGCAGTGTATGGATGCAGCGTCTCTATTACCCGATAACTGTCTTCCTCTTCACGCTGTGCAGCTTCGGACTCTACCGCGTCGCCATCAACAAGCGCGCGACCGCGTCCACCGCTTGCGCCGTCTCCATCTCCACCGCCGTCACCAGTTGCCGATTGCACCGAATCACGAGACAGCACTCTGCACGACGCACCTTCTCTTTGTGAATGACGCCGCTCTGAAACGCCTGCCCGCCTGTCCATACCTCGACAACATCACCGCGCAGAATGGGGACCTCGCACACGGGGTTGAAGCTGCCATCACGCGTAGTCCTTCCTCTTCCAAGCCCGATCGAGTCGCGCAGCTGCGCCGCACCACGCACCTTTTCTAACGCAATAAAGAAACGTGCATCGCTTGGGTCTGCTGCGGAGGCGGCGGAGGTTTGAAAATGACCTCGCGATGTTACACGGCGGATCGTCAGGCGGCGCCGTCCAACACCGTTGCGTGAGGCGTGATGTTTCAGCACTGCAAACGTCTGCGTGCCGCCTTCCTCTGTCCGCTGTTTGTTGAGCAGGGCGACATCAGGGGCTGAGGATGAGGAGGACCAAGCCGGACGAGGATCAGGTGCGCTGCGGCTGCGGCGTTGCGGCGGTGGCACGCGATGCGACGCGTCACGTAAGGCTCGGCGAGGTAGGTGATGCTGCTCCTGAAGGGGCAATGCCGGCGTCTCGGCGTCATTGCGCTGCGTCGTCATCGTTAATGGCGGTGAGGGCAACCGTGCCGCTGCGTCTGCGTCTGCAGAGTTGGACCGAGAGGAATGGAGAGAAGAGGTGGAGCTGTGAAAGAGCACGCGGTTTTGCGGCGGCGGTGGCGACGGAGGCGGCGGCGGTGGCGGTGGGACCACCGTTGCTGACGTCTCCGTGAGAGGGGCGTCGGCGGCAGACGCGGAGGTCAGTGCAACACTTTCTTGCCGGTTGGTGAGTTCCATTGCGGCGGCAGCAGCAGCCGCATGTTCGCCCCAGATATTTTGCTTCGCACGCATTGAAGCTCTACGCATGATGGGATCGCGTTGCTTGGACTGCGTTGACTGAGTTTTCATGTTCTGCAGCCACGACGTGTGGATAACGGAGAGCGGCCCACTAACGGCTTCTTTGTCGTCTGCCACAGGGAACGCGGCTGACGGGGCCGCCTGTGAAGTGGACGCATTTTTCGACGCGGCGGCCGTAGAGGACGCACTCTGCCTTCGTCGCCCATTCGGTTGCCCGCACTCCGCCATTACGTGCTGAGCGTTGGCCGTTGCCGCAGTTTCCCGGTCAGGTCTCGTCCACAAATCTCTGTTTTGCGAAGGCGGCGGCGGCGGCGCTGTGCCGGTTCGCGCTGCCACACTTTCCCGGACTGTGGTGGTACGAGAAGATTGCGGCGCCGGAGCGTCCCTCCGCGACGACCTTCGAAAGCAAAGGCGTGGAACGCACGCGGACGGCGAGTTTGTGAAAGAGAGCGTCGTAGTGGAGGCGGCGGTCGGCAGAGATGGCGGAATCTGAGACACAAAACTCGATGTCTGTCCGGTGTTACTACGTGGTGGGTGCAGCTGCGGGTGAACACGTGACGATGCGTCGTGTGCAGAGGCGCTACGCCACTGAAAGAAAGACGAAGAGGCAGATGTGTCTGCGACGGCAGTCACGACCGACCGCTCTCCCGCTTGCCTCCACCCGAGAAACCTTAAGTTCGACCCAGCCTCCGAACTGGGATGCGAGGCGGTTTGCGAGGGTGGTGGTGGTGGTGGCTCTTGCAGACTCGTGTGCGTCCTACGAGTCTCCCTCCACGCCGTCGGTGGGCAGCTGGAGGAGGAGAGGGGAAGAAAGGACACGGATGCCCCACTCTGGACCGATGATGCCGCTGCAGTTGCCGAGGCTGCTGCGACGGCGGCAGAGGATTCGTGTGTCGGTGCACTGCTCGCGCGCTCGCGTGATGAGGCCCGGCTGCTGGCCGCCGACTCCGCCAGACTCGTCCTTCGACTGCTTTGCAAACTGCGCAGCTTCCACGGTGCAGTCCCTAGGAGAGAGGTGGCCTCCCACAGAACAGCGAGATTTGTTCGTGCGCTGCCAGATTCTTGGACTGTTGATGCGCTTCGCGAAGGAGACAAATTCTCTCGCCCGTAAGCATTCGGATAAGGCGGTGCTTGCTCCTCGCTGTTCTTCAAGTCAACGGACTCGCTACGTTGTCGTGGCGGTGGACTCGATGAGGAAACAGCAGACGACGGGCCTTCAGCTTGTGTTTGTCGTTCATCCGGGGTACGCAACTTACGCGCACTTGACCCAAGGTGCGACCCTTTCGCGTTCGGGTCTGTTACCAGTGAGAGCGTCTTTGCCTCAGCCTCCTCAGCTGTCAATGGCTTTGCGTCGCACGTCACGGGGGAGTGGCTCAGCGGCGTGGAGCCTGCGCCAGAGCGAGGCGAAGACAGAAGCGATCCAGAACCAGAGTCGGAGCCGGATCCTGAAGTGGAGGACAGACTGGGCGAGATACTGGGGGCGAGGACGATGGTTCGTGTCTTGCGCGGTGGCCAGGGTGCCCCTCGCAGGGGAGGGTGTAGATCATGCAATGCGTTGTCCACAACGACCTCGTCCGCTGCGCAGTGTTGTGTTGTTGAGGCCGTAGTGAGAGGGGGCGGGGGAGAGAGCCGCAGGGTCCGTTCCACACGCACCAGCTCCGCTTCACTGCTGTCGTGGTGCTGCTCTTTTCCGTCCACTTCATGGACGACTTTAATGTGCGTGTGCGAGTCGTGGTGGGCAGGCGGCCCGCCGCGATCCAAGCTTGACGACTTCTCTGCTCGAGGCTTCGTGGCCGATCGACGCGGCGGGGAGTCGAGCTCGTTCGCCGCATCACTATTTGGAATGAAAATGCGCTTCTCTGACCGACCCGGCGGCGTGCGCGGGGCCGCGTCCTCCTGCCGCACTTCGGAGCTCGAGCTGCTGGGAATGGAGACCTCCACTTCCTCCACGAAGTTGCTTTCATAGAATGCACCAGTGCTCTTATCAGCAGTGGCGGATACATTCTGAATACAGGCGTTCCTACGGCGACGCTGCAGCAACGGGAGCACCTCTGCTGCCGGACCAAGATGTTCGTACGCGAGATGAACAGCGGCAATGCGGTGAGTGTCGGAGGTGTCTGTGCATCCAGAGAAGCGCAGCTGCAAGTACAGGCGCAGCGCATTCATATCCGGCACGGTGGAGCTGCCCATGAGCGCGGCGACGTGGTACAGCGTCCGCAGCGGTATTTCCGTCGTGCATGCCTGTAGTGCGGGGTTGAACACGCTTGCCGGCACCGTCGCTTCTGAGGCGGCGTTCAGGTCCCACTCCTTCACCACAACGGGCCGCACCGAGACGCCGTCCAGTCGCTGCGCACTCGTTGCCAGGCTCACGACACAACGCACCGGAAAGCAACGCCGGTCCGTTAGCAGCGGCGAGGTGGAGAGGCGCAACGTCGCGGTGGAAATGGGAGAAAAAAAGGGAGCGCCTAAGTTGGTGATTTCGCACGTGGCAATGGTGGGCCGTGCCCGCACCGACGGATTCAACCAATACCGCAAGCCTTCTGGAGGGGGCGTAGCGGTGGTAGTGGTGGTGGTGATGGGGTGGTTGGCGTAAAAGCATGCGTCAGCGCCGGCGCCAGTGAAGTGCACCACGCACTCCAGCGCGTCAACAGAGCAGGAAGCGGAGGTGGCAAAGAGAGACGCAGACGCGCGTGCGCTGCTGACTTCTGGAAAAGGCAGCATTTCTAGCACTCACGTTTTTATTTTCTTTTTCGTACAAGTACAAGAAGCATTAAAAGAACGGGCAGGAGAAATCAGATATTCAGGGATCTATCTATCTATGAGGCGGTGTGTGCGTGTAAATGTATCTACGGGGAACAGAGACTGTAAAACAACACAACGAGAAAACGTGTAGGTCTTGCTGTCTTCTTTAAGCTAAATGTGTGTAGGCCGCTGGCAACAGAGACGGATGCGATGCGCCTACTGAAAAATTGAATCGCAGGTGTTTTTTTTTTTACTTTTTCCCGTACGTGTGCGTTTCAGCCGTACAAAGGCAGTATTGCTCCTTGGACTAATGTGGATATACCTCGCCGAGAAAACGTGGGCGTCTTCGCTCACGCACTCAGCCTGAAGTGTGCGAGGCAGCGGCGTGAGGACGCACAGCGAGCGCTTCCACAGGCCTGCCTTAAAAGAAGAAAAAAAAAAGAGAAGAGACAGATATTTTGGAAACGAGAAGTAGTTGAGAAACATGTGGTGCAAACAACATCAAGAAATTGGATTGAGTAAACGCCAAAGTGATCGTCTTCAAGAATCATACAATGGCATAATAACAATAGTAATAATAATACCATACGCGATGCCAAACAACGAGTGAAATAATGCGAAAGTGTTCCTGCGCGGTAAAAACACAAACTGAGGCATCCGAGTTCATCTGCCGGATTTGATGCCTTGGCAAGAGCGATGACAATGAAGCATCCGTCAAAAGCGTAATAGGAAGTTCCGAGTCTCGACACTTCCCGTTCTTGCTATGAATTGCACTTTAAAAGCGGTGCTGCTCACTTTCATTCTCGCGTAGAGGAATGCTCCTCGTCTCCTCCTACCAAGTAATTCAAAAGAGAAACAAGGCATTCAATGTGATCAAATGAAAAAGAGTAAAAGAGCGCTTCCCCTGTCTCCTCGCCACAGCTGCTCGCCCTCTCTCTCTCTCTTCACGTTTTGTAGCATCAGGGACGAGTTTCTCTTTTGATCAACGAAGACGATATGAAACAGCCAAATAGGAAAGGACACAACGTCAGGGGGGCTCCCTCCTTGCTCCGCACACATTGATCTCATGCGCTGAGAAACAACGAGAGAGAGAGAAGGAGTTTTACAGCGCAGTCCCTCGTTCTTTCTTCTTTCTTTTTGTGACGCAAAGCCCTCCCAAGCGTTACGGCTTCACAGGATCCTGTCCTAGGCCACTGGCCAGCTTGTACTGCGACCCGCGATGCGCAAACGATGTGCCGATGAAAGGAATGGGGGCTGACTCGTCCAGCAGGCGCTCAATGCTCTGGTGTTTATCCCACTCCCAGCGCTTCTTCAAGCGGTACCAGGCGAACCCCGCGTTCTCGATGTTGTGGTCGGCGAACATGGCGCTCACGTTGAACTCGCGCCGTTGCAAAAAGCCGAGGTAGTAGTTTGCGTAGAGGCACTCCATCACGATGGGCCACGCCTTGGGCGGGACGTCCTTGGCGATCTTCTGCGCGTGCATCATCTCGTCCTTCACGATGCACATTACGTCAAACAACACCTTACGCACGGCGCGGTCCTGGGACGCTAAAGGAATGTTCTTCAGCAGCGCCAGGTTCACGTGGTTATCGGCGCAAATGTCCGACGGCAGCATCGTGAAGCCGAGCCGCGCGTACTTCTTCCAGAACATGACGCAGTGGTTTGTGAGGCCCGTGGCGCGGCCGATGTGGGTCATGAGATGCTCCGCCGCCTCGTCCTTCACGTTTGTCACTTCGAGTAGCGAGTTGAAGAAGTACCCGTAGAACTTGTCGAAGTGGTCGAAGAGTTGCTGCACGTTGCCCGGCTGCTGGATCACCTTCAGCCGCGCATCCGTGAAGCCGCGCACAAACGCCTTCGTCATGCGTGGGGTTTGCTCCACCGTGGAAGCGAAGGGGCGAAGCACTGGGTGGGAGTCCGTGAACTGCCCAGCGCTCATGCGACGCTTCTCCATAATCGCCCCCACCGACTCCTTCCAAAAGACGAGCTTCATGCCGGCGCCGGTTGTCTTCATACCGCGCTGCGAGTGCACCTCCAGCATGGCCCACCGCGCCTTGTTGAGCGACATCGCGAGGTTCCACATGGCGTAGTAGTTGCGCCGCGTCGTCGCATCGGGGTAGGCCATTTCCCCGACGCGGTAGTGGAAGAGGTCGAACTCACGCATATCCTCCTCCATTTTCAAGTAATCGACCTCGAGGGAGCCGATGGCGGTGGTGTTGGTCTCTGCCCTATCGGCGTGGGCCGCGTTGATGCGGGCCCACATTTGCTCTTTCGTCAGCTCATTTTTTGGCAGGGATTTGTAGTAGTCGCTCGCCTCTTTGTTACGTAAAACCTGGGGGCCGTCCGAGACGACCCTGCTCGTTGGGGAAGCCGCCGTCGCGCGAGGGGGCAGACTCGATTTCTTGTCCTCGCCCACGCTGAGTGTTGTGGGCGGCTTTCGCGGCGTCACGTTCAGCGAAGCGGGGGGTGCGCGGTGCGGCAGTGACGACGACCCGCGAGCAGCAGTAGCAGAAGCAGCCGCAACCGCAGCCGCAGTACCGGGTGCGTGCGATTCACCCTGTCCGTGACTGTGCCCCGAATGCGGGGGAGCTACAGCATCAGCCGCAGCACTGCTATTTCCGTGAGATGCGGTCGCGGCGGTGAACTCTGCGTCCAGTCCTTGTCGAGGCGAGGGCATCTTCCCGGTCTTGGCTGCGGAGACCATGTAATCCGCCTGAGCAGCCTGCAGAGCCGCTGTGGTGCCGGGGTTTTCACAAGGGAGACGACCGTCATCACCTCCGGCCTTAAAACTCGGCGTCGCCTTCTCCTCGGGGGACTTCATGAAGGCAGAGATGGTCCCGGCGTAGACGCCGATACCTTTCAGGTCGCTGCTGATGCCTTCTTCCCTGTCAAACCGAACTCCGCGCGGCTTCATGGTTGGCGTTTTCACTGCTGTATTGGACGAGGAAGGAAAAGAAGTCGTGGCGGTGGTGGTTGAATGAGACTGGCAGCGCTGCACCATCACCATCGCAGACTGCGGGGCCACCTTCATGACCCGTGTCGTCCGAGCACAATATAAGCTTCGCATGGCTAACATTCTCGATAAACCACAAAGCGAACAGATCTGAACCAAACAAAAAAGAAACGGGCTAGCTGAGAGGAGAAAGAAATGGAGAAGGAGGATGAGAGGGAGTGACACGCAAAGATCAACAGACAACGTGAAAAAAAAAGCGGACGCTTTCGGAAACCCACAACTGGCTCGGACGTGGCTCCCATAACGGAAAACAGAAAAAATTCATCTTGCGACAGGAAGCTGTGCTTTCATCGCGGCTTATGTGTGTGCGTGTGTGTCGGTCACGAAAGATTCTCCATAAAGCACGTCTGACGCATTTCGCGTCCTTCATATTCCTTTTTTCTTTCTCATCTGATGGTTCAATACAAAGCGAGAATGCATGTCGGATATGAAGAATAGCAGGCAAAAAGAAATAGGAAAGAAACACGCGGCAGGTCTACCATGCGTGCTGCCGCAGCAGTCGTTCTTCCTCTTGTAACCGCGCCAGCATGCGCTCTGCGTCATGTGGAGTTTGTATCAACGGCATCAGTAAATGCTGCGGCACAAGACTCCACAGAAGTCCCGGCGCATCCAGCACCGCATCCTCAGAGCCATCATTTATTCTAGGTGAGGGTGGCAGCGTTCCGCGCAGCGCGAGTCCTTCGGTGTGACAAACTTCTGCCAAACTTGCGCGATAGGAAAGAGAAGGAAAACAGCTAGAACCTGTGTGCTGAGTGGCGCAGATGCAGCCGCCACAGACGGAGGAAAGACAGGCGTGATTGCGCGACGGCGTTGACGTTGAAGGTTCGCGGCTGAAGTTCTGAAGGTCATCAGACTCTGGTGTTGCACCCAATGCCTCTAAGCCCAGATTCTGAACCACCTTCCGTTTCCTTTCCTGTGCTTGGTACTGACTCAACTCTGCCACAGTGTAATACCTTTGCCTTGTATCCAAGCTTGTATATGTAGCGGCGGCGCGACGCTGCAAGGCCTCAAGGTCATGAGAGGCACACGTGAAGCCTGCTGTTTCCATCTTTGGATTGGGAAGGTAAAAAGGGAATGAAGACAAAACAATGAGAAGAAACAAAATCTAATGAGAATCAGTCATACCGGCCGAGTACTGTACAGACAAGATACCAGTTTTCCCTTCGAGAGGCGCGGGTGAGGCCACAAATACAAAAAAAAAAGGGAAAAGCAAGTAAAAATAAACCACGACAATCGCAGAGCACAGTCGAAGTTTTCGATAGAGGAACGGTGGACAGTGTAGGGTGTAGATGAAAACGTTTCGTGTATACGTGAACACACCCACTGATAGAACTGCATGTCGAAATCGATCGATTTCAGTGGTTTCGGCTCTCGCGTCCATCTGCCACAAAACCAATCATTTTTTTTCTAACATATTCGTATTCCTTCCTTCCTCTGCCGCAGGGAAGCCGTTCTTTTTATCTTCCTCGGTAAGACTGCCGCCTCTGTCAAGGTGTTTGCGCGTGTTCCTTCTTTTCGTTTTCTCCCTTTCTTCTCTGACCCCTTAAGGGGGGGAGATATGACCTTTTGACTGTCGTGCTATTACACACTTTGAATAACGACACAAGAGAAAAAAACAAAGTCAGGTGGAACGGTGAACGCAGTTAAGCTAGACAGCAGCTGAGGAGTAAATAAGTAATTGGCAGCGGCAGGACAAACGGTGGAGGAAAGACGAAAAGATTTGTGATCTCTTAAATGGAGAACATGACCGCTGTCGCCGCGATCAGAGCACTGGAGTCGCCATAGCAGCAGCAGCACTCCGTGTGTGTATGCGCGCGCTACTACTTCATAAGCGCGCTCACCACCACCTCCGGCTCGATCACTTTCAAGTCCTGATACGTCTGGCCAACGCCTACAAACACAATCGGCTGGCCCAGCTCGTACACCATCGACAGCGCAGCCCCCACCTTGTCGTCGATCGTGTCGAACTTGGTGAGGACGATGCCGTCGATGCCGCGTGACCGGGCACCGACAGGGGCGAAGTCGACGAGGCACTGGTTGAATTTGCGCAGCTGATCAATGCCGTTGTTGCCGACCAACGCCTCGCCAACGAAGAGAACCAGATCCGGCTGATTGTCGTGAATCAGCTTCGCCAAGGCTCGCATGCGCGACTCGTGATCCTGCATGCGGCCCGCCGTGTCAATCATAACGACGTTCGTGTGTTGCTTGCTGGCCTGCGTGATCGCCGCGGCAGCCACCGCGGACGGATCCGTGCCGTAGCCAAGCTGAAACACTGGCGCACCGAGGCAGCGCCCGTGCACCTCCAGCTGCTCCACCGCACCGTGCCGGAAGGTATCACCAGCGGCCAACAGCACAGAATTGCCGTTCTGTTGCAACCAGTAGGTCATCTTCGCCAGCGAGGTGGACTTGCCCACGCCATTCACCCCGCACAGCACAATGGAGTAGGGCTTACCCGCGGCCTTGGCTGTGGCAACGTCGCGGAGAATGTTCACCTCCCGCTTCGGCTGCAAGATGCGATGCAGAGAGGCGGTCATGGCGTCGTCGACCGTCTTGTAAAGCGAGTCGAAGGTGCCGAGCTTCTTACCGGCGAGAGACGCCTCCACAGAGTTGCATACGTGCTCCGCCACCTCCACCGCGACGTTCTTCGCAATGAGCTTCTCCCGCAGATCCGGAATGATGTTGCGCAGATCTTCCTTGTCAACGGAGCGGGTGCCCATGTAAGACCGGAGCCAGGTCGCGAGTCGCCCACGCGACTGGCCCTCCCACTCCCGTTCCTTGACCGGGGCAATGGCGCCGTTCGGCAGGCGCCGGATGTACGTCTCGCGCTGAACGTTTGCCTGGGCCTGCAGCTCCGCCTCGGTAGCCTTCTTCTGATGAGACTGCTGTTCCACCATGGGGTCGACCACCGCGCCCGGACTGTTCCACTTCGTCGGTTTCTTGTTGCGCTTTCTTGATGCCCCGCCGGCCGAGGGAGGGGCAGCGGCAGCACCGGCTGCGTCGGCCTCACCTCCTGCGGCAGCCGGCGTCGGACCGCCAATGACGAGGCGGCGGCCGTCTTTGGTGACGATGACTTTGCCCGATCGGTGCGCGGTGTGTTGAGCCTCGTTTTCCGCCGCCTCCACACCACCGTCGTACTTCTCCGCTTCTTCGTCTTCCTCCTCGGCGCCTGCGTCATCGCTAGCCCCGGCTCCTGCGTCGGCCGCAACGCCCTCGCCGTTGGCACCCTGGCGAGAGGCCATCTCTTCACTCGCGTTAAACTTGTCCAGCAGCGTCGCGTACTCGGTGCCAAAGTCCATTAAATTCGCCTTGCCCGCCGATGCCGTGTTGAAGTCCGCGTCGCAGCCAGCAAACAAATCCGTTGCCGTCTGTTTCCCGTACTTCTTGGCAAACGTCGCGGCGATGTCGCGTAGAAAGTTCTGCATGTAATGCGGCTTGAAGAATTTGGGGTACACCGCCACCACGAAGAACTTGGCGTCGTTCTCGAGGGCCCACCGCAGCTGGTAGTCGCCCACGCTGTACTGCGTCAGGCCCGCGCGATCCTCCAGCAGCACCTCCTGGATGAGCTTGTTCACCATGGGCCGACGGCCCGTCTCGTGTGTGCTTTGCTGCCACAGCACCACGCCGCCGTCGCTAATGATGGACACCGTATCGATCATTGTTTTATTCCTTTGTATGGGAATCCGTGTTTTTGCTCGTTTGCTTGGATGGGCACTGGCACCACTTATTACTGTCAATGGAACGCAAATGAACGCCGTCGAGCAAAGCGAAGACGTGAAGAGGATCAACAGCAACAAAGGGTTGAGCTAACCAAGCCGAGCTATGTGGCCCCAATACTGCTACAACAAAGAGAGCGGAGCATACGCGAAGAAAAAGCAAAACAAATCAGCAAAGGAAAAAGAGGCGAAAGGGCCGGCTATTTGTAGGACGTTGAGAGGAAGAAGAAAATACACATAGAGGCCTACCTGAACAGCAAGGTGACGACTGCAGGGCATCCACTAGACATCGCTTGCCCCTCCCCTTTCTCCATGTCATTCCAAATCAAACGCCACACACAACAACAGAGAAGTAGAACCATACTCAATGTGCAAATGTAGCAAGAAAAGCCAACAGGTGAAAGAAAGAAGGATCTTGAGGTTGCCAAAGCGCGAGAGCCCTCGAATAAATAAGTAGAAACAACCTCCACACCCATTGTCGCAGTTCTCGGAAGTAGTAGAAGAACATGAAAAAGGGGGAGATTTATTCCATCACAGGTCAATGCACCGTCATGGTTACGACGACAAAATGGGAAAAAAACACAAAAAAAAGACTGTTAAATTGTACAGATACACAGTTATAGAATTATAGAAGCCTCCACAGTTCGCAGACTCAATCAAACCCAGAAAATCCACCCAGCACGAAAGCATCATAGTACTGCTTCTTGTTGAGCTGGTGACACCAATTCCACGCAGACGTGAGGCGGCCGTCGATGCAGGTGCCACCGTCGTCGCCTGAACCATCGAAGCCGTGCTTGAAAAAGTCGCTCAATATCATCATCCGCAACTCCGCATAGCTGTGGTACTTGGAGCGGAGCAGGTTTCGTACGCCAGGGTAGTTGCTGTACTCGTTCGCCAACTGCGGCTGGCCCTCGTCCTCCTCGTCTTCCTCGTGAAAGACGTAGCGCAGCGCACGGAGAGTCTGAACCACGGGCTGAACGATGTGTGGGATCACTGTGTACTTATCGATGAAAACGAGCGGATTTGGCACGTCGCGGTCGCCGAGGTGGATCACTTTAATACCCACCCATCCACCCATGCGCTTCTCCGTTTCCTGGACCAGTTGCGACATGGCACGGCAACTCTGCGGTGCAGAACACATGCGGTGGAAACCCTGGCCGGTGTTCGTCACAACGTATTGACCGCGGCCATCGACTAGCATGTCGTTTTCCGCAACTTCCCAAAGCTCTAAGATGTGCTTTTGCACGTTCTCCCACAGAAGCAACGACTCCATGACGTACTGGCAGTGGGTGCTGTGGGTGTGCGTGAAGCACGCCCCATCGCGGCCGTGACGAATAGAAACGGTGTAGGGGTTATCCGACGGCAGCGGCTCGAAGTCGCGCTCAATGTAGCGGCGCAGTGCACGGAGGGGCATCGTGTTGGATTGGATAAAGTTGTATGCGTCGTCGATGCTGCGAAGACAGTGCTCGACAACCGCCTTTTTGGCATCGTCGCCGTTGCCGTAGAGGTCAATAAAATGCCGCATTCCTGCCTGCTTCTCCGCGCCGGCCGCCCGGAGAAACCTGCGCCGCATCTCCTTATCCTCGGCGAGCTCGGCACACCCGATTTCAGTTAATGCGGCGCCTACGGTGCGAACAGGGATGACAAGTGTGCTCTGGATGCCCAAAGCACGCTGAACGGACCGCTTCTGCACATCTTGCAGCATCATCATCAGCTTTCCGAACTCGCCGCGGTGAAGAAAAGGGTTGAGGCGCTTGTGCCGGCGCAGAATTTCAAACAGCTCCTCCAGCAGCGGCACCACAGTGGACACCTGCAACTCGCTTGCGAGTAGGGACTCCTTTACCGAACGAGGGATCGCATCTGAGGCGATGGACAGACCCACGACCGTGTCAACGAACTCTCGTATCGCAGCCTCCATTCGACCTTCCTTGCCGTACGGGCGCATGAAGTCGTCCACGTCATCGGTGTACTCGCTGACTTTGAGGGCAGCTATGACGAGCTGCAGCTTTTCTCGCTCCTGCTCCGTGAGACGGAGAGGGTAGGCGGAGAAGTGCATAGCCGCCGATGAGAGAGGCGGGAAAGGGGGGAAACGACTACTTTTGTATTACGTGTGGTGTGAACCACTGTGGATGTTTCTGTTGACCCCTGTACGTTTCGCGCCTGTAAATGTCGGCCAATGCACATGCACAGAATAGAAATATCAGGCGGAAGGGGAGGAGGACAGGACCTTGCGTATAATTAATATATCAAATAGGACAGTGCTGTGAATACAAGCGCAGAAAGCCACACACGATGCGCTTCGCCAAACTGCTCCAATTACAGCGTAGTATCAACCTTAATAAATGTGACGCTTGACTATTGGCAATTGTGTTAACAGTGAGATCCGTCGCGTACGGAGAGAAACGCGCGAGGATTTTTAAAAAAAACGTCGGCTCGCGGAAAGGTAGAGCTCTTCGATTCTTTCTGCGTGTGGGAATGTGGTTCCTCAGCAAGCCTCAATCATTCAACTGTCAGCTGTGTATACAGTGCTGAAGGCAAAAGACGCCTTGCAGTCGAGATACTTCTGTCGTCTCAGCTGTACACTTGCCCTAGCAAAGAAAAGTATATTTGCGTGTAGGCGTACCAAAAAAAAAGCAGGCATTTTCTCGCGTGAACACGAAGAAAGACAAGAGGGGAAGAGAAAGAGAGAAAAGAAGTCGGAGAACGGCCGGAGGAAACAAGATAGAACTGTCCCTGCAGGTGGGTATTAGGAAAGAGCTCTTGGCAGTCCCTCTACCAATAAATAGGAGAATGAGAGTGATGGAGTGGAATAAGTCTCTCGAAAGTGCCATTTTGAAAGAAAAAGAGAAAAAAAAAGAGTCTGCATCACGGCAAAGGGGTGTTGTGAATAACGTAAGCAAAGCTGTAAGCTCTGTTTTATTCGTTTCCCAAACGGGTACACAGGCCACGACCCCATCGGTCCACACATCTCGATATGTCCATTTTGCATGTATATTTCTGCCTCCTTGCAATTTGCGCGTAAGCACTTTCGTTGATTCGAACCCTGTTGCATCTGCCGCTTCTTGTTGTTGTTTAGATGAATAGAGTGGAAACACTTCCATTTGACTCATGCTTATATTTCAATTGGTGGAAAAGAAACGGCTCAAAAATAAAAGGAGAAAATATAGATGATGATCATTCCTTTCACAATAGAAAGGCTGATACCCCGATAGGGAAATAACAAGCAATAAGCGATAACACGTCGACCACAACCGTGTTTTTCTTCTTCCTCTTTAGCGCGAGAGTAGGTTGAATGCCTCCACTGCGGCAGCAACGCCACCACACAATAAAGAAGAGGAGAGAAAAAGAAACCGCAGAAGAAACTGTGTGCGGGTAGGGGGAGTGAAAGGTGGCCTCAGGAGTCTCGACGACGGTTAAATACGTGGCCCCTGGTTCCTCGACCTTCCCTCTCTGCCGTTCCCAATTCGCGCTTCGCTTTCATCGAGCTGAATGTCGGCAGACGTGGGATGGGGAGGTGAAGGAAAACAGCAAGTAAACAGGCAGATGAAAGAAAAAAAAGAAGAAAAAGAGCTACATCGGTGACGGCGCACGGGAGAGACGTAAACGCACAAAACTGAGGAGCAAGACCTATTCAGAGAGAGAGAGAGAGAGTGCGAAAGCCAACACGAAACAGAGGAGGAATAACCCTCACGTGAGAAGGCCTCTTTACTCCTCCGCAGATCGACACATATGACACACATAGCACATGCACCACCACCCCTTCTGTGTTTGTGTGGGGGAGGGAGGGGCGGATTGTGGTGAACATTCTCTTTCTTTTCGGTCTTGCGTTCCCCTCTCAACGTTCCGAATCAGCCGCTTTCTTTCGGTCGCCTCGAAACCCGTAAAATAGCAAAAGCAAAATGAAAAGTTCCGTGAACGTTTCACCTTTGACTCCTTTCAACTTCTCTTTGAACTTCGATGCTGCGTGTCGCACGGCTGCTCGTATTTCACAGAAACGAGATCCGACCACTGGCGGTTCAGTCCTGCAGCTCCGAGGCGTCCACCACCGGCAAGGACGACACCTCGTCGCGGATGCTCTTATACAGCGCGGTGGAGAGGTAGCGCTCGCCAAAGGACGGGATGATCGTCACGATGGTTTTGCCCTCCATCTCCGGACGCTCGCCGATCTTGAGCGCGGCGTACACGTTTGCACCACCGGAGAACCCGCAGAAGACACCATCGCTGCGGGTCAGCTTCAGCGACGTCTCAATCGCGTCGTCGCCCTTCACGCAGAAGACCTCGTCCACGAGGCTGCGGTCCAGCACTTCCGGCACGAAGCCCGGGCCGATGCCCTGAATCTTGTGGGGGCCCGGCTTACCACCCGAAAGCACCGGCGACTCTGCCGGCTCGACGGCAACGATGCGGGTGTGGCTGCCGAACTTCTTCAGAGCCCGCGCCACACCCGTCAGCGTGCCGCCCGTACCCACGCTGGCAATGAAGCAGTCTACCTTGTGGTGCATCTGCTCCCAAATCTCCGGCCCGGTCGTCTCCTCGTGGATGAGGGCGTTGTACTTGGTGTTAAACTGATCCGCCAGCACCGCGTTTGGGTTGGCCGCGCAGATCTTCTTCGCCATGGCCACAGCACCCTTCATTCCCAGTGCGGCAGGAGTGAGGACGAGTTCGGCACCGAAGATGCGCAGCAAGCAGCGGCGCTCGAGCGACATCGATTCCGGCATCGTGATGATCACCTTGTAGCCGCGGGGCGCACCGAGATGGGCGAGGGCCACGCCTGTGTTACCACTGGTGGCCTCGACCACGACCGACTTGCCGGGTACCAGCTTGCCCTCCTGCTCCGCCTTCTCGTAGATGGCGAGACCGAGGCGGTCCTTCACGGATGCCATCGGGTTCTCGCACTCCATCTTCAGCACAATCTTCGCCTTGGTGTGGTTCAGCTTGTTCAGGTACAGAGCCGGCGTCTGACCGATCAGCTGCTCGATGGAGTCCGCCACCTGCTTCGACTTATCGATGGGCGCGGGCATGTTTTCTCCTCTATGATTCACTTGATGGAATAGACGGATCAGTAAAAAAGAAAAGAAAAGCAGGAAGACGTTTTTGCGGGTTTGTTGGCGATACTACTGGCTGATATCCTGGTAATGGTGTCGTGAACCGTGTCACATTACCGCGGAAACGCATGATAATAAAAACAATAGAAGGGAAAGGAAACGAAAGCGAACGAGAAATGGGGGATTTATATGCACATCTTTTGAGTGACAACAACAAGACTTCACGTAGCGCGAGGAGATGTGCTGTGACAGCAATGCGAGTCCCGTCGACAGAAAAAAAAAAAGGGTCACCAAATGGAATTGAACGTCTCTAAAATGGAAATGAGAACACCGGAATGGTGACAGCAGAGCAAACAGCGAGCTTTTAGAGGGCTTTAGGGCCATTTCTACTTCCTTGTAGATATCTGTTCTCTAGTCAAGTGATTTACGTCCCAGCAGCTCACCACCACAGCTCTTCTGTGATGCTGCAGAGCGAGAATACCTTCAGTGACGGTCTTCCCTTTCACGAGAGAGAAACAAAAAAGGCGGATCACTGCAGTCTCTGTACTGTCTTTTCTCTTTTTAGAAGAAGAAACAACGTACTTCGTCCCTCGTCACGATCCCTTACAACGGAACCTCATCTGTCGCCGCGAGCTGCATGCCCCGCGCCATCTCACCGAAGCGCTTCAGGGCCAGCTTGAGAACGTCCGGGAAACGCTTCAGATGAAACTCAATTTTGCGCGTCGTCGGCCAGTGCCTCCACACGCAGTCCCGCTTCTCGCCGCGAAAGAGGATTTCCATCAGGTGGCACGTGGCACAGTACCGACACTCCGAGCTGGCGTGCTTCGACGCATCGGCGTAGCGCTTGTGGTACTGTGACACACACGCCGGATGGCCATTTACTAGTTTTGCTGGCATCCGGCGTGTGCCCGTCGAGTGGTTCGTGGACGCGGACTGCCCTCTTGAGGCGCGTGGCACCACCTCTAAGACGGGGTGCCCCACGTAAGGCGATGGGCGGCCCGCCGTTTTCCGAGACCCCTGTGTTGTGGACGGTGCCACCGCCTCGTTGCCTGCCGTAGTCGTCGCCGTGGCCGCGGATGTCGACGCCATGTCACCCACCAAATCACCAACGCGCACCACGCTGTCTTCATCTCCAGATCCCACCGATGACTCCCCCTTATCACTAGACGTAGCTGGCTCTGTGGCGGCATCAAGTGCAGCTGCGGCAGGAAGCATCTTCCCCGATTGCTCAAGTTTGGGCAGACGGAGCACCCCAGTAGGCTCTGCATACAGGGTAACGAGGTCACGACAGGCGGCGAATTGGAAGGGGATGGCAGCGCTCACCTGCCCCACAAGGCTGTCTAGCTGCGTGATCGGGACAGATGTGCTGTTGGACGACACGTCCAGTTGCTGTATCGCCAAGCGTAGTTCGTCTGCTGCAGGGCTAACAACAGAGGAGCAGAGAGTCTGCACGCCATCCACAGCGACCTGACGCATCTCCGGTGTCAGCCGAGCCCACCGATGGGCGATGATGCGCCACGACAGCAGGTCCATCAGCAGCTGCAGTCCAGGGAAACAGCCGTCCTGAGTTCGGATGATGCCTCTTTCCTCCAAGGAGCGTAGATTGGGCCGCATCCGGGCAGCCAACTGTGCCAGCTGCGCGTCCTGTGGGTGCCACAAGGTCAGCCGCATCGCCGCCTCGGCCAGCGTCAGGAAGGCCGGCATGCCCGCCGCTGCGGAAGGTGTGGGAAACGCTTCCTGGTCGGCATGGCGCAACGACGGTGGCGCCGTGGACGGACTCGCTAAAGTTTGGAGTGAGGAGGTGAGCAGTTGGGCAATGGCGTCTGCCAGTGCGTTGTCGGCGCATGGCGGGGAAGTCGTGCTCTGCACTGCGCCATTTTCAATTTTAACCTTCTTTAGCTCTGGCTCCTTCTCACCTTGTCGCACATCTGCGTGCGCCTCGTGGAATTTCTGCTTTGCCACTTCGAGCCATTGGTAATAAGAGAAGCTACGTGACAGCTTTGATGGCACTTCCACACCTTCCCGCTGCTGCTGAAGAGCGTGGGTCGCACAGAAAGCCTCGAAGGCTCCATCCGTGCTCATGCTGTTTGGTCGATGAAAAAGAGCAAACAGAAAACGGGGAGAGCAGAAAAATGAATCCAACGTCTGCAACGATATTTTCTATTCCGAAAGGACAGGACAATTACGGTTCTGCGCAATAATAATAATAAATCAGGCAACTGCAAAACGAAAGAGATGCACGCAGCGCGACTGCGGGAGCCCAAGCGAATCAGTTACTCGAGTCAGCTCTTGTGCACTTTCTGACACCCGCCAGTTTTCCCTTCCGCAAGTCCATATACGTCAGCAGAAAAAAAAACAAGACAGTGTTGATGAGGATAACATAGAAAGAGGGGGAAGGAGAGGGAAACACTAAAAGAAAGAGGCACGTAGATGACAATATTGCTCAGCAAACGCCTTCCGAAAAGGCAACATAGTTCCTTGTTTTACGGGGAGAAAAGTGGCCGGCAAGTGGGGGAAAAAGGAAGCGACTCCAGTTTAGCAGTTCAGCAGCTCTGCAACGAAAAGCTGCGCGGCTGATCCTCTTTGTTCACCTCGCACGCTACGCCCGCCCCTCCGTCTGATGCAACGGCGAGGCATTTCTTATACCGTTTCACACCCGTAGATAAACAAGTTTTCTTTTCCTCACATGAGAAAACCGTATGTACCAAAAAAAATTCAGGAAAAGCTCACATAAAAACTTGGGCCAATAACAAGACGGAAAAGAGAAGAAACAGGCCCAACGCCTCCACGGGAGGAAAAGAAAAAGAGGCGGGGAAAGGCAGTGACAGCACAGCGGCAACAAAGCAGCAGCATAAGCGAATATTTAAGGAGTAAAAATCAATCGCAAAGCAGTTTAAAAATTCGTTAAAGCAAATAAAAAGGCAGCAGTGAGTTAACTACATCGCTCGCAAACAACAAGTGCAGAGGCGAAGTTGGGCGGCCTTACACTTCAGGTAGAAGCATTGGAAGATTGTAAAAACAAAAGACTCTAATAGACTAACAAGAGCAAGGAGTAACCGCCATTAACATCTCTCGGGAAAAAGGGGAAAAAATCCACTCGAAAGAAGTGAAAGAAGAAACGCCTGGAAACAGCGCAAAACACAAAGATGAAAACCCCCACGCCCTCTCCTTCTTTTCCTCTTCACCTCCCAACCATAAAAACTACGCGACTTTCCCCCAAAACAGAAGTTGCAGATGCAGCCACCATCCGTTGTAGCACAGCGCCGTCAGCGTCCACAGCAGCGACGCCGACACCACGCCAAAGGCAGCCCACGAAAGAGCCTCCACGCCATTAAATGCTCGTGGTCTTGCCGGCAGTTTGTAGTCACCTGCCGCGCCACCACCATCTCCTTGCGCAGAGGAAGTGATCTTCACGGCAGAGACAAACGGATCAGCGGAGGCCACAGAAGACGCCTCCGGGGGGCGCATCCCAAAGGTGTACACGCAGCCGAGCCCGCCCTCGACGGCCTCTACCAATGGGTGAGAAGTCTCGCCCCGGCTGTCCGACAAGCTCGCCGTGACAAGCGTCGCCTGCTGACGCCAAAGCGCAAAGCAGGACGGACGCTCGATCGAAACCCAGCGGGTGAGGGTGAGATCAGAGGAGAGGAGCAACACCTGGTCCTGCATGAGGTGCTGCAGGTAGACAAGGTAGGTGCGACGGGTAACGGCAATGCACACCCCTTTCACCGCGACACGCGGAGGGAGGATGTGGGCGAGGTCCATTGTCCGCATTTCCACGGGGCGCGTCGGGGAGTAGTTGACGATGTGCAGGTGCGCCTCGCGCGAGTTCATGATGGCGTATTCGTCGTGCAGCTCACACGGCGTCGCGTACACGTCCCCGCAGCTGCTGTCGACCAGACTCACGCTCACGGTGGAAAGCGAGGGCAGCTCCTCCGCCTCCAGGCAGCGGCGCGGCACGCTCGGCCGAAGTAAAAACACGCCTGCTTCGTTGGCATACAGAGCAGAGCTGCTGCCCACCCAAAAAGAGCGCCACGCCACACTGCTGGCGTCCAAGCAGAACTGCAAGGGCGGTAGAGGCGAGGCGGACGAGGTGAGACAAGAGTCAGCCCCGCCAACGGCACGAGCGTTATTGCGATTGTACGGATAGCTATCACCATGATGGCACGACCCAATTGGCACCGGCAGCGGACAGAGCTGCGCACGCAGCCGCGCCTCCACCAAGGAGGCATGTGCAGCGTGTGGGCCGCGGTGGAAGGCGCCACTCGCGGCGCCTTTCGGCTCCACCTGGCGCATCTCCCACCAGCAGGCGATGTGTGACGTGGTGCTGCACAGATACGCGTTGCGGTCACAGTCGATCAAAAAACTCTCCCCATCGGGTGAAGGGTAGAAACCGTCGATGCCGACCGGCAGCTCCAGCATGGCCTCCATGAGGCAGTCAAAGACGTGCAGCTCGCCCTCGCGCGTCGTGCACACCAAAAAGCGATTGCCAAGAAATCGAGAGGAGGAGGTGGGGAAGGCGAAGCACGTGGGCAGCTCTTTCTGATACTCTGACAAGGTGCCGTCTGCGTTCACTAACCGGGTGTAGAGGTAGCATTCAATCTCATCCAATCTCGACGTCTCCGTGACAGTGCGGATTAACACGAACAACCGCTGCTCATTCCCGACAAGGCCGAGGGCTAAAATTTTGCTCGGGGGAGCGAGCTCTACGTAGTCCTCCTTCATACAAGGCCAGACGAGGTACTGCTTCTCTTCATAGGTGATACATGACTCCGTGATTACCTTCCTACACAACTGAGAGGTACCACTCACCGCCACTAAATCTCTCTTGGTCAAGTAGGAGGCAATCACCAACAACGTATCGGAGCATTCCATTCTTTTGGTTCTTTGACTGTGCTCCTCCTATTTTTCTTTTCTTTTTTTTCAGATGCTGCCGTGCGGTTCGGTGTATGGTGCACCGAGGAGGTGGGCTGATAAGCACTAGGACACACACAAACACACACACGTGCAGAAGTGAGTCTTCCCGTAACCGTATTTTCCTTTTGTTAATGCAAAGCGCTTGCGTGTGTGTGTGTGTGTGTGTAAGCGCGCTCGCCAAGGAAGCTATGTACGTCGGGTGCTCTCTTTGAGAGCCCGCACCAGGAACGCCAATACGAAAAGAAAGCCTCCTCGGGAAGAATAAATAAACGAAGACTGCGGTCGCAGTTGAGAGAAACTGTTTTAGTAAATATGAGGCGAATGATACAAGAAGATCCAACAAAAACAAAAAAGAACTGTGAAGCGTTTATGTTTTTTCCCTATATCTCCGGCCTGCTTGTCTCAGCGTTGCAAAAGACAAGGAATGGGAGATACGGGCGAGTCGCCTCCAAGCTTCGATGGACTGAAATGTGTGAAGTCCCAGCATCCCAAAGCAGTGAAAGTTCAAGCGAAGAAAGCAGAAGGTTGCGTGGAGAGTAGATGCGTAAATGGGCAAGTTAAGTCTCACCTGCGGTTTAATCCGGCGTCAGCTTTTTCCCCCACGCGGACGCACAGCCAAGGAGGAAGTTGTCAAGCGTATCATCAAGCTACGAGTTTCATGGGAGAAGAATAAATACTAAAACCGTTGTAATCGCTACATGGGCAGGCTCTTCGCAACAGCATAAACAATCCCTAGTACACTTACGCATGCGACGTGAAGTGTGGCCGACTTACCTTCCTCTTTCGAGCTACATAGATTTCCTTTCGAAAAAAAAAACATCACAGAAATACAGCGTAGGGTTTTTTTTTCTTTAGAAAAAGGCCCAGACTCAGCTCGAAAAGAGACACGCTGAGTGTCTCGTTCTCATTTTGTTGGTAATTCAAACGAAACACCTGCAGTAGGGAAGGGAGGAAACATGTTGCTTTGAGTGCATAATTGCACTTTGGCTTGCCAGCACCTCTCCCCGACGCTGAGTTCTTTGTACGAAGACTTAACTAGGTGAAAAGACAAGAAAAAAAAAAGAAAAGAAAAAAGAAACCCTGGTGAGGATAAAAAATGGATGATACATCATTGGAACATAATTTGTTTGAATTAGAGCTATGCACACGCCGTGCATTCTTGTCTACCGTGTATGTACATTGTAACTACCACTGAGCGAGACTCAGCACAAAGCACGCAAACTCGTCGTAGGTGAGCGAGTCGTCGTTTGTCTTGGCGTACTTGCGCACCTTCTCATCCACTTCCTTCTCCGTCGGCGTCACACCGTAGTGCTCAAGGTTCACGTAAAACTTCTTCAGAACCTCCACCGGCACAGTCCCGGTGTGCTCGACATCGAGGGAGTCAAAGAGGTCCTGAATGCGGTTGTCGGTCACAGGGAGGCCGCCGATGTTGTTCTCCACCTCGTCGTAGTTGAGGTGGCGGTTGTTGTTGTGGCCAGGGATGAGGCTATGCTGCATGTTTACGGGCGTAATTGGGATGCTGTTTCGATGGGAAAGCACGGGAGGAAGAAGAACGCACAGGGGAAGGCTTACGGGGGCAGTGCTTTGCTTTTGTTTGTTTGGTTGGTTTTCGCTCGGTGGATATGGTGTGCTTCCCGTTCGATATGGTGACGGTTGTTGACGACAAAAGGAGGGGAAAGGAGGCGAGAAGAAAAACAAAATGAACCAAAGAACAACAGCAACGATAAGAGAAGAGCGCACCACACAACGTTATGCGCGAGGCCTTACCTGTTGCGTGGTAGGTGAGTGAGTAGTGTGAGCGCGGTGACCGCAGTTCACCACCATTGACGCCACGAGTTGAGTTGGGTGGAAGCAGGGACCGCCATACACACGTTCGAAACATGCACGCAGACAGAGAAGACGTTACGAGACGCACTTTACCATGTTCATTTTTTTTTTCTCTTCTTGCATCACCTTTTTGCCGTACTCCACACAACAGTGACAGCAACCACAACATAGCTTAACATGTCGAGGAAAGAGGTGCTGTTTCGTTCTTTGCTGCTATTTGCTTTTGGCATACAAAAAAGAAAGAAGCGAGTAAAGAAGGCGGAAAGGATGGAGAATACAAAAAGAAGAAAAAACGGTTTAGCTCCACTACACCAATTGTTCTAGGCCCACGTTGGCTGCACCGCCGACGCGAAGGAACCAAAGAGAAAGCACCAGAACAACTGGCAGGGAGCAAGACGTATTCTACACAACAGTAAAGAAACAGAAGATCCTAAAGCAGCTGCTTGGGACATACAAAAAAAAAGAGAGAAAGCGTTATGATGATTGCTGTCTCTAAAATGGAAGTGATAGAGAACAGAATACTGGTCAGGAACGAAAAAAATGATTGTCTGATAGATTATTGAAGTGCCTACGAGTGTGGCAAAGCACACGTTAGCAGCGGCATAATGAAAGATGGGAGGGGGAAGAGGGGAAACTAACAAGAAGCGCATTTGATGGGGAAGGAGGGGGGAAAACGTTAACAGCAGAGGAAAGGGTGGTCCCTTCTCTAGTACGGTCTGTTTCGATCGTAAGGCTTGACATGTCGCGGAGTCGTGAGAGGGCTCGTTTCGCGTACCATGCGTGCTACGGAGAGTGCGGGGGGAGGCGACTGCGAGTACGCAGAGCGAATGCACTCATCCACCGCTGTGGTAAAGGCTCTGCTGCTGTCACTGTCGTACAAATTAGAAGATAAATCAATCGGCGCGGCTTGGTAACGCATACTGGGTGATGTGCTACGCACTATCACGTTCGGGTCCGTGAAGGCTGGAAACTCTGTAAGCGCCATACTCTTCCGATGTCCTGCGAAGGGCGCTCCAGAAGGGACGGGGAAGGACAGGAACTGCGAGTTTGTCGTCGCCGCGGTGAAGTTCTCGGGGCTGTCGTACCACACTTCACCCGTCGTAGGGTCGCTGCGGAGGCACCGCTGCATCTGTGAATCCCACATCTGCCGTCGCAGCATCGCCTCCCTGCTCCAATCGGCTTCGTCCTCTTGCCGACGCCGCTCGAGTTCTTCGAGGCGACACTGCTGCTGCCGCCGTTCCATCCCCGCTCTCTCACACTCCTTCTTCTTCGTAGCGTCTCTGCGGCGTCGTCGGCAGCAGCAAAAACAAAGAAGACCCAGAGCGGTGACCACCGTTGCTGCCGCCACAATGACGATAATCCAGATCGTACGGATGGACGCCGGGGACTTGGAGGTGGCAGCGGTGGTGTTCCCTGGCGCCGGTGTAGATGCCTGACTGTCGCAATACACTAGGCCCTCGCCGAGGATGTCCTGATCCATCCAGTCTGTGGTCCACCCGCTTGCGCAGTCGCAGGTGCTTGTGGAGGCGTTCCACAAGCCGTGATGGCAGTCCACGGAGGCCGCAGGCTCGTCATCAACCAACGCGAGAAGCTGGAGGAGAAAAGGCGGCATTTTTGGAAATGGAAACAAGGTGCCGAGAAGAAACGTTCTGAATGCGTTACATGAATTGCAACCTCCTGCTCATGCGCTGATACAGGTGTGAGCTTTTCTTAACGACTCAAGTGGTTGGGAGATGACACAAAGTTGTTCAACAGCAAAAGCCCCGAAAAAGGGTTCGCGCGTCGACGTCTGGAAAGAGAGGGGGAAAAAAGTCAGGAATGTCAAAAGGGAAATAAAAGAGAGATTCACAACGTAAGACAGCATTGCGAAAACTGAAAAGTCAATTTCGATGGATGCTCGCCACAAATCTTTCTTTCTTATTACTGCAGTGGAGAGCGAGAAAGACAGAAAAAAAGGCGGCTGCGATTATCGGGCGCGAGCATCCTTTCTGACAAATTATCCATAAACGTAGCTTTTCTGAGAGGCAACAAATTGCAGTTATTCTTTCCCTATCTGCTTGTTTCATTTTTTGTTGTTGTTGTTCTTTACCAATACTGTACAATTGAGAAACAGCAGGGACAAATGTCGTCGTGTAGTAAATGCGCTGCTTCTTCGTTTTCATGCAGATTTCTCATCGATTCGCAGCGCAGCCGCCCTAATTTCGAGAATGCTGGTTCGATCCTCCAGCGCCTTCAGTTCCACGTAATCTTTCTGGACGTCTCGCTGCATCTCCCTCAGCCCCGCTGCTTCCTTGTCCCGCAGCATTGGATCTGATAAACGCATTTTGGCGTTGTCTAACTTCGCTTTAGCCTGCAGCGCCAACTTGTTGCGGAACAAGCGCTTGAACAATGCGACTTTGGCCTCGTACTGCTCCATTACCAACTGCTTCGTGCATTTCTCCGGGCTCAGTTGAAGTACCTCGAAGCTATTCTGGCACGCAAGAATTCGTTGAGCCTCTTGAGTCACCTCGTCCGAAATGACGAGCGCCATCATGTCCAAAGGCAGTTGCCCTTCCCTTCCAAAAGAAGATCCTATAATTGTGTGTGGGTGTGTGTGTGTGTTTTCTCTCGGGCATTCAAAGACAGAACGCGACAAACTTCATCAAAGCGAAAAGAAAATGGACGAGAGACCGAAAAATGCGGAAAAGAAGAGCGTGAGGCACCACACAGCCTGCACCCTGAAGCCACCAATGTGACGACACTCGTAAGCGCAACCTTGGCAGTCAGAAAAAAAGTGGGAGTCTTTTTTTTTAATGCAACACTCCTCAATCTTAGTGCAAACCCTTTCCTGGCCTCAGGATGTTACATGCTGCTGTTGTAACATAAGAAAAAGCTTCAGCTCATCGATTCTGACGCTGTCCGATGATTATTTGGGCATCCAAGGATGAAAAGCACATATAGGCACTGGACAATTAGCGATTAAAAAATAGAGACGGCACCATGTAATAGCCTACGCGCACTGACATCAAGGAAGTAAACGGTAAAAAGCAGTAAAAATAACAAGCATAACAACAACACTTAGAAAAGAAAGGCCACTTCATGCCACCAGCTTGCAATCGTCGAGGAGCAACATGCTGCATTTCGCCAACAGAAGCAAGCAAACGCAGCTGCACTGCTCACCATAAAACATCGTTCAGCTCATCGTCAGGGATCAGATCCATCGCCAAAAACGAACCCAAGTGCAACTGCAATTTCTTTGTGTAGCATGTCCGGTTGGTTCGCGGGTCGACCACCCACTGAACGACGGTGCCGTCGCTGGAGCACGCGGCAACCACAATGACCGAAGACTGCGGTGGTGCCGCAAGAATGCAGATCGAGTTGAAGATGTTCATGAAGAACAAGCAGTGGCGACGGGTCACAAACTCTTTGCACACAAAGCAATGCAGTGGATCGCCCACTGACGACAGCGCGATCGTCTCATCCTCGGATGCACTGGCCAGCCACTGCGAGTCGTTTGTGAATTTGGCCGCTGTAGGCGTGTATTGGTGCGCCTCGGTGATGAGGCCCATGGGCTGGAGCCGCAGAACGTCTTCGCCGACGGCGCGCGTCGTGCTGTCGGAGAGCGGGCAGTACAACGCAATGAGAGGTTGGTTGCTGGTGATGGCCATCAAGCCGCTGTAGTAGCACATTTCGAAAACTTGGATGCTCTGCCCTCGCGCGTAGTCCAGGCGAGAGATCAGCGACCCCGCAAGCACGTCCCACTGACAGATTACACCGTCATCACCCGTGCTAAATAGCAGCAATGCTGGCAAGGTGCCACGAGCAAACTTTACAAAACGCACCCAATCTGTGTGCCCGGAAAAGTGGTGGAGCGGCTGCAAGTCCGACGACCACACAGTGACCGTAGCGGTGCAACCACCAGTGGCGACGTACTCGCCATCCGGCGTGCTGGAGATGCACAGAATGTTCTGGGCGTAGCTGTTTGGGGTGCGGTCCTCTAACACTTTGGGCTCACCGCCCTCCAGGTAACACACGCCGTTTGAACTGGAAACCAGTGTGCCGCTCGGTGTGACGGCGACGCCCGTAATTTCACTTGTGGACGAATTGGGGACGGAGCATATCGGCCACAGCGCATTTCCTTCACAGCTAATTGTTTGTATGCCATCTCGTGAAACGGCGATAAGCGCTTCGGTGGAAAACATGTAACGGGCAATCGTCGAAAGCCGTATTGAGTCAAGCTGGTCGCGCAACAGCAAGGAACCTAAAAATTGTCGTGCTGCATAGCCAGGCGTCGGCTTGTCGCGGAAACCGGCGCTGCGCAACGTGTATCGGTTCACGGTGTCGATAAGTTCTTGCATGTTGTGGAAAAAGAGAAAGTACTTCAATCGAGGCTGCTTTAATTCCTTGGCGGACTCGAGCTATCAAACGTTTCCCCTGTAAACTGATTGTCAAACCGAGCAGTACGTCTTTAAAGAATGAGAGAAACGGTAGAGTGATCAGAAAGAGAAAGAAAGTGTCAGAGCCTCCAAATGCTACAAACGCAGCACGCAGTCTCGAAACTGTCCGATGAAGCAATTCTTGAATACACACTCATAATACCCTCTTCCTTCTTTGTGTTTGCGCATGCATACGATTTCGAGAGGGCTAATTGTCCTTGACAGAAACAAACTTTCCAAGTAAAGTTTTCTTGTAAAACCGAGACACCAGAATAGATGCGAAACACGATGTTTGAAGAGCTATTTCATTTCTACTTCTGTTGTTGCTATTGAACAGACCAGCATATGTGACGTCAAATGAAGAACAAATGAGAACTGACATTTATCTCTTCAGCATGAACACTACTTCCAAAAGAACAAGCGCTTCATCAAAGGCTTCGAGTCGTCCTTGCCCACTGCGGGGCTAACAGCGCTCTGTTCCTTCATGGGGGCTTGAACACCCATTATTTTCCGTTCCTGCAGTGCCACATACGGCTTATAACGTCCCTTGTCTTTTTCGGGTTGAGGGAGGTTAAACTCTCTAATAACGCTAGGATCCGTGACCTTCCACCCATAGATAGGACACGGTTCACCGGTGAGGTAGGGATGCGTGCTGGGGTTCGGCGGTTTGCCTCCTCGAAAGTAGAGCTTGTTACCACTTTTGTGCCACACGCCCTGGATCATCATGTTTAAGACTCGCGGCACCTCTCGTTGGCCGCGACTCAGGTTGCCACGTAGCTTCGAGAGAGGATGAGCACGGTGCAGACCGATACCGTATCCCGTCCCGTCCGCACCGTTGTCCATCCAGGCAGGCCATTTGTTGTCGTGCAGAATATTTTTGGTTTTGTCAAACCGTGTGCGGTCCTGATCATAGGGTGTGTCGTGGAAGGGCTTCACAAATGGATACACCGACGGGGCGTTGTGAAACACCGCCCTGCGTGGGACCGTACCGCGGAACATCTAAAGCTTACAAAACATGAAAAAACCAGGCACATGTTATTGCATCAAGTAGAAGCAGCAACAGAAAAGGGAAGAGTAACCCGAGGAAGGCATGCATTTAACCGCATACACACTCAGTGAAACACCTGGGTGTGCTTCTCTGATGTCCACCTGCTAAGTCGCGAGTCGTCTGCACAAATTGAGCGCATCTGGCAGACTGTTCTCTTATGAGGAGTGAGACACACAATTAACACCATACATTTTTCTTATCTTCTATATTAAATACTCCGCTCTCTTTTCGCAAGTGAACCGTTGAAGAATGTCGCGCAGCCAGCAAGTATTTGCTAACAGTAATAAATTCAGTTGACGAACAACAAGTCACGCTATAGCGATGATCTATAAATGCTTTTTATATCTATAACGGATACGGTCTCCGGAACGGATAGAAGATTGTATCATCAAGGCGTGGAAGAATGGGTGGCGCAATCACTCGGCGCATAATCGTTGCCTGTGAGTTTGGATCATATCTCGTGAAACTCACTTTAAAGGTGATTCGCTGCAACGCCGTGGCACTTGAGTCAAACACTGTCTGATTTTGTATTTTTAGCGTTCCCGATATCGGTGAAACAAATGCACCAACAATAATATCCTGTGCATTGTATTCCGCACCAGCGCGCGCAATAACAAATTGATAGTGTAGGCCAACCATAATACTCTCACAAGCCCTGTTGTACTCGTTATATGTGCCAGCTGTCGGAGAGAGGGCGTTCGACAACCCGTCAATCGCGATCCAACTACTTGTGTCGTTAGTAAAAGCATCGTTTGTGATAGCGACTCTGTCAAAAGCCGTGCCGACACCGTCGATCGTGCTATTTATGAGACTGTTGATCAGACTTGCCGTACCAGTGGAGCACATCGACCGCACCTCGGCTTCACTCATGGAAACAACGCAGCCACTGCTAATCACGGAGTACAAAAAGCTGGAGCGTTTCCAGCGCGCTGCGCTGCACACTCGACCTCCGTTTGGAACGGCAAACCCACTCTCGCGCTCCAGAATGGCACTTTTCCCGCCTTTGTGGACAAGGGTACCGGCGCGAACCTTGTACCCTGGCAAATAACCTGGAGTTCCTGCAATGATATTGGATGGGATCGTTTTATTCGCAGCGACAAAACCGGCCTGAAAAGTCATAGCGGTGTATTGATCGAGTCCTACGTCTGCCACAGTAGCATTGATTACAGCTGCAGTAATTGTACCGGTTTCATTGATCGCGTAGGTAAATTGTGCCGTCACAGCAACAGTAGCGTTGAAGCAGGTAGTCGAATCTGCGTAGGAAAGGAAAGTGCTGCTCAAAGTCGTTTCACCCGTGACAATCGACTCGAGTAACGCGCCGGACGAGTTGAAAATGTTCAGCGTCACAGGAATAAGCGCGAGATTCGACTCGCTGTACCACTGAATGCGCTGCACAGATAAATTAGTGTATTTCGCTGTCGGAAAATTGGAGCATATTTGTGCGCCGTTGAGCACACACGAAACGCCTTGGACAGAGTCGAGGAAATCCACCGTTCGACCAAATGATGAGCAGGAGCCATCACTGCGGGTAATTGGAATTTGGAAGGCATCTGTGCGACGGTAGGAAGCGCGGCCACCAGCTTCTGTCAGCTTGGCAAAAACTAGAGGCGATCCGACAGCGTAAGTTTGATTGACTACCACGGTGGGAGCAGAAGGGGACGGTATTATCGGTTTTTGGACACTGGTGGGAACTCTAAAGTACCTGTACAGCTCTTTCGGGTGATTGGCACGAATGACACACACAGCATTGTAGCCTTGTTTTTTCTTCTCTATGAAAGTAGCATCTATATTATTAATTTTCTTCAACGCAGTTGCTCTGTCTTTGGGATAACAATAATCCAAATATGGAGAGCTGAATTTCTCTGGCAAACAATATGAAAACGAACGGATAGTCGCAGCGTCGCAATCATCGTCGCAGCAGCAGTGAGGATCACAAACTCCCCATGTAACATCACATACGCACTCCCCGAGATAAGGTGAATTTAAATTACGCGCCGGTGGAGCAGTTTCAGGGACGTCATCCCATTCTACGGGCACTACCACCGTCGGGTATGCAAGTGCGCACGTTGTGAAAAGGAGCAGCAGTAATAATGTTTTCATTTTTATCTGTTTAAAATAAACTAGTGTTACTTTTTGTGTTGTACCGTACAGATGCTTAAATCTACTATTAATAATCCGTCGGAAAGATAGAAAAAAATAGGAGAAGAAGCACGTTGATCGTTGAAGTGAGATGTTAAACTACAAGCAAATGTCATTTGTACAGAAACAAACATACGCACAACGTCGCCCGATAAATCAGTTAACAGATTTCTGTTTTTAACAGGCGGAAAAATAAAGATCTTCTTGGCTCAATCAAAGATGGGAAAACAGTGAGGCACTCGCGTAGACGATCATCAAGTCGATTTGACTTCCTGTTTGTTTGCGGTAATATTCACCTTAAAAAAAAAAACTACACGCAGACAGATATCTGTCTGCGTTTTAGTAGAAAAGACGTATTAAAAATCTGAGCCTCCTTTTTTTTGGAGACATTAAAATTACTATGAGAAGCAAAACAATTGCTCGTAATTTCTTTTAAATACAGCAGGCAAGAAACTTGTTGCTTTCCATTAGTGCTTCAACTATAATGCAGAGGGGCAATTCTGGCCACGAGTGTATGTCATAGCATCGAAAAAAGTGTATAGCTTCGCGTCTACAACTGTACGCTGACCTTTTGCTTCGTACTTGCCAACAGCTTGCGAAAGAGCATCGTGAGCTTTATTGCAGTCGCCAACAGGAATCAGCAATACCTCAATATCTTCTCCGTCATCCAATACTTGCTGCGGATGCTGATTTTCCGGAAGATTGCCGTTAATGGAAAGACGTACGAGTACGCAACACGAGTCGGTCAGCCCAGGTTCTGTCGAGAGAGGAGGCGAGATGGAGACGATACCGCTCGCGTCGACAGAATAGCCTGTTTCTTCGCGCAGTTCGCGAATTGCCGCCTCACCGTAGTTCTCTCCAGCGTCCACAAGCCCCGCCGGAAACTCGAGACAAACTGCATCCAGCGGTGGGCGATATTGTGCAACGACAAGAATAAAGAGCTCCTCTGCTCTCCGCAGAGTCGCACAAATTTCAACTGCATCGACCGGGATGGGAGCAGGTGAACGCTTAAACGCTTCTATGGGAGTCGTGCGCGTTGTTCGCTGCACCATCTCCCATTTTCGCTCTTCGTGCGCTTCATCATCGGTGCTAGCGTATGTCAACGAGCACAGGCGGGTGAACTTCTCGGACTTCACGACACCCATATCTTTTCGAGCATACGTGTGCTTCATTTCGCAAATTGAAACAAAAGCTGTGGGGAAATCTAGGTTTGACGCAAACTTTCGCAGCCAAGGAAAAGAAGCATAAAAATAGAGCAACAGTAAAGGAAGCGAAGGAAGATGCAAAAGAACTAATTGCAGGAGGGCTGAAAACGAACAGAACGCCTCTAAATGATGATGATAATAAAGATGAACAACGGAATTGTATTCCACGTTACCAAGGTGTTGACCGAACAGACAGGAAGCGTGTTGTGAACGACGTGCTTCTCGCGCTCCACTACAAACGATACCAGACATCGTAGTTCAACAGAGGGATCGTAGGATCTTGTTGCTTCGAAGTTCACAGAATTGCTCTGCGCACTGCGCCAGTGCCTCCAACTGATGATGGCGATCCCTTTTCAGAGAGGGGGGGGGGACTACCTGTTAGGTTCTTGTGTGCAACCGCCTCAATAGCGGTACTACATACTGTCGCGCTGCATCGACTCCCCTCTCCCTCAGTTCTCCCGTGACAAAACTGCCGAAGGGGTTATCGACAAAAAGATCTCGATATGCATGAACAAACAGCGCACCAACCGCAGCTGTGCAGTCGCTGCAGGATTCAAGAAATCTGTGTCTATCTTACGCAGTCCTTGCTTTTGTGTTGGTGTTATTTCGGCTACACTGGCTCGTTTTGTTCTCCAGAGTCCTCTATGGTAGCATTCGTTAGCCATTATAGTGCAGGCGCAGCAAAACTTTCATTTTCACAGACAATTATGCCCGACGGTAGTGTACACCTTTGAAAGCTAGTATTTCACCTGCTCTGCTCGAGTGGCGCGAAATGAAGGGCCCCTTCCCTCAACACGGAGGAGAACGACATTGCAATGACCTGAGGATAGAGACCTTCAAAGGGCTTGCTCCTCCTTTTTTCTGTTTCTTTTTTTTTTCCACTTCGGGTTTACTTTACTTCTGGTAATATCATCCCTATTTCCAACCCTTTCTGTCTAGCAATTATTCCCTTTTATAGGTACAATGCATCTCAACAATTAGCAGAAGGAAAAAAAAAAAGAAATAATAGTGAGGAATTAAACGACACAATGTACCTTTTAAAACTGCGTGGTGGAGTCGTGTTTCCCTCACGAATTTACTGCACGCATCAAGTGCAGAAGAGATTCTACCTCATAAAAAGCGACAAGAAGAAAGATGAGGAAATCGAAGACGTCGAGTTGGTACCGATATTTGAACACGACCAGGTGACACAGAAGGCGTCGCTGCCGAAAGTCGTCTCAGAGCAACAACACGGCTGTGATTGTGATGAACCGCTGTCTAAGCATTTGATGAACACTGTGGGTGGGACACCCTACCGCGTTAGCTGGTATGAGTTTCAAAGTGTCAGTCCGGCTAAGCAGTTTGTGTACTGGGCGTACCGGCGACTTCGCGACCTTCCACCGGAATGGCAGGAGTATTACCGCCGCATGCTGTACCAGGAGGTCGCTGCCAGCCGCTACGTGAACCAAACCTGGGATTGCTTTTTGATGGTCGTCGATGGGTATCGTAAAGCAAAATGGGTCTTGCGAAAATACGGTGTGAAAGTCGACGAGAGTCTGATTCCGCGGCCTTACAACAATTTTTGGGAGGAAACAACACACGAAGAGCGGGTTTGGGCACATCGTCGATCGCACCAAATGAAAGAGCTACAGGCCATGCAACGCGACGACGACGAGATCGTTTTTGGTGCGAATGTTATGGACAGAAAGGAGGTGTCGTATTCCTCTATGAAAAATTTGCAAACGGGTATGCAAGGCGGCACTCCAATTCACGCTCATGATCTATCCGCGCCGAAGGAGTCAGACCTCACCATGTCGCGCCAGGACGAAGAAATGAGCAGTGCCCTCATGTCAAGCATCGAGGACGACAAATTGTGGAATCCAGTTCTCAAGTCACGGCTGCATACGCGGCGACAGCGAGACGAAGTCGAGCTTTATGCCTTTGAAGATGACGACGAGAATTGCGACGATGACACTTCTGGAGCACAAAGAACACCCTAGCAGCGTGGGCATTTAGCGTTTTTATTGTTGCTTTCCTATTCTGCTTACCAAGCTTCGCGTTTTTAGTTTTCCGCTTTCGAAAACGCATAAACATATGCGGTAAATTATTGGATAAGATCAGATTCTAGATTATGAAATGATGCACAGATGAGTAGACTCTATGAGTCAAGGCCATTTGAAAATACGCAACTCACTCACAGGGAAATGCACTATAATAACAAAAGAAAGCTTTTCGTGCCTCTAAAGTTTTTTTCGGTGACAATCATTATTTTCCCTTTTATCTTGCTGTTTTCTTTCGTCCAATTTCCCAATTATCTGTTGCATGAAAAACAACGTAATTATTTTCTGCACTGTTCACATCTTTTCTCAAAGGAGGCAATTTGTACCTCACTTGAGCCACATATTATTAACAGTCGTCACCATCACCTGATTACACGATGGCAGATCTCCTTACACTTCAACAGATCACTGAATTGAAGGAGGCTTTTTCGGCGTTTGACCAAGATTGCGATGGGAATATTACGATTGACGACTTAGAACAGGCTTTCAGTTCCATCGGTCACAAAATCTCGAGGAAAAAGCTGCAGACGATTCTCGAGGAGGCTGATCTCGACTCTAATGGCGTGATCGATTTTCCTGAGTTCCTCACCCTTGTTGCGACGAAGCTGAACGACCCAGAGGAAAAGGAACTCGAGCTGCGACGTGCGTTCCGCATGTATGACCTCGGTAATACTGGCTACATTTCTGTTCCAAACCTCAAACTTGTGATGGGAAGACTAGGGTGCCCGTTAACATCCGAGCAGGCCTTCGATATGATCAGCGAAGCAGACGCTGACGGAGACGGAAAACTGAGCTTTGACGATTTTAGAAGAATTATGACGGAGGGATGGCAAGCTACGGTGTAATGCGGCGCGAAATCTAACTGCGCAGCATTTTGCTCCTTTGTTTTGGAACTGAGATGTATACTAGATGGTGCGTTTTAAATGGATTTTCAGCTTTTTCAGTCTTTCTTTTTTCAAACGAAGAGTGTTGAATCTTCGGAGTAGCTATCTATTCAGAGCCCCAGTGAAATTGGGAAAAGAAACAATTATGTATGCTTGGTAACAGACAAAAGGTGCACTGAAATTAGAATTAGATTGTTGGAGGATCTCTCTCAAATGTCTCCAGTGCACCGGCTCTGCGTTCAGGTACAGGCGAGATGAAATGAACGTCGCCGACTCAAAAGGTGTGTTACCCACTTTCTCGTTTTTCTTCTTTCACTGTTTTTAAATGTTCTTATTTGTTGCTATTGTTCTTCTTTCTGCTATGCCTCTTCGAATATGCTCTGGATTTTTCTTATTTTAAAATTCAATACATCACTGCAAGTTGCGATGCTTGAAGGAAAGCTCTTTTTTTCTGTACCTTCTACTACTCAAGGCTAATTCTATTATTATATCTTATTTCTTTTAATCAAACAAGCAAGCACTACTGTTTTCTGATAGTTTACGTAGAGTAATAACAATGGTCGATGTAGAAGTGCGCATTCCTAGCGACAAATCCGATGTTGTAGACGCGTATTTGGCCCTATGCGTACTGCGGAAGTTACCAGAATATACAAGAGCGCTGAAAAGCGGTTCATCTAGTACCTCGTACCGCGTCATTGACAATTCGATCTCTGCCGCGAGATGGTATTACCGTCGCTACTCTAAATATGAGGGCTTCATACGGCTTCTCAACGCGTATATGGAGGCTGTCAAGTTGGAGGCGGAAGTCACTGCTCTTGAAAAGGCTTACGAAATTGCCGAGCAATGCGAACTGCTCCCGATCCCACAACTTTGCCAACGAATTCCTACGCACGTGGTTTTGGTGTTGGTGTTGTCAGCAGCGTGTTCTCTCGCCGTGGTAATTGTCGTGTCCATTAGTTTAGGGAGGGCACATAAGAATTCCGACTGCTCATGCTCTTCCAGCGGGACGCGGGTGACTTTGGGTGGTAACAGCGAGAACAGCAGACGCGAAAGGGTTGCGGCCATTGTATTGAGCGCGATTTCTCTTTTGTGTTGTTTTGTGATATTTCCGTTGCTCTACACCACCTCGGCACGAGCAATTTACTCTAGCTCGGAGAAACTCGCCGATAAAGCACTGCAGCTGTTGACAAATTGCGAGAAGCACGAAGAGCTTTCAATGAATCCACTGTCAGAAACCAGCGAAATTGGCGATGGTACCGTTGTTGGACGCAACGCCGGTTTTCTGATCGACAAAGACACCGCTGTTCGCAATCGCAAATCGATTACGACGCTGCTGACGGAGGCCACCGAAGACGAGGGGGATGTTGTTCTGCGCAGCAGAGGACTTCCTCCTGTCGCGGTGAGCCTTAGCGCGTTTTACCGGAACACGATCATCATCATGACGAATAACGACGGGCAAATTGTAATGTGGAGCGATGGAGCAGCGGCCTGCTTGGGGTTTAGCGCACGCGACACCGAGGGTAACAACATCAACACGCTTCTTTACGGCGAAAAATCGGTCGAACAGTATGCGACGATGAGGGCGGCGGCGGCAAAAAACCTTGACTTGTCTGAGAAAACATTGACGCTCGCACACATAAGTCTTGGTAGCATCTCAATTAGCGGGACAGTGGTAGGTAGCCGGGACGCCGAAACAAATGAACACCTAGGCTACACGTTGATTGGCTCCGTGCGCTTCGATGAGCTGTCGCAAACCCAAGCTCTTTTCCACTCCTTCTTCGTTGCGGAGCTTCTGCAGATGAATTTGAAGAACCGGCAGGCTCGCCAGATATTGGATTGCTTGCAGTTGAAAAACCTCCGCGACTTCTCTGCGTTGGCGAGGGATTGGAACATTGTTCACATTCGCCGCCTGCTGGCCGATGTGATCAAGGATCGGCACCGCTTCGTCAATGTCGATGTTGACCCCAAAGTGAACGAGCTGCCACCTATTCTCTGCGACGCTGTCAACGTGACGTCGGTGTTGAATCGCGTTTGCGACCTCTTCACCAAAAAAATTCGTATTCGAGTGGAGCAGAAAAGCGTCACAAGCGCCATCTACCAGCTTGTTGTCACTTTTCACCACGACATGGCGGAGGTGGATCAACCGAACCTCTCTGCTATTACGCGGTCGGTCAACGACCTTGGCGGGATGTTGATTGACCTTCCCGGCAGGATACAGTTGTGTTTACCGTTCATGACGAAGGACGAAGGCATCCAAGCACTTACGCCTCAGGAAATTGCCGACCAGAAGTCCACTGGCCACGATCCGTTTGTGGTGCTTCTCCTGGAAAAGAACGCGCTTCATCGGCACAACATCTCTGCCGCCGTGTGGAATTATGGCCACTCGCTTCGACTCGTCGATAATGTTCGCAAAGCATTGGAGGCGATTGAGGATTCCACCAACATCGGCTGCGCAATCGTCGACGTCGATGCAAAAGGCTCGGACCGCGTCATTGAGGGATTGCTATCGAAGCAGATCTACACGATTGAGACCTCCGAAGTCTCCGACGGCGTTGTAAAGCGTGGTGACGCCCTGCTGACGAAGCCGCTGTCCAACGACGAGCTTTTGAGGGAGCTGAACAAGGCAGAGGAGAAGGTGGAAGAAGCCAAGCGCGCAGAAGAGCAAATTGTTAAGCAGCGGAGGATTTTCGAAAAGGTACGAAAGGAGCCGTGGGAGAAGGGACGTTTGCTGGGGCGAGGTGGGTTTGCGACGGTGTACGAGGCGACGTCGACGCTGACGAGCGGCAAGATGGCCGTGAAGATGATTCGTGTGAGCGGCAGCTTCGAGGAACATATCGATGCTTTCCTGAACGAGATTGAAATTCTATGCAAGCTGACGCATCCGAACATCATTCACTACTTCTACTGCGAGCGCGCCGAGACGACGCTGAACTTGTTCATGGAACTGGCCGATCAAGGCACGGTGGCAGACCTGCTGCTGCGCTGCCCACGCCTGCCAGAGAACCACGTCGCGACCATTGCAAAGCAGCTGCTCCAAGCGGTGAAGTACCTCCACGAGTCCGGGATCGTGCACCGCGACATCAAGCCAGGCAACATTCTCATCTCACAAGGCCAGCTGAAGTTGTCCGATTTTGGAACGGCCACCAGCAACATCAACATGGAGGAAGGCACGGTCGGCACCATTACCTATATGGCTCCAGAGGTGGTGGATGGCAAGGCTGGCGGCAAGGAGAGCGACATTTGGTCTATCGGCTGCGTGGTGTGCGAGTGCTTGCAGGTGAAGCGGCCTGGCGGTGGCCTTCTCGGGTACGGCGCACCAAAAGAGTTCCCCAGCGACATCTCTGCCAACGCCATTGACTTCATCAAAGCTTGTATGCACACGAACCCGGTGGAGCGAGCCACGGCTGGTACGCTCCTCTTGCACAACTTCATCGTGCACCTCGACCACGAGGTGTCACAGCTCGCTGAGGTCCCCCCGGAGGCAGCTGCGAACGACGAGGCGAAACCCCTCAAGGACGAGAGCGCGTCGAGCGTCTCAGGCGCGATTAGCTGGTCTTTTGATTAGCGGTGTGAATATTATTCCATTCTACAATTTTTTTTTTCAGATTTTTAGTGTTTTCATGTAAGTTCATATTTCGTTTCTCTTTTTTGGATAGTTCCGTCTGCTGCTTGTCGCGTTCTTCAGACCAGCAACGACACTATGTTGCGCAAGGCATCCAAAAATACATATATCTGAACGAAACAATTTCATGCAAATACTCACTGGTGACGGTGTAACCAGTCGCTATGAAAGAGCTCCAATAACAAGGCCAGCATATGTATTTGTACACAGTGGTCTCGCTCCAGGTGCTTTGCTTTCTGCTCCTTCACATCTCCTCCTTATCGTGATTTTTAAAGTTACGATCTTGATAGCGCCTCTCTTTTGTGTGTGTGTGTGTGTGTGCAGTTCCTGCGTTTGCCGCCATTTGCTGCTCTCACGGTGTTGTTTCTATTGTGTGGTCGGGAACATCTCTCTACACCTCGCTTTTCTCTTCCCGTCTAATCTCCGCTCCCTCTTCTTGACCGCGCCACGCGTATGGTGTGTGTTCGTGCAGCAAAAAAAAAAACACAACAGCACACCCACGCACATCCACACATACCTGTAGGTGTAGTGCGTTTTCTTAGCTGCGTAATCCCCCCTTTCTCCCCTTTCGAAACTCAAAGGAAAAAAACCAAGAGCATGGAAGGGAAAGCCTCGGACCAGGGGCCGTCGCAAAGGTTCTCCCTTTCCCCCGGAGAAGCCCTGCTATGTTATGACCCTAAGCAGCGCCACGCGAGGCTACAGGACTTCAGAGCGGAGGAAACACGCCCGATGTTGGCGAATAGATACTTCAGCGTAGACAACGCGGAGTTATGGAAGCCGTCCCTGTTGCAATCCTTCGGCGGGACTTGCCACCGCGCCACGTACGTCAATGACTTTCACGTGCTGCTATGCAACCGCCGGCTCGTTCTCGTCGACAGTAATGGGCGACACCTCACATTTCCACCATTTGAAGAGCCTCTCAACGACGCCTATGCGGAGAGAATTTCGGAGCACTGCGTATTGGTAATCGTCGCACTGACGTCCGAAGTTCACGTTGCCCTCATTAGCGACGGCGAAGGACAGAGGACCGATATGCTACAGAGTGTTGCGTGCCGGACAACGTTTCCCGTAGCCCGGATTCATCACTTCAAGAAAGGCCTTTACGGCTTGTGCTGCGACAACTGCACGTTGGAGAGTTTGTCCATCAAGCTCCGCAACGCGCGATCGCTGCATCCCCAGCTCGAAGCCAACATCTTGGCGAGCCGGTGGGAACTGGCACAAGTGGCGCTCGACTATGTCTCGAAGGAGCGGTACGTCCACAGCTTCTTCGATCATTACAAGGGTTACCTGCTGCTGCTGTCGAATTCTCGGCTGCTCCTGTGGATGTACCGCGACGAGAGTCATATGCGTCTCGAGAGCTCTCTGAACGTCTCGAGAATCTCCGCCGCCGCGGTCGTGGCTCCGCTTGCAGAGCAAGACGAAGAGGAGCAGATCGCCGTGCTCATCACGAGCAGCGGTGGCCGCGTACCTCTCTATTTGGTATGCGACCTTCGCAAACCTCTCAAGGGTCCGACGCTTGCCTTTGGCGAAGTCAGCAACCTCCCTAAAGGGGTGGCGAATGCGTCCGTATCGATGGTTACCTCCTGCGGCACCAGCCTCCTCATAGCGGACCAAGCAACCGCCTCGCTGGTGCTGTCCACGCAATGCGAGCTTTTCTGTGAAGCGTACCGCAGCCCCATTAGCCGTGTCGTTTCTCAGCTTTTTCTCGGAAAGCGAATCTGCGGCGTGGGTGCAAGGCGACGCAGCGGTGACGACGGTGATTTTGTGACGTTTTTTGTGTACTGCGGTGACTCCACCGTCGTGCTAATTCGCCGCGTGCCGCGCGGGCAGCTGCTTCAGCGCCAGTTCTCCGCCTCCGCCACGAACGGCATTTCTGCGCTCCGCTTGCTAGACCCTGTCACGCGCGTGGATGTGCTCCTGGATGCCGCCTTGGGTGGCTTGTCGCTGCAGCACGTGTCGGACTGCCTGAATCCGCTGCTGCTACCGCGCGAGGCGACTCCGAACGTGGCTGAGCTGTCCGACGGCGCCAAGGGCATTGTGCGTCACACGATGCGCAACCTGGGCGAGCTGTCGCGGCTCTGTTCCTCGTTTCAGTACTGGCGCCTCTCTGAGGAGCTGACCCAGTCTCGGTCGAAGCTGGAAAAGTGCTGCGACCTGCTCACCAAAGTCCTCCACTGCGACGGGTGGCTCGACTGCCCCCTCGGGGAGAACTGGAAGTGGAGCAGCAACTTTGCTGTCGCACTGCCCAGCGAGAACGCCAGTAGCAGAAGATCTGCTCTCAACGCACAGGCCGAGCTGCTGCAACTGCTTCTGACTTCTCTCAGGAGCGCTGCCACCATCGCGTGGTTGTATGAGATGATGCTGCAGAGCGATCTCACCTACCGTTTCCCCGGTCGGCTGGAGGACATGCTGTGGAAGGGCGACCCGTCGGCGATCGAGACCACCTTCTGCATGGATCTGCTCGCATTGAGCAACAAGGAGGTGACAGATAAGCTCATCCAGAGCAGGCAGGAGCTGCCGCAGCGCTGCCGCCTTGCCGCCACGCTTCTCTCCCTCGTGCTGGCCGACTCCTTTGACAGGGTCACCGCGTACGTGCGAGAGCACATTCTCGACATTGCCCGCTGCGATTTGCTGGCCTACACCAACGAAGTCATCGAGACCCACTTCCCCGGCTCCCAGTCGCGTCTTCTCCTGTTGGTCTACTACTACCCCCACCACCGCAGCGCCTCCTCCGACATTGTCGCCCTCGTGGAGCGCATCGCGTCTGTGGAGCTCCTCCACCGCACGCTGTCCGCCATCCTGCACGACCCTGCCTGCGACGACGATCTCACGGCTGTCCTGCTCGACTGGATGGAGAGCCACTCCCTCGCGGACAGCCGCATCCCCACCTTTGCCCAGGTGGTTGTAGAGGCGAACCTCAACGTGGACCCCGCCCACACCCTCGCCGGGCGGTTCTTCTCGTCCTGCAAGCAAGAGACCGCCGGGCACGGGCAGCAGGCGTCGTTCCGCTTCGGCGAACTGGCACGCAGCGAGCTTGCCGTCCCCCTGGCCGGCCGTCTTCTTTCTGCGGAGCATGCCCTGCAGGCCACGCCATCCGACGTGGACCGCGTCACCCAGTTTGTTCTCTTGCTGCAGCAGCAACTGGCGAACTTGATCGACGAGCACCTGCAAAACGGCAAAAATCTTTTGTTCACACGCAGCAGCATCGAGAATGATCTGGCGCTGCTGCGGGAGCACTACCTCGGCGAGAACCGTTTGTTTGAGCTCTCGGGGCGGTACAAAGCGCTCGGCGGGTGCAGCATTCAGCTGGACTTGCTAAAGATCCACCCGGACTCCGCTCCGTTCGCCATCGCGAGCGCCATCACTGGCGTCCTCACGTTTCTCACGGCGGTTGGGTTGCCGGCGACGGAAGCCGTGCGTCGCGTGCTGCGGGAGTACCTGGACAGCTTCCAAGCCCCGCTGCCTCTTTTTCCTTTCGTGGAGTTTCTGGCGTTTGACGGGCAGTCCCCTTCCACGACCATCCACGAGCTCGCCGCCGCTGGGGTGCAGCTACCGGTGCTGTTTGACACCTTCATGAGCCTCCTGGACGGACACAACAACCCGCTCTTTCCCCTGCGGGAAACAGTGGCGGCGGTGGCGCAGCTCGTGCCAAAGATCGATATGAGTGTGCAGCACATCTGCGCAGCGCACCTGCTCGAGTGCAGCCGTAGCCTGCTGGATGGCGATCAACGCACCGTTTCGTTGTCAGACGAGGATGAGGCATTTTTGAAGGAGATCGGTGACGAGATGCGCCGACTATCGCAGCAAACAAGCCGGTGAAGAGCCTGCCGTGTCTTCCCGTCTATCTGCTCCCGACAGCGTCTCTACGCGACTTAACAGGTTGTACAGCTGCAAAGAAGAAGAAAAAGAGCGGAAAAAACTTCCATTACTTTTGGTGTGTCACGTTGGAGTACGTCCTTTTTTTCTCTTTCATCTTCCTCTTCACTTTTGAAGCAGGAAAGAGAGAGCAATGGACCTCATTGGGCATAGATTCTGCACAGCACTTAACATTAACCCAAAGCAACAAAAGAAGAAAAAAAAGAAAAGGAACAGATTGCTTGCAAGTCAAAGGGATGTCCTAGGTAGTCACTTTTTGTCTTCTTTAGGTCTCTGCGAGCAAAGTATAACGGGTGAGTAAAACTGTGCGAGACGCCGTGCAGTTTCCTTTTTTTTCTATGGCGCGTCAAGCACACAATGGAAAACAAAGTGTTTTTTTTTTATTCCCCTCTTGCTCTCCGTCTTTTATGGGTGCGTGGGCGTCTTCATTTCATCTCTCCTCGCAAACGCTTCGCTGCAACGCTTTTTTTTCTCTTTCTCCCCCCCCTCTTCATCGTCACTCTTCTCCTTGGCACTCTTTCCTTGTACCCGTCGTGTGTATTTTCTTGGGGGTTAAAAATGTCTTCCACATCAACCAACGCCCACGACACCTCTACAGAATTCTTTCCTTTCTTCTTTTCTTCAAGAGGAAGTATTCAAATCGTCTAGTTTCTAAACAAAACTCCTTTTCAAGACATTCGCGGTCGTACTAAGCACTCAACTTTCATATATATATATTCTCTTTCTCTGATTGCTTCTGTGCGGGTCTCCTCTGCGCTCCACCTCTCCACTGCAAAGCGCTACGTAAGTATCCTTGACCCCAGGGAGAGGAAAGCAGGATTCACAGCAAAGAAAAGGAAAGAAAAGAGAGCTGCGGAAAAGTAATCCAAAGCGAAGTATAGAGACTTGATCAGTCGATTGAGCATTCTTTACCATCTCTTTCCCCCTTTTTTAAGTTGATTCTTCATCTCAGCTGATTGCATTCACCAAAAAGCACACATGCTCCGTTTGTGCGCTGCATTGCGCGCAGCCAGCGCACTCAGGCAGCCGCACTTGTTCCACATTGACTTCTCCGCAAAGCACATGCCAGGCCGCCTCTACTTCGCTGACCGTGCTGCCAAGTCCACTTCACAAGAACCCAACTTCGTCTGCCTTGATAACGCCATGGCTTGCCAGTCTGCCGATTCGAATGCCGCCGTCCTAATAAGAAGTGGCGCGCCGAAAGACGATGAGCTCCTTCAAACGGGCTGCATGCGGTTTCAGGGTGGCGGCGCCGCATTTGTTTTCCGTCACCACCGTCTTCTTTTTCAGGGCATCGGCGACGCTGCCGTGCAGACCCACGAGGTGTCTCTCCACCACGACGACATCTTTGCGCTCGTGAGTGGCATGCACCGACAAGAGGACATCGACGCCTGGGTTCGCGCTGTTGAAACGGCCACCGTGGAGGGTGACGTCGAGTACGTTGCGGAAGAGATGTTGCTCCAGATGCGATGCGTGACAGAGGGTTGCACGTCCGTTGTCGCGCGGGTCTCTAAGTTCTCTACCGGATTGCCGGAGCCGCCATGTTGCTCGCAAGCTCTCTAGAAGATGCGTGAAGAGAACAGAAGAACGCAGGATACAAAACCAGAGGGGGGAGGAGGAAAAAATGCGCAGCGCCAACACGTTTCAAGCGCTGAGCCGCTTTTTCCCCTCCTCTCTGCAGAGACCGCTTTTTTGTTTTCCTGATCGCTGCATGAAGGCCTCAAGGCAGGAATTTGAACGGAAATGTTTTCGATGAGTTATACAACTACACATTTATAAAAGGTATCCTACACCAACAAATGAAGACATTCATGCGTTTACCCACTTTACTAATTTTTTTCTTTCTGTTTTTGCTGTTTTCATCATTTCCTCTCTTTCTTTTTTTTTTTCTGTTTTCTGCGTTGTCTTTTTTTTTCCAAGAAAAGTAGAAGACGAAGATTACGTGGGAAGAAGCCTGACATTTCCTCCTGTTTCATTTTCCGTCTCCATTTTTTTTTTTTTTGGGGGGGGGGTTTCTTTAATCTTTCACTGTTTATAGTGCTCTTTGCATCAAGTGGTTTTAACGCACCATACCTGTTGATATCGAGTCCGGGAGTTTGGAATGCAGTGTCACGAGCACGTGCATTTCTTAAACTCCCCTTTTCTGCTCTCTTCTTTTTCCTTACTTGCTTTCCACCTTTTCCTGGGCTTTTTATCATTTCAAATGGCGTCTTCAGTAAATGGTGTTTTTTCCTTTTAGGATGGCTGTACGCGTTTGTTCATTTTTGATTTCCATTGAGTGGCATTAAATGTCGTGTTCTTCCCTCTGCGTGTCTCCTCTTGCGCGTGCTTTCTTCTTTTCCTTGTCATGTAAGGAGCACCCAAAGGAGGAATAGCAAGAGGTAGAAACGGAAAAAAAAAAAACGCGCTTCGCCAATGAACACATGTACAGAAACCCGGTAAGCAGAATCAGAAGCACGTTTTGGCTGGTACAGGGAGCAGAAGCACCAACATTTTATTCGGCTACCCAGTGCAGCGACGTGTTATTCCAAACTTTCTCCTCTCTTTTTCTTTCTGGTCTTTCCTGTGTAATTTCCTTTGACATTTTTTGTTTGTCTGTTGGCTTCACGTGTTTGCTTGCTGTTGCGAGTTCCTTCCTACCGCTTTTCGCCCCACACCGACCTTTTGTTCTCTCTTTTGTGGTTCATGTCTCTTTTCTTTTGCTGTTCTGTCCAGTTTCGTTTTCATTCCGTCAAAACAGATGCTCGAATCAAGCGACATGCATGTATAAAGCTAATGAGGTATTTTTTTGTAACGCAAAAGCAGAAGGTTTGTTGGAACTCTGGACAGCTGTACGAGTTTTTTCTTTTTCTTTTTTTATAGTGTGTCTGTGCGCCAGCGAGAAAAAGATTGCCCTTCTCTTTTATGTCGGGCTTCTTTTTTCTTTTTTTTCCCTGATTTTGACCGTTGAGTGGTGCACGTTGACGTTTTCTTTGAGAAACAAGTGTAGTTTTGTACATGTAGACGTTTTCGTAAGAAAATTTAAACCGTCTGTTTTCTGTTTTGTTGGTTTGCTTTCTCTTCTTGTCTTTTTCTTTTACCATTTTATATAACGCTTCTCTCTTTCTTTTGCGGTTTATGTATGTCACCTTTTTCCTCTCCTTCTTTTTCTTTCTTTTGTTGTTTCACCGGGATTTACGCAGATACAAGCAAACACGCTTGCGGAAGGAAAACACACATACGCACACAGGAATAGGGAATCGAGGAACGCTACGGGCACTGCGAGCGATGCGTTGCATCAGTAGGAGAAGAGGAGGGAATACTTGAAAGTGAGTTTTTATTTCTCTTCTGTTACTGTTGCATGTGTTGCGAGCGCAGCTTTCTGAAGTGATGCGTTCTTGCTCTCCTTGTGTATCCATATATATATATATAGCCATTCTTTTTGTTGTTTTTGTTGTTCGACGAATTGGTATCATGTGATGATTTCCTTTTACGCCCTGAAGGCGGAGCTTTTTTCTTTCCACACTGATCCAGCTTTACTGCTTCAGCCGACATTGTACATTCACTATTGAATAGAAGGAGAAGAGGCCATTCTCCCTTGAATGGAAAAGAGTTTCTTCTCCCTTTTGTTTTCGCCACTTCAGCGCTTTCGCGGACAATGCAGTATCCGTGCCGTACGGGTCGCTTCAGCAAGAATTAGTTACATGGGAGACGTATGCACATGCACTCACTCCCCACACCGCTTTTGAGTGTGTTCGGGTTTTTCCCCCAATTTTGCTCCCACTACTCTTGAGGATACTGTCACTGCTCCCGTCGCTTCTCCCCCCCCCCTTAATTTTCATTTCTCCTTTTTGTGTTAAGGAGTTGCATTTAAAGTACAAGAAGGAGTTGCGTCCCCCTTTTTTTTTTTGAGACAGCGATGTAAGGAAATAAACGGACTTGTTGACTTGACGTGTTATAGTGGCGAGGGAAACGGTTTTTAAAGTCAAACGGAATTGATTGTGAACACTACTATTCACGGTCTCTCTGCACCGCAGTTCTACCGTGAACCGTTGAGACTCGTACAACAAAGGGCAAGTAAAGCGATCTCGCGTGTGCGTGACAGGATTGCAACAGGGTTTGGCCTTTCTTGGATCTTTGGAACGCCGCATCGCTAGAGAAGGTGAATAAGCTGTCACGCATGAACTGTCTCGCACTTTACTCTCGCACTTTACTCTCGCACTTTACTCTCCCCTCTCTCTTTCTCTCTCTGTGTGTATGCATGTGGGGCGCTGGTGCTGGTTCTGCGTGGGCAGTGGCACTTTTTCTACTTTCCTTCTGTCTGTTGTGAAGCGAGAGCAAAGGGAAAAGGCAGTTGACTCTGCTTCATTAATACAAACACCATAATAGAGAAAAACACACACACAGTTTAGACATGCCGCCAAAGAAGAAGATCACAAGGCGCATCTTCCTCAACGCGGGCGAGGAGTATACCTTAACGGGAAACGGCGCCATATTAATCACGCTTCAGTCTGGTGTGCTGGATGTGGCCGGCGTTATGCTCGAGACGAATCGGCCGTACACCTTCTATTTACACCCCGACAGGCAGTTCATCATCGTCTTCACGCTCGAGGGCGGCGTCTGCGTGGTGTCGAGCGACACAAAGGTGGATGCGCGCCGTGATGTGGCCAGGGCCGGCAAGCTGGTCCAGATGACCCGACGCACGCTGCTCGCAACACGACGGTCCAAAGTGCTTGTTATTGGACGCCCCCACTGCGGCAAGACGCTCGCCGCGCACACGTTGTGCAACCTGCTCATGCGCTACGGCAGCGACAAGAAGAGTGTTTTTCTGATGGACCTAAATGCGGAGTCGAACTGCCTCTACGCCCCAGGTTGTGTGTCGTGCATTCAGGTTCCAGATTCACCGCTCTGGCCGGGCTTAACCGCCAGCCCAACGTTGCTGCCACTGTCGTTGTATATAGGCGCCGCTGTCTGCCCCTCTGCCAGCAACGTGAACTCCCACTTGCACTACTACGAGCAGCTGAACGAAACGGCGATGTCGTACGTTCAGGAGCTGCGCGGTGCTGGGGGGCGGCAGCAGCAATCTTCTCTCTCACTGCTGCCTAACGAAATAGTATCGCACGTCGTAGTGGATGCCCCGGCGCCCCTTGAAGATCTGCAGGAGGGTGTGTGGTACCGGAAGCTGATCGAGGTGCTGCGTCCCACACACGTGGTGATCGTCGGAAGCCGCGATAGTGGTGAGGAGAACTGGTCTACGTTTCTGCAGGAGGACGTGCAGCGCGTGCTGCCGGACTGTGAGTTTTTCTTCACGGACCCGGTGGCGCACCCCTGTACGAAGTCGTCGAGTCGTGAGCTACTGAAGGAGTACTTCAACGGCTCTCCTTTCTACTCCTTGGGGTGCTCGAAAGTGGTTGTCCCGCTCAAGTCACTCGTCTTTGTGGAGGAGTCGAGCGAGGGCGGTGGTCCCAGCAGCGCGGAGGCGATGTCGATGCGCGTCGTGCACCCCGACGAATCGTTCCAGAATCTCGTGTGTGCGCTGTCGCACGCGGAGCTGGTGGAGGAGGCGTCGTTGGCGCCCATCGCTGGGCTCATGACGGTTGTGTACGTGGATGAGGAGAACGAGGAGGTGGCGCTGCTCCTCCCCGCCGCAGAGGAGCCGCTGCAGCGTCGCATAGTCATTGTGCCGCAGACGAAGTATCGGGACACGCTGCGCATGACGAATGCACAGGTGACGGCGATGGAGGAGTCTGTTGCTGTTTGAACGGCTGCTCCGTGGTGCACCGGAAAGAAGGTCTAGAGCGCGTTTTCCTCTTTTGTGCCGCTCTCCCTTCTTCTTGATGGCACGGAGGACACAGTGCGCCGCTGTGAGATGGCTGTGTTGCGTGTGTGTGCGTGTGGAGGTCTCCGAACGAGACGGCCCTTTTCTTGCTCGTCCTTTCTTCGATGACGCAAGATCGATTTGGGAGAATAGTCTGTAGATAAATAATTTGTGCAGGGCTGAAGTGGAGGTTTGTGTTTCCTGTTCACCGCGGCCTGTACATTCAACAACGTATAAAGGTACTAAGATGAGCAACCCAACGCTGTTTAGCTGGAAGCACAAGCCTTTTCTAGCGACTGTGGCTCCTTTTGCCAACTCACACTGTTCACAACAATCGGCGTAGAACAAAAAAATGCATAGTGGACTTGAAAAGGACGCAGTCGAGGTATACTCGAATACGATGTGTCGCAGCTCATTGCCTGTAACAGACTTGTAAACACGTAGACGGTGAGGTATCGTACCAATGTCAGCTTTTCTTCTTCCTTTTTACCTGTGCCGTGTCTTTTCTCTTCCTTTGACTTCCTCTTCGTCGTTTCAACTTTCCTTAATACATATTTGCGCATAAGTGCTTTCTGCAGTAGAGCGTGAAAGGTACGTCGTAAGGCACACGCACACACACAGACCTCTTTCCAGTGAAAACAAAAGAAAAGTAAAGGTTACCATCACACAACACGCACACGGAACAATCGTAGAGAGGGGGAAAAACTATCGCAAATGCGATCGAGTACGCTGGTGCGGAATCCGCATCGAATTTCGTGGCGGACGCGTGCAAAGCGTGCGATTCAGCGGAATGTGCGCAAGTACGTGCCCGACCCTCGCGACAACCCGCTGACGGAGACCCCCCTCAGCGCAGAGGCGTACGCCAGGACTGCCCAGCAGCAAGAGGGTGGTGTGCGCATCGGCATCCGTCCCGGGCAGTCGATCGAGGAGTACATGGCGGAGCGCGACCGCAAGTGGCTCGGCCAGCAGCGAGACGAATTTGCTCACCACATCAAAGACGATCACCTCCCCACCACGAAGGACGGACTCCCATTTTTTGCCGCCGGCACGCGTGAGACGTACATGGACGTCGACGCGGCGAACAAGCTCGTGCACACGCCAGAGGCGAAGGACTACGAGATGGATGAGGAGACGCAGCTGCTGCGACGACAGCTGCAGGTGGAGAAGGAAGAGGAGTACCGCAAGTTTGTGGCCGAGGCGAAGCGGGCGGACATCTCAATGGCGGAGACGCAGAAGCGGCGCCGCCCGCACCCGAGCGATCCGAACTACGACCCTTTCAAGATGACGCCGGGCTACCGCCCACAGGACAGTGTGGCCTTGGCCCAGTGGCTGAAGCGCCAGCGTGAGTCCGGCAAGTCGGCCAGCGGGCTGTCGCTGCAAACAAAAGAGGGCCAAGAGCGCTTCTACAACGAGGAGAAGATGGCGACGCAGTACAGCGCAAACCCTTTCGCGAATCGCATTGAGATTCCGCGCGGGCTGTCCTCGATGCGCATCACTGCCTACTCCCCGGATAGCATCTTTATCAACGACAAGGAGGTCATCGGCTCGTGCATTGTGACAGAAAAAGGCTACTACCACTGGAATGTGAGCAGTTTCGAAGAAGTAAATGAGCGGACGCTGGCGATGCTGCTGCACATGTACCCGGTGCCGGACGTCGTTTTCCTCGGGACGGGGCGTAACCTCTACTTCATCGACGAGGAATTGCGTCTCGCTTTCCAGAAGCGGGGTACGGTGATTCATTGCCTGACGACGCCACAGGCATGCGGCCACTTCGGTGTGCAGCTGTCCGTGTCGCGCCGCTCTGCTATGGCGGTCATCAACCCCATCCCGACCAACGGCTACGGCGTAGAGTGCTTCGGCGACTTTGTAGAAAACGACATGTTTTCCTTGTCCGACACCCAGCTCGGCATCTCGCCCATGCGGCAGTTCTCACCCTCGATGTTTAAGCCGAACAAGGTGGCGGAGAAGTACCGCGCGACGCAGGGCACCGGCATTGGTCCGCAGTACCACGAGCTCAGCGACGGACGGCTGGTGCGGCCGGGCACGAGCGGCACGAAGCTGCGACCGATGCTCGAGCCAGGCGAGACAGTAGACTGGGAGAAGCTGCCCTCCTACTACCACTGGTACCCCAAGGAGGAGCTTCACGACTACATTGAGAACACGACGTGGCGGGAGATCAAGGGCAAGGCGACGGGCAATGCCACGGAGAATCGACTGTACACGGCCCTCCGGGGCGACTCCTACGTCAAGGAGGACTCACCGACGCCGGAGCTGGCACCGTGGAACTCGGCGACGATCCCCATCACCAAGTTCCCGCACGAGCGCAACGAGGAGGAGATCATCGTCGAGGATCCCAAGACGGGTCGCATCATCGGCATGGAGCGCGACACCTACGAACGCTGGAAGCGCATGATGAAGGAGCGCAGGGCTGGACTGCCCGAGAGCGATCCGGTGGAGTATGATCAGGAGCGCTACGTCACGAACAAAGATGGCATCGTCTTTGATCTGTCAAAGATGAAGTACCGCCCGATTTTTGAGGGCCGCTGGAACCCGCGCCGCCAACAGAGTACGGGCCGTACCAACCCGATCATGACGTAGTCTGTTTGGGCCTTTTGAAGGCTGCGGTCACGGCTTCTTTTTGGTAGTGGCTTTGAGATGCACCTGCATGTTTTTTTTGTTGAACTATCGTTTTTGCCGATTCGCTCACAGCAGTAGCTAACGCTGCATTTTACGATTCAACCACAAAGAGGAGTATTCTGTGGTTTCCTTCGAGCGGCTTCGCTCGTTGATATCGCGTGCGTTGCGAAGAGATGAGAATGTGAATGCGTGCTGACCTTCCGTTTTGTGATGTGTGTGCTGTGCGGAAAGATCAAAGCGATGGACTTAAAGTGGCGAGGAAGGAATCGTCTGACATTCTCTTTTCTTCTCTGTCCTTCATTGTTTCTTCTCTTTGATTCTTCCGCGGCTTCGTTTTATCCTCCAGGCTGGTTAACCGCTTTGTGTCGCCGCCACTGTACTTCTTTTGTGACCTGCACACACGCACACACTCGCACAGAGGCCCATGCTGCTGACCATCGTCGGCACGAATGGTCCTCTCTTTGTCTTCCGAAAGTCGACCGAGACAGCCGACTTTTTATCCTCCCACTACCCACAATTCGCGAAGAGGTCACTGGGATGGCAGCTAAGTGTTGAGGAGGTCTACTGTCTTCAGTCGCGGCAAGACAGTTGCGCAGAGGCGGGGCCAGGAAAGGCGCCTGACTTCGCCGTCTCCTTCGAAGCCGCTAGCGCGGTGGAGCAGTACACGGCGCTGCGGAAGGCGTACGCGTCGGATTGCTTCATTTACAGCGAGCTGACGCTTCGCCACGGGTACAAGCTCCGTCACGGTAGTTCGTTTGGGGCGAGCTACATTGGCTATCGAGACCTCAACGAACACGGAGAGTGTCTCTTTTTTACGGGACCACTGACCGCCCTCGAACAGGTCCGCGCTGTGCGTACGGCACACAGTGTTGGGAAGGAGGCTGTGATGGTGCTCGTTGTCGCCGAGGAGGCGGGTGTGACGCTGACTCGCTTGGGCGGTGGTCGTGCTGCACCGGAAGTTGCACACCGTCGAAAAATCCGTCGAAAGGAGTGAGGAGAGTCTCTCGTACGGTGATGCGTGTGCATGAGTACATGCTTTCCTCTCTTCGACGTGCAGCACGTGCTTTGCCGTTGGAATCACCTCGCCTGTTGCCACCTGACTTGAGGAGAGAAAGGTGGGACTGTGCCCCGCTCATTGGTCTTTCATGTTGCCCGTGCCGCAGCTCTTCTGCTCTGAAAAGCCCAACAACAACAAAAAAAAACAAAGGAAATTACTTTCAACTAATCGGCTCGCCGATCATTGTTTCGGACTGTGGATTTGCCTACGACCGCAACTATGCGTCAGCAAATAATGACTACTGTCTTCCTCCCCCCATCGATGTCAGCGCTGCCGGACGTAGAAGCCTCATTTTATGCGGTGGTCTCATGACCAAAGAAAAAGCGTAACCGGCACAGACACGATTTTTTTTTCTCTTTTTCACTTCTATTAGTGAACGTTCGATTTTTCTCAGTTGCACCTCTCTCTCTCTCCTCACCCCTCCCTCTTTTTGTCTTCTTATTTTTCCTTTCAAATAAACTCCTCCAACCGGCGTCGCCACCCCATTTACCTCTCGGCAGTGCGAAATACTCTCAAGGAGATGTCGTGCCCTCGTGTTCAGTACCGCCGTCGCATGCACTATGCCACTCGTGGCAACCGCATGAAGATGGTCCGCACCCCGGGCAACAAGCTCGTGATGCAGAAGCGCACGAAGCGCTCGCAGGGTGTCCACACCCCGTGGGTGCTCGGCCACAAGCGTCTCGGCGGCACGAAGGCGCTGCGCCACATCGACGCCCGCCTGGCCTCCCGCCACGAGAAGAGCGTCTCGCGCGCCTACGGTGGTGTGCTGAGCCATGCCCAGGTCCGCGACCGCGTCGTGCGCGCCTTCCTCGTCGAGGAGCAGCGCATCGTGAAGCAGGCCCTGAAGGAGCACGCGAAGCTGAAGCGCTCGAACAAGCGCACCATCAACAAGAGGAAGAGCAAGCAGTCGAAGAAGGAGGCGATCGTGAAGAAGATCTCCGCCAAGACGGTGTCCAAGAAGAAGGTCCCGGCGAAGAAGGCCGCTACCGCGCGCGCCCCGATCGGCTCCAAGCTGGTGAAGAAGTAAAACGCTTAGCTGACAATCACCTCCTCCTTTGTGCGCTACTGCATTTCGTGTGTTCGTGTATTCGCATTCTTGATTTCGTTCCTTTCTATTACTTTACCTTAAAAACAAAGCAAAAACAGGAAAGAAAAACAGCAACAAACACTCCAAAAAGGGAGAAGCAGAAGTGTGGGTCGTGCACGCGCATTTGTCTACTAATGCGCCATATTCCCGCGTTGGTTTCGTTTGTCAGCTAGTCATCAAGTGCATCTCAGCCTTTCGCATGTGGGGCGAACGTACTCGAGCAAAGCCTCAGAGCGTTGTGTTCCCAAGTTCATGAAGAGGTGCGTGCCTTGCGTTCTCTAAACTAGTGAGAGCAGAAACAGCAGCTTGCTGGCTTTTGAGTTTCCGTGTGGTTTAGTGGCGTTCCCGCACAACAGGAAAACCGAAACCATGTCCCCTACGATTCTCTTGTGGTCACCGCCGTCTTGCTCTCCACTTCTCCTTCCTCTACACTTTCCGCCTTTCCTGCTTGCCTTTTCCCGCTTGTACCTGTGGGTGTACTGGGCATCATTTGTATTCTTATGTAAAACTCTCAAACCCTCGCACATCCGTGCTCTCCTCGTTTTTCCTTGCCATTCTCGCAGGTCCCTACTCCCTTCTCATCATGGGCTTCTTCGACGCGGATCTCAGCTACCCCACCGTGCGCACGGAGCGCATGCGCCACAAGCGCCGTCGCCTGGTGCAGGGCCCCAACTCCTACTTCATGGACGTGAGCTGCCCGCGCTGCAAGTGTGTGACGGTCGTGTACAGCCACGCCACGACTTCGGTGGAGTGCAGCAAGTGCTCCAAGAAGCTGTGCCGCCCGACCGGCGGTAAGGCGATGCTCGTCGAGGGTTGCGGCTTCCGTCGCAAGCCGGATCACTAATGCAGTTAAATTTTCCAACCTATGATAAGGTGGGGCCATCGCGGCTTTGCTTTTTCGTTCCGTTGGTTTTTTTATTGACTTTTTGATGACCTCCTCCAAGGACCACCAGTAGTTATGTGATTTTCTTTTCATACTTCTCATCTTACTATTAAAAACAACAACAAAAAAGAAGCAGAAGCAACCACGTACAGCTCTCGTTTTCTTCAGACTGCGCGCTGCACGGTGCTCATCATCTGGCGCTGCGCCGTGTAGCTTCTGTTGCCGGTGGACCGCGAGTGGCTTTCTTTGCCATCAAAGCGTGTCGGCGGAGGCGAGGCAGGCGTACGAGTCTCTTTCTTTTATGATTATTATTATTCCTCCTTCAGTATTTATCGTTGCGGCGCGTGCAAAGGGCTGCGAGCAACTGCGTGTCCCGCATGCCGGGTTCATGCATTTCTGCCCTTTAGGAATAAGACTCGCGCGCCGCTCTTACCTGCAATGTGCTCACAACCCACACCCTCACCCCAAACCTTTCCTTTTAAAAATAAATACCTCTCTTTCTTTCTGTCTGTTTTCACACCGTCTCATTTACCTTGCCTCTTTCACGCGTACGCAGTAGGCTTTGCATTACTTCTGTTCGACCATCATGTCCAAGATCCCCCCGCAGGTGCTGTCGGAGGCCATCCAGGCCGTCCTGAAGGTGGAGAAGGAGCGCAAGTTCAAGGAGAGCGTGGACCTGCAGGTCAACCTCAAGAACTACGACCCCCAGAAGGACAAGCGTTTCTCTGGCTCGCTGAAGCTGCCGAACGTGTGCCGCCCGCGCATGTCCGTCTGCCTCCTGTGCGACCTCGTGCACGAGGACATTGCCAAGAAGGAGGGCGTGCCGACGATGAACCAGGAGGAGCTCAAGAAGCTGAACAAGAACAAGAAGCTGGTGAAGAAGATGTGCAACCAGTACGACGCCTTCCTGTGCTCGGAGTCGATCATCAAGACCGTGCCGCGTCTCGTCGGCCCGCACATGCATCGTATGGGCAAGTTCCCCACCGTGTGCTCCCCGAGCGAGTCCCTCACCGACAAGATCACCGAACTGCGCGCCACCGTGAAGTTCCAGCTGAAGAAGGTGCTGTGCCTCGGCACCTGCATCGGCCACTTGGAGATGACGGAGGACCAGCTCCGCCAGAACATCACCATGGCGCTCAACTTCCTCGTGTCGCTGCTGAAGAAGAACTGGCAGAACCTGAAGTCCGCCTACCTGAAGTCGACGATGGGCAAGTCGCAGCGCATCTACTGAGTGCTTGAGCTCCTGCGCTCTTCAACACATTCAGTGAGTGGAGCGCATCTCATGTTTTGTAGGTGAGTGGGACGAAACCTCTTCACGAAGCCTCTTTTATGCTTTTCATTTTATGTTCTCATCTATTACAAAACAACCACAAACAATAGCAACCAGGAATAGGCCGGTTTCGGCACGTCAATCTGTGACGTTGTGTCCACTACAACGTCGTAGAGCAGAAAATGTTTGCGTGGTGGAGACTGTTGAGTTGAACAGTGTGTTCCTTCTTGTCCCACACCTGCACTTTAAAGAGCAGCGCTGCAGCTTCTGAGGATTGATGTTGCTATGGAGGTGCCTGCGCCAAAAAGGGGAAAAAACCCAGTTGTGGTTCGACCTTGCAGCACTTGACGTCTTTTCCTTAAATGAGGTTGAGTACACTGTACGGTCAACGAATTATATGTTGTTTTCCCTTGCGAGGTAATAAGGCTGCCTGTGCTTTTTGCATGTGCATTCCAGTTCGCTTTTTACTGCTCTCATCTATTTTCTCTTTTTTCTTTACTCGTCGTCGTTGTCTCGCGTACCCCAACACACACGCAATATACTTTTTTAAAACCCAAATTCAACCACCACCACAACTGCTAGGAAGAGAGCCTCTGTTTTCGTATCTAACGCACGACAAACAAAATAAAAAATGCCGATCACGCAGGAACAGCTGAAGCGCCGCGCCGAGATGGTGCGCACGGGTGGCAAGGGCTCCATGCGCCGTACCACCAAGGCTCACCACAAGAGCTCTGGCGATGACAAGAAGGTCCAGGGAACCCTGCGCCGCCTTGGCGTGACCCCCTTCAGCGACATCGACGAGGCTGTGTTCTACCGCCAGGATGGTAGCGCCTACTACTTCTCCAAGCCGAAGGTGCAGGCCTCCATGCAGACCCAATGCTTCGTGGTGTCCGGTGACTACGAGGTGAAGTCCGCCGAGGAGGTGGATGCCAAGAAGGAGTAAGTTTTTTTGTTCGCAGAACTCTTCTACTTACCCTCTCGATTCTCGCTGCGTCGCTGCCGTTCGCTTTTGCTCTCTCTCTTTCTTTTTCTACTAGGTGATCAGTCAAAATTTGAGATGCATGTGCCATCGCCGATTACTGTTAGGAGAGTCAGAGGACGGAGAAAAGGTCTGAGCCCACGCTGACAGTGGCGTGGGGATACCCTGCGTTGTTCGTCGAAACACACGGTTTTTATTCTTCTCTCGTTTATTCTTTCCTCTTATTTCGTAGTCAAAAAGGAAAAAAAATCTTAAACTTACGATGAGTTCCGCTCTCTCGAAGGATTATTCCTTGATGGAGAAGGGAAAAAAAAGATCGTGTGACGCTGATGAACGTTGAAGAGGGCTAGCGGCGCATTAACGATTGTGACGCAACGGAGCCTTTGCCAATGCAAGATGAATAGCTGTGACGTGTGGGAGCTGAGACCAACGTCGTTGCTGCCGGTTTTCCCCCCATGCATTTCTGGGCTGGGAGCTGCGATTGTTTCCTCAGCTTTTCCGATTAGACACACACACACACACACACACACACACACGCAGGCACGCACAGGAAATGTTCTTGGAGGTTCATGCATACAGGCGTTTCTTCACTCTTTGTTCTACCTCTCTCTTTTTGTCTTTCTTTCTCTTCCATCTCTCACGCAACTCACATTTCCGCAGTCCACAACAGATAGTTAGCTTTTCGAGTCTCTCTCTTTTCATATAGAAATATTAGCTCAGCTCCTTCTGGCGCACTTTCTACAACGTAACGAGAGGACTTGCTGGTGTCTTTATTGCGAATCACCTTGGTTTTTTTATTTCTTCGTCTTTCTTGTGTTTTGCTTGTGCGTGTAAGCACAGTAGAATCTATCGGTTTGTGTTGTCAGGTCTTGCTGTCATTTACGCCGTCTTTCGCCTTTCTGTGTGGCGGTGTTTTGCGTACCGTTTGCTTAGGTTCTATTATCGTCGCGGTGGATCACTTGTTTCGGTCTCCATCCCCTACCGGTTCTCCCTTTTTGTTGTTGTTGTTTGCGCTGCCTTACGCCACACCAGTGGCTTCGGTGTATTATTATTATTATTATTGTTATTGTTAAAGCTCTCTTTTGTTTCGCAGAGCTCGGAACTTCGTGCGGATCGCTTTGTCTGGGAACTGGTTCAGCAATCCACATACAATCGAACACACACACGCACACACGCAGAAATGGAGGAGATTAAGACGTACACCTATAAGTCGGGTGCCGTGTATGAGGGCAACTTCAGCGGCAACATGCGCTCCGGCCGCGGCCACTGGACTCACCCCCAGGGAGAGACCTACGAAGGCGAGTACCAGAACAACAAACAGGAGGGACTGGGCATTTACATCTTCAAGGACAGCGGAAAGCGCTACCTGGGCCACTGGAAGGAAGGCCAGATGAGCGGCGAGGGCCTCTACGTCTTCAACCGCGACCGCACCGCCTACTACTTTGGCAACTACACCAAGGATAAGAAGGACGGCGTAGGCCACTACATGTACGAGAACGGCGTCATGACGACGCAGCAGTGGAACATGGGCGCTCTTGTCAACGAGGAGGAAACGGCGCCAGTGGAGGAGGTGGAGGTGGTGATTAAGATGAAGGAGCTGCGCGATGCGGTGCGGGCGGTCGCGCCGAAGGAGCTCGGCGAGGTTCCGCCGCCGTCCGAGGTGCGCACCTTCCAATTTCCCTCCGGCGCGACTTACACCGGCCAATACTTCGGCACCAAGAAGCACGGCCGCGGGTACTGGCTGCACCCGGAGGGCGATAGCTACGAGGGTCAGTTCGACAACAACCACCACAACGGCTGGGGCGTCTACGTGATTGGCCGTAGTGGGAAGAAGTACGTGGGCCACTGGCGCGACGGAAAAATGAACGGCATCGGTGTGTACTTCTTCAACCCACAGGAGACGGAGTACTACGTAGGTCTCTACCGCGACGACGTGAAGAACGGACGCGGCATGTACCACTTCGCCGAGAGCGGCGCGAGCATGGTGCAGATGTGGGAGAACGGCACCCTGCGTCAGGAGTCGGAGGCGGATAAGGAGACGGAGGAGAAGTACGTGGCGGCTATTAAGAAGATCATAGAAACTGTGAAGCCGTTCGCGCCCAACTACGAGCCGGTGGCGTTTGCTTCTTCTTCTTCACCTTGAAATCCCCCAAAAAATAAACGGAGCATCTCTGTAGACTCCAAAAAGCGAAGCTGCCTGAGCGCTGTGAGAGGCCCGGCAGAGAGGTGGACTGACGTCGCGTTAAGCGGAGAGGGAGACCACCGCCGCTGTGGTGGCTGTCAAAGAACCGTCTGCGCGGTTTTTATTGTCGCAGTTATCTTGCCTCTTTTTTGCTTCCATTGAAGACGTTTGCCTCTACGGGATAAGAAACAGAACAGCGAATTAGCAGTAAAGACTACCAAGCTAGTCGTTTGCTGTGTTTCGTTCTTTCCTCGTAGTGCCGCTTCCTGAGGTTTGGACGTTGCCGTTCCCACGTACGTCTGGTGCTTTACTTTTTGTTCTCCGGCTTTCTATTTTATTGGCCCGCTTTTTTTTTTTTTTGCATACTACGTTTGCTCTTGCGTGTACTTCAGGAAGCAGTATTGTATCGTGTTATTGATGTCTTTCTTTTTCTCTCCTCGTATTGTCTTCGTTTACACGCAGCAATCGATGAGTGCGGTGATCGTGAAGGGGTTCCCCCCCCTTACCTCAGGGGTTTTTACAGTATAATTCTTCTTTTCAGCCGGTTTTGTTTTGTTGTACTCGTTGGCGTGGTTCTGCGTGTGTCTGTTTCGCTTCCTCTTTCTACTTGTCTTGCCAAGTGACCTTGAACCTTTTTTCATTTTAAAAATATTCTGCAGGTCTTCGTCACTGCAAGCGCAACAGAAGCTATCCTCTCGAGGGAAACAACATGGTGCTTTCCTGTTGTTTGTCGAGATGATCGAAAAGAACAGAATAATGCTTTTTTTTTAAATCTAGCACGATGCGCCTTTTCGAAAGAGCATGGATATGGAAATCGGTGAGTTAAGAGCCTGCCCTCCTTCTCCCTTTTCTCCAAGCATCGCCCTTTTTCATCGGCGGAGTCATGGCAGGACGGGGGAGAACAATCGGCCTGGCAAAGGTCTCTCACAGTTCAGCAGTGAATCTTCTGTACCTCAACTGTAGCCGTTTTTGCTTGGGTTTTGCTAGCGACTTTCGCTAGATGAAACACATCAGAGCCGACGGAATGGCGGTGGCATCGACAAAGCCAATCGTCAGAGTGAAAGGAGCAGTTCATGATGTTTTCTTTTCCCTTCCCGTCCGCGCAACGGACCCCATCGTCCCCCCATTTGCATCTCATTTCATTGTATCTCTTTACCTCGTTTCTTGCCTCTTTTTTTTCCCGTACACTACGGCGACTTAACAGGGCACAAAAACAGCGCGTAGAACACACCGCCCAGCTTCGAGCCGTGATGGAGCGTGTGTTCTGTGTCGGCTTTTCTCCTTTTCTACAGAAACGCCTGTTAGGACATCTTAGATAGTCGATCCTCATAGACTGGTATTTTTACGCATGTACATAGAAGTAGCGTATTATTTCGCTCTCTCTTTTTTTGTTTGTAGGGGTTGCCGAGTCTCTTCAGCATTGTTTTCTTTTTGGTTTAGCGTGGCGTGTTGAATTGAAAGCGTTCAAGCATCCCCTGCAAGAAGAAGTGGAGTTTTGAAGAAGCTTCTCTTCGTGGTGGCTGTGCGGCGCCTGGGCAACGATGACGACTCCGATCCTTCTCGGCAAGGCGGAGTTGCTCGCGTGGGCGGCAGACGTGACCGGCATCACCCCCTGCGAGAAGTATGGCGACCTGAAAGACGGACTCGTTTATCTCGCCCTCGCACGTGAGCTTTTTCCACAGGACATCGACAGCGCTATTGTGCGCCTGCAACGCCGTGGGGCGCGCGACCCCGCGAAAAACTGGTCGCTGCTCACCAGCTGCCTGCGACGCCATCGCATCCCTCTTCACTTGTGCAACCGGCAAGCCGTCGAGCGCGGCCACACGCGTCATTGCTTTAACCTCCTGGTTCTTTTCTATTTCCTACAGCGGCTTTCACACGGGGATCAGTTTTCGGTTGACTTCGCACAGCCGGTGGATCCACAGCTGGCGGCCTTCCTGCAATCACCAGACAGCGTCGTTGCCGTTACCAGCACTGCCACGGCTTCGGAGGCAATCGCCAACAGCAGCGAGAGAGAGCAGACAGAAGAAGTAGAAAGACAAGCCGGGGGGCGGATGTCCAGCAGTGGCCGTGTCGTGACGCGACTGTCGACATCCCCGTCAGCGTCCAGACTCCCCCCTTTCACTCAGCAGCCACCACACTCTTCCTTTATCGCAGGCGTTGCCTCCTCCCAAGCGGCGATGGCGCACGCTACGCACACTGCAAAGCCTGACTCCTCTGAGCACCGTCCTGCGGAAGCCGCCTCGTCTTTCTCGCAGGGTTCCCCTGGAGTACACCCACACGCGACCTTCACGGCAGGACTGATCTATTCGCATGCCAAGGAACGAAACGGAGAGACGACGTCAGACAGCGGCGGTCATCAACGGGGAGTACCGTCGTATCGCGACGCTTCACGTTTTCGCTCCAATGTGGCGCTGGAATCACATCCGACCGGAGACCTCGCCGTTGAGGCCGCACCCCCCACACTGCTGCAGTCCTCTTCCTCGTCGTCGTCGCTGCGGACGGAAAATCGACTGCTGCGGGAGGAACTGCTGTACGTGAAGGCGGTGGGGCAGCTCCTCCTCACGCAGCAGCGTGGATCGGAGGCGGCTGCGGAGATGCGAGCCGCCGCCACGCTGCAGAGCGAGCTAGCGAAGGCCGAACTGAAGCACCTCTACGACCTACGACAGCTGGAGGTGGCCCTGACGTCCTCTTCGCCCGCCTCTCTACTTTCAACGTACAACGGACGTGATGAGGATTCGCGGTTGGCTGCTGCCGAGCATCGTGCCGCGGTCGCCGAGCAAACAGCGGCGCAGCTATACGAAGAGATGCAGGAAAACCACCAAACCTACGACACGACGCTGCGGCAGCTACAGCAGGTTTTCCACTCCATCGAGGCCATCACCGAAGCTGCACGGCCGGCGGCATCGACCTCGTCCTCGGTGTCAACCGGCGCTGCGGCGTACGAGGAGGCCGTGGCAGATGTCATGATGGCACAGCTGAGATGCGTGCCCGCCGTGCCGCGGGAAGCCTTTCGAGCGCAGCTGCGGGCGTTGCTGTTGACGTTGAACACGTTGCGTGTACGCAGCGAACGCCTACGCATGGAGGAAGGTGCCACAGCGGTTTGCTATGGAAAAGAAGAAGACAACGCGGAAGACACCGACCCGTCGACCTCCGCGCCCAAGACGCGGTACTCCAGTATTCCACCGGACATCTCGTCGCTGTGCGAAGAAGCTCGCTACCTCTCCCAAACCGCCGACCCAGCGGTGCAGCACACTTGTCTTGACCTTGTACAGGCGGTAGAGGGGCTTCACGCCCAACTTGAGAATGAGCAGCACGACGTAGAGGAATGGCAGCGGCGGTGTCGTAGGATGGAAGTGATCGCTGCGTCTGCGGAAGTTGCGCTACAGCGAGCGCGTGCTACACCTGCGGAACGGCGTGAGCAGGACCTCGTGGACGGCTCCGCCACCAAGTTCAACACGCAAGGGGACGCGACCCATTCTATTCTACCGTATCGCCAGGAGCAGGCTGCAGCAGCGCTACAGGAGGCGCAACGCCTATACGATCGTGTAGCGGAGGTGCTTACACGCGCCTTCTCGACCCCCGGCACAGAAGACATGAAATGGGCGAGTCAGCAGCTGATATCGCTGTTCGACGCATTTGTGCAGCGGACGCAGCAACGTGTTGCGATGGAGACGGCCCTGGCGGAGCAGTGTGAGTCAATTGCATTGCTGCGAAAAGAGGTGCGCCAACAACGCGAGGCGCTGGACAGCGCAAAGGCGGACTTGACAAAGTCGCAGCTTCAACGAGGTGAGCTGGAACAGCGTTGTGCTAGACTGGAGAAGCAATTGCGCTTACAGAAAGTACAGCCCTGTGATGAAGAGCACGATGCAGAGGTGCAGCAGGGCAGTAGGCAGCGCGCATGGTTAGATCGAAACTCGCCGTCCGTGATGTCGGCTCCCTTACCAAAAGCATCTTTCTCAATCCCAGCTACGCATGTACGCGCGAACCTCTCTTCTGCTGTCCGCATCCGCAACACAGCTCCTACACCTGTGCCGGAGAGCAACGTCAGCGCGCTCTGTCCGACATCGTCTCCGCGCGTTCTCTCGCCGTACGAGCCCGGTGCCCTACGCTCTCCAAGTCCATCTAGCTCTGACGATGAAAACCGACAACTAGGGCAACCAACGCGTGTAGAGGATCGCAGCGACGGCAACTACCGTGATTCGTTACAGGCGCCGTCGCTTCTGTCTTCCCAGCCGCAAGTGACGAAGACCACAGCTCTGAGAGTCGCAAGCGGAAGGCAGATTTCTTTTACGGACGACGTGATGCCGTTGCCCAAAGCAGCAGCAACCCCCTTTACCGCTATGGCTGCAGAGAAGAAGTCCATTTCGGCCGCCGCTGCTGCTGCTTCTCCGTCGCCTCTGCTTTCCGCTGCAGAGTTGGAGCGGCGCAAGCAAGAAATTCTGCGGAGATACAACGTGGAGTGAAGGAACTGCTGGCTTTTAAAAATATATTTGCGAGAGTGATGAGGGGATCACACTTGCTGGCACGCTCTTTGCCGCTTCAAAAACAAAACAGGAAAGTAAATAATGAAGGCACTGCGAGTGGAGCGACGGAGTTTCTGCTAGGCGATCCACATGCTATATACTCTTAAACAGCAGGTATGACCACGGCCATCCTATACAAATTGCACTGAAGAGCCCATCGAAGGATACTCAACAGCCGAACTTTACCACGCCGCACTTCTGTGTGGAAGCATCGGAGTCTATGTGTGTATTTTTCCCTCAGCTGTTGTTGTAATTCAGCTGTGGGGTGCGATGATCTCTTTTCACCGTTTCCCTCCCTTCCTTTCGCGACTGTTTATGCCTTTTCCATTTTCCCTTGTGCGTTTATCTGCCAAGAGAGAGTTAAGGCGTACCGATCCTCCTCCCCCGTTTTCTGCATTCGTAGCGGAACAATCCATCCAACATCTCAAAGCATACGGCCAGTTATTTTATTTTCCCTCTACGCGCACATCCTCTCACCATCGCATTCCCGAAGCGAAAATGGAGGCACTCAAGAAGACCGCCCTTCACGGCTTTCACATCTCACAAAAGGCGAAGACGGTGGACTTTGCTGGCTTTCACATGCCCATGGCGTACGCCAAGCTGGGCACGATCAAGGAGCACCATTACAGCCGCAAGGTGGTCAGCATGATGGACGTCTCGCACGTCGGCCAATTTGAAATCCGCGGCGCCGATCGTGAACGCTTTATGGAGCACATCACACCGGTGGACTTCCAGAAGGCACGGCATGGCCAGGCTTCCCTCTCGATGATGATGAACGAGAGGGCTGGCATCAAGGACGACTGCATGCTGACCAAGATGGACGACCACCTCGTCATGGTGCTCAACGGTGGCTGCAAGGACAAGGACGTGGCACACATCGAGGACGTTCTGCAGAACTCGCCGCAGACGCGCGGCGCGGATGTGCAGTTTATTCCCCTGGAGCGCTCGTTGATTGCGGTCCAGGGCCCAAAGGCAGCGACCATCCTCTCCGAGTTTGTGGACGGCATTCCTGACATGGACTTCATGTCCTGTCGCCAGAAGGTGAACGTCAAAGGGATGGAGGTGCAGTTGTCGCGCTGCGGGTACACCGGCGAGGACGGCTTCGAGATAGCCGTGTCCAACGAGGATGTCGTGCCGCTGGTGGAGCTGCTGCAGTCGCGCCACGTCGAACTGATCGGTCTCGGCGCCCGCGATACGTTGCGAATGGAGACCGGCCTCAATCTCTACGGCAATGAGCTGTCCGAGGAGACGAATCCTGTGGCCTTACGCCTGATGTGGTGGATCTCGAAGCGGCGCATGGAGGAGGGCGGCTTCATCGGTCACGCGGCGCTGAAGCACCTGAGGGCCAACGCCACCAAAGGCGCCGTGCCGCAGCTGCGCGTCGGCCTCGTCTCTACCGGCCCTGTCCCGCGCCGCGACACCGTGATTGAGGTGGATGGGAAGGAGGTAGGCTATGTCACGAGCGGCGTGCCGTCGCCCACATTGAAGAAGAACGTTGCGCTCGGCTTCATTGACCGTGCGTTTGCGGACGTCGGCACCAAAGTGGATTTTGTCGTGCGGGGCCGCCGGGTGCCGGCCGAGGTCGCGAAGCCGCCTTTCCTCCTCCCGAAGTACTACCGCAAGCCGCAGTAGCCAACGTCACTCACAACACACACACACAAACACAGACCCAATAATAATGTTAATAGCAAAAACAACAGAAAAGGCGTTCTGTCACCGTGCATCAGCAGACTAAAGGGAGGTGTGTAGCGGAGTCCAATCCGTTTTCCGTCTCTCGGTAGAGTTTGCTGCGATGCACCATTATCCCTTTTTTGTTGTTGTTGGTGCTTTCGTTTTCCTCGCGTTTCTGAAGTTAAGTGGTTCCAACTGACGCACACAGAGCCAAACACACACACACACACACCCGCCGAAAAGCAGGTAAAACTACCCGAAAGAAGTAACAATACATCATCCCACACAACCGCCACAATAACAGCAGTGCGTGGATGCTTCTTTCTATTAAGGAAAGTATAAGTGTTTCTGCGTCTTTCCCCCCTGGTAAATCCTTCAATGCGATAGGTTTTTTTTCTTTTTCGCTTTCCCCCCTTCTCCTAGACGAGGTTCTGTGAGTGCGCAACGCTGCTTTTGTTGTGTACACAAAAATATATAAGGCGGCTATTGTTGCCCGTTCACGCTCCTCCGTATCGTTTTCGATTCAGTTTGGTTTTTGTTTCATTTCATTAGTATTACTATTTTACTCTCCTTCTCAACGACTTCGTTTGGTAATCTTACGGAGTCATTCACCTGCCCTTCTGTCTCTTCTTCTTTTTAAGTTTTACACTCTGGCAGTTTCATTGATTCTTTTCCTTTTCCTCCTTTTTCCTATCACGACAAGTGCACGACGACTGTGATGCGAGATACACCTACAACCATACCGAACCGTTTGGTGACTGCGTTTGAGGGGACTGCTTTCTTGTTGCCCCCCTTTTTTTGGGGTGTGCTCCAATGAAGCACTTCTTCTACATCTTGGCGCAATTTGCGCAATGCACGAACTAGTCGTTTTCCTCCCCCCGCCGATAGTCCTCAAGGAGCGCATTTGCGCAGAGAGGATTATTACTGCCTCAGTCTTTCATCTACGCGGCGGGAAACGTTTTTTTTCTTTTTGCTCCGTTGAATTCTCTGTAGTTGTCTGTTTTATCGTCATTATTCTACTTGTCCGCCAAATGCTTTCTCTTCTTCTTTCTTCCCTCACCTGATTTGCATTCACCACAACGCAATGACGCGCTCCATTTTTTTGTTGTTGTTGTACGCATACGCAGCCGAATTCGATTGAGGAGACAGCTGGCACGTTCATCGAAACACGTCAACAGCTCTCGCTTCTCCAACAACGAAGACGATAATCATCATCGCCGTTCAACAAAAACTCCTGTACATATATATATATATAAGTACGGTCAAATGAGTTCCATGAAGAAGACCGCCCTCCACGGTTTCCATCTCGCTCAGAAGGCGAAGATGGAAGGCTTTGCCGGCTACCACATGCCCATCTCCTACCCTAAGATGGGCGTGCTCAAGGAACACCTTTACACCCGTGAGGTGGCAGGCATCTTTGACGTGTCGCACATGGGCCAGTACGAGATCCGCGGCGCCGATCGTGAGCGCTTCATCGAGTACGTGACGCCGGTGGATCTTCAAAAAAGCCACCCCGGTCACGCCGCTCTGACAATGCTGACGAACGAGAAGGGCGGCATCAAGGACGACTGCATCGTGACGAAGATGTACGACCATCTGTACCTTGTGCTAAACGCCGGGTGCAAGGACAAGGACGTGGCGCACATACACGAGGCGTTGAAGAATGCACCACAGCTGCGCGGCGCGGATGTGCAGTTTATTCCCCTGGAGCGCTCGTTGATTGCGGTCCAGGGCCCAAAGGCAGCGATCATCCTCTCCGAGTTTGTGGACGGCATTCCTGACATGGACTTCATGTCCTGTCGCCAGAAGGTGAACGTCAAAGGGATGGAGGTGCAGTTGTCGCGCTGCGGGTACACCGGCGAGGACGGCTTCGAGATAGCCGTGTCGGACAAGGACGTCGTGCCGCTGGTGGAGCTGTTCTTGGCGAAGAACGCGGAGATGGTCGGCCTCGGCGCCCGCGATAGTCTCCGCCTGGAGGCCGGCCTCAACCTCTACGGCCACGAGTTGTCCGAGGAGACGAATCCCGTAGCGGCACGCTTCATGTGGTCCATCTCGAAGCGGCGCATGGAGGAGGGCGGCTTCATCGGCTACGACGCCATCAAACACTTCAAGGAGAACGCCACCAAAGGCGCCGTGCCGCAGCTGCGCGTTGGCCTTGTCTCCACCGGTCCCGTCGCCCGCGAGCACACCGTGATTGAGGTGGATGGGAAGGAGGTAGGCTATGTCACGAGCGGATGCCCGTCGCCGTGCTTGAAGAAGAACGTCGCGCTCGGCTACGTGAACCGCGATCTTGCCAAGAAGGGAACAAAGGTGAACTTGGTGGTGCGTGACCGCCGCGTGCCGGCCGAGGTCGCGACGCCGCCGTTTGTGCCCACCAACTACTACCGCAAATCCCAGTAGGCAGGCTGAGAGAGAGAGAGAACAGAGGGACGCATTTTTGGTGATTGAGCAGCGGTTCTTGCTGAGGGTGCGTGGCCCTGGTTCTCTGCGCGAATAGGATGGAGTAGTCCGTGTTTACGTTGCAGGCGGGGCGGGACGACGGAGGGACGCTTTGTCCTCCTCGCCTTGCAAGCGCAGAATCATAGGTAGTGCTTGCGTCAACGCAGCAGCAGCAGCAACACACACACAAAGCGGAAGGAAAGGATCAGCGGACCGCTGAGCGTAGGGCGGAGTGGCGGCGACACGGTGCAACGAAGAAGGAAATAGCGAGGGAGAAGCCACGAGAAGCAGCCGTTGAAGAAAAATACAAAGACAACGGAAGTTCCGGTGTCGGTGAGACCCAGCTGTTTATACCAAAACGAAGCAGAGAAAAAGAAGAAGAAAGGACGATGCCAGGCGCTTTCTATGGAACACCTCTCCTGTCTTGTTAATCATGATTCTCTCGAGCTTTATTTCCCCCTTTTTTAATTGCTTGAGCTTGCACGTGCTCGACCGCTTCCAGCGTTGGTTCATTTCGCCTCAAAAAACAACAACAACTCTCATTTATATTTCCGTCTTTTATCGATTGAAATTAGTTATCCTGCGAGCGAGCATCACTAGAAAACAAACAAGAAAAGAAGGAGGAGGGATTACAATAATCACAACAGTTTCCTTTTTTTTTCGTCTCTCGCGGACAGTCTCATTGCGTGAGCAAACGGCAACGGATGCCGGAAAGACCCTTACCAACTTACGCACCTGCCATTTTCCTGTCTGTGGAGCGGTGCACCACCCTTAACTTTTACGATGCTGGTAACTCTTTTTTTTTTCAGCTGCGAAAGAGGGAGAGGGGATCGGGGGCGGGGGAAAGCAAATTCTGTTTGCACGGTGAATTTTATTTATTGGCTTTATATTGCTGTCACTACTTTCAAGTGCCTTCTGTCGCCCTTTTTTTTGCTCACTCCTTTAGCTTTTCGAGCTCTGACATACGATAAACTGCAGCAAACAGTTCATTCACGCAGTTCAAAAGGAAATAGGAATAGATACGCACACACACACACACACTCAGGAGATTTCGTTGATTGCAGCGAACGACTGAACAGCAAGGCTGCTTGTACACCCAAAACACTCGTTGCGTGTTGGTTTTTAAAAGCACATCTCTCTCCTTTTTCCGCCTGGCTCCAGACTCTAATAACTGTGGCTTTTCTTTTGTTGCTTTTGGTGGTGGAGTATGTCCTCTTCCGACATGCGCGCGGCTAAGGCACAGCCCTTAGCTCCAACCGCCTCGGACCTGCATCAGCTGCGATTTGAGAACTCGATGCTGCAAAACGAAAAGCAATTCCTCACACAGGCCGTTGCCGCCGAACCGTCGACGTCAGCGCGCGCTAACACAGCTCGCCACAGCGCGGACTCGATCGAAGTGCGACTTCTACGAGCGTACTTGAGAGCTTGCGAGGTGAACAACAGCGAGGCGCGCGCGATTGTGGAGGCACAGATGCGGGCACTCGTGGGAAAGACACAACGCAAGGTGGACGCGTTGCGCGAGTTGCTCCAGACCGTGCAGAAAGATGTGGAGGAGGTGCTGGAGGCGAGCGGTGGTTGGGAGTTCACGCAGGACGTTCAAAAAGTTACGTATCGACAGTAGGGAATGTCGCCGATCGAGGTGCGGAGTTTCCGCGTTACGCTTTGGCATTCGTATTTATTATGCTGCTGTGTTGCGTGATGCTGTTGTTTCGAAACGTGTTTCTTGCCTTTGCTGGCATTCCCTTGTTCCTGTATTATGTTGTGTGGAAGCACTCGTTACCCGATGGCGTTTGCTTCCCCCCTCATTGCTCTGTGTTTTCTTCACCTTTTTAGTCTCGCACTACATCCGCTAAAAACGACAAAAACAGATAAAAAATAAAACAATGGAAAACGGAAGAGTTTCTATTCTTCGAAGAACAACAACAACAACAGAAAAGCAAGCAATAGGACTTTTATTTTGCCTTTCGAAGTGTTTGTTGCCGCAATGTACTCACGCTGCTTGCACGCTTCGTACTACGTTCAATAATTTCAAACACCATGCTACTTTCACGCACTTACTTGTCTTCGTTCGCCACACTCACTCGACTCTTTCCGCTTTTCGTCTTCTTTCAATAGATTACGTTACTTCTCTATTCTCCTGTCTCTTCCGAGTCTTTCTTTGGAAAGCGAAGTGGCGCACTTCCTGCCAACGAGGTTTCAGCAGTGCACGTATAGTACCTGCCGAAGCAACCAGCATTGGCGTTCACATCAACATAAATTCGTTTGTATGCCCTTTTTAATCTACGTTAGTACTCATTGCTGCTTTTTTCACTTCGCTCTCTCGGATCAGCCTTCTCGAACGGAAGGTGCCTGATCGCCTCTCGTAGAAAACAAAACACCTCAGTAGCTTCTTGTGTCTCTGTGCACGCACGGCAAAATGGGTGCGTGCTTCTGCTGCTGCGGTGATTCTGAGAACCTCGACTACCGTGTACCACCGTCGCGCTTCAGCGGACTCAATGGTGCTAATAATCGCTCCTACGACACCGGCGCTTGTAGGCAAGACAAGCAGCAGTTTAGCAACACCTTAATATGCGAGTTGTGCGGCACGAAGATAGATACCGCTCTCTTTGACGGTCACAGGGAGGTGTGCAAGGCGAATCACTTACGCACCCTTCTCGCCAAAAATGCTGCGCTGTTGTCGGACGCCAACATGCGGCCGTCGTCGTCGAACTCTCGCTTGAATGAGGACCTCCTCGGGGTAGGCGAGAAGGAGCTCTGCGTTGTCTGCATGGATCGCCCCCGCTGTTACGCCTTCCTCCCCTGCGGGCACATTAGCTGCTGCGAGGACTGCACCAAGCTGCTCGATCAATGCCCGCTGTGCCGGCAGCCGCGTGAGGGTTTGTGCTACGTGTCGGCGAATGTGGCCGCGCAGTACGAGTGCAAGCACTGCCATGAGCTGATCGCCCCAACGCTGTTCGACGGCCACCGCGAGGTGTGTGGGCTGCGACAACGCCAAAAACAGCGGGAGGCGGAGGAAGCCGCTGCTCGTGCGCAAGCTGCTGTGCAAAACAAAGAGGGTGGGTTGGCCAACGAGGGCGTCGTGTCGGTGCACGTAGAGAAAAGTGCGACAAGAAACAACGTCAGGGACGACCTCCTCTTGAAGAAGTCAAACTCCCCCGTCCAAGCTACGCCACCGCCTCAGCAGAAGGACGCTGATTCCGTTTTCGTCCCTGCCCGGTCTCACTCGCACGTCTGTCTTGAATGTGGCAAGCGGTACAACCAACTTGTTGTGTGTGTGCCATGTGGTCATCGCGTGCTGTGCCACTCCTGTGCGAAGAAGCGGACGACGTGCCCGGTTTGCGTGAGCGAAATTCGCGACACCGTCGTGGCGTTTGACTGAGGGTGCTCTTGAAGACAACAACTACAAAGATGAAGAGCAAAAATCGCTGACGCCGATCCCTCTTCAAAGTATTTGCGTTCTTCTTTGCTCTTTTTTTTTGGGGGGAGGGCTTTTGCTTTCTTTTGCACTTGTGTCGTTTCTGTTGATTCGCTTTATCCCATTCACAAGAGTGGGCTAGAAACACTGGACGACTCTTTGCTTCAACTCCTTGAAGAGAGTTTCATTGAAGCAGCTCAAATATGTTTTTTCTTTCTTGAATACCTTTCTTTTCTTTAAAATCAGTTTCCAAACTACCCTCTCTCCATCACAAATTCTGCTCAGATTACGTTTCTGTTGTGTTGTTTTACTTGAAGAAAACTTGCGTTTTTTGGGGGCAACGGTTTTGCTCCTTCGAGAACCTTTTCAGATGTACTTTTATGTGTTATTACCTCTGGAGTTACAGAAGCACCGGGGACCCGGGTTATATATATATTCGCTCGTCCCAGAGCTTTCTCTTGTGCTTGCGGACGGAAAACGCATCGACGTTACGTGCTCCGGATGCGTAACCGCGCCTCAATTTGTTTTCCATCCGCTCTCTGCGGTCTACAAAAAAGAACGAAATGATGCTGGTGTTTTCTGCTTTATGGTGGTGATTCGTGTGACCGTGGCTCAGCTCTCTTGCCCTCCGTTTTTTTTTCTTGGTGTTATTGCTGTTTCTTTTCTCGTACCTTTTCATGGGCCTGTGCGCTTTCAACATGCGTTGTTTCTGTCTTCCGCTCGTATGTGGTAAGATCCACACCCACTCACACAGACTGATATTGTATTCTTCTCTTTGGAATCCGTTCACTTCACGCTGCCTCCCGACGCCCCCTATGTGCGCGTAAGCCAACGCCACCGATGCAAACGCCTGGGAGACCGTTGTCGTCATTTCCCTCTTTTACATCCCGGTCGTTTCAAAACAATCGCCTGTACAGCCTCTGCAGAGCACTTGCGGTTGAGTCAATGTGCACCGCGCAACTTGATCCTCCCGGATCACGCCTCCTTCTGAGCTACAGCGCTGCATCCTCCTGTTCTTCTCCCCTCTTTCCCCTCCCCTACCACCTGCTGGACAACTTCTTTTAATGGATTCAGTTCGCCTTTTTTTTTCTTAATATCGAGCTCTTAATATCAAGCAATTCTTACGGGACTTTGCAGCCCATTCGCAACCACGAAGTTCGTTCGTCAACGCATCATGTCCGCGGCGTCTTTACTTCCGTCAAAGCTGGAGGGCTTCGTACGCCCCGAATTCGAAGACACATGCCGCCGGCGCTTCTTTTATGGCCTCGCCTTCGACCCCTACGGCGGAACGGCTGGTCTGTACGACTTGGGCCCGACGATGTGCGCGATGAAGAGCAACATGCTGCAGTTTTGGCGCCAGCATTTTGTGCTGGAGGAGAGCATGTGTGAAGTTGACACGACCTGCCTGACGCCGGAGGAGGTGTTTAAGGCGTCCGGCCACGTGACCCGCTTCAACGATGTCATGGTGCGTGACACCGTGACGGGCGAGTGCATCCGCGCTGACAAGTTCCTCGAAGAGTGGAGCGAGACGCAGATGGCGAACAGCGACGTCACGGCGGTGCAGAGGGACGAGTTCCTGCACCTGCTGCACGACGCGGCCGGCATGAACCCGACCCAGATCAAGGCTGTGATGGATAAGCACGCCATCAAGTCCCCCAAGGGCAACCCCTTCAGCGACCCTTTTCCCTTTAACCTCATGTTTTCCACCCACATCGGCCCAGAGGGCGACCGTGTCGGCTACATGCGTCCTGAGCTGGCACAGGGCATCATTCTGAACTTCAAGCGTTTGATGGACTCCGGCAATGCGCAGCGCATGCCGTTTGCCGGCGCCTGCATCGGCACCGCCTTCCGAAACGAGATCGCCCCGCGCGCCGCCCTCATTCGCGTGCGCGAGTTCACGCTAGCGGAGATTGAGCACTTCGTGAACCCGAACAACAAGGCGCATGAGAAGTTCGACCGCGTGCGGGACGTCGAGATCTGGGCGTGGCCGCGCGACCGTCAGGCGAACAACGAGGAGCCGATGCGCATGAAGGTTGGCGAGGCGGTGGACAAGAAGATCATCGACAATCAAACGCTGGGCTACTTTATGGCTCGCGTCGCCATGTTCCTCGAGTCGATTGGCGTGCGCTTCTACCGCTTCCGCCAACACCAAACGACGGAGATGGCGCACTATGCCCAGGACTGCTGGGACGCCGAGCTGCTCACCTCCTACGGCTGGATCGAGTGCGTCGGCATTGCGGACCGCTCCGCCTACGACCTGACGCAGCACAGTAACGCGTCGAAGAAGGACCTGTGCGCGCGAGAGGAGTACGACGCCCCCCGCGTGGAGCGCCAGCTGCAGCGCAACTTAACCAAGGGTCTCATTGGCAAGACTTTTGGAAAGAAGGCGGGCGAGGTGATGGAGTTTCTGAACACCGCGCCGGCGGAGGCATGTGAGGCGATTCGCGAGGCCCACGCGAAGGGCGAGGCGGCCGCGGTGACGCTGCCCTCCGGCGAGGCGGTGTCCATCACGGACAAGATGGTCACGTTTGCGGAGAAGGACGTGAAGGTGACGGGGTACAGCTACACGCCGAGCGTTATCGAGCCCTCCTTCGGCGTCGGCCGCATTCTGTACTGCCTGCTGGAGCAGAGCTACTGGGTGCGCCGCGACGAGGCGAGCGGCAAGAACGACAAGCGCGCCGTCTTCAGCTTCACTCCGCTGCTGGCCCCTCAGAAGGTGGCCCTGCTGCCGCTGATGGTGAAGCCGGAGTTGATGACGACCATCGCCGAGCTGCGCGCCGAGCTCGTGCGGCGCGGCATCTCCGTCCGCGTGGACGACAGCGGCGTGACGATCGGCAAGAAGTACGCCCGCGTCGACGAGCTCGGCATCCCGTTTGCCGTGACGTGCGACTTCGAGGACGACGGCGCCGTCACTCTGCGCGAGCGCGACACGGCGTCGCAGGTGCGTGTGCCGAAGGAGGAGGTGACCGACGTCATTGTGGAGCTGTGCAACGCGCACAGCCCGCGCACGTGGGAGTCGGTAGTGGCGAAGTACCCTGCTCAGGGTGCTGCTCCTCCGGAGGAGCGCACGGTGTTTGAGCGCGTCATGGACGACACGTACGGCTTGTAAGAAGAAGAAACGGAAAAATGCCAACGCACATCATCTTTCCCTTTTTTTAGAATGTGTGCTTTCGTTTTTCTGGCTTTTCTCGAGGACTCTTTTCTAATCTACCCGCTTTGCCGCTGCCACGCTCACCGCCGCATACACATACGCACACCACCCCTGAGTTTGATGGTTGATACTTGTGTGGGCTGCATGAACTGCCGTTGTGTGGTTTCGATCTTTCAAAGTAGCAAGCGCAAACTCCAGAGGGCACACTCGCACACACCCTCCACCTTTTTCTTATTGCTTCCAACGCCATGGCTGGAGTGAAACAACGAGGGTTATAGGCAGCCATTGAGGCCGCAACAGGCAAAGGGAAAGGCTCAAAGACACGCTCAAAACGTGGGGCTTCTTCGCAACCTCAGAATGTTGTAACTTACGAAATTTTGTTTTTCTCCGTAGCGTAACTAACTCTGTTCCCTATTTATTCGATTGTCTGTATTCAACACAGCTGTTGATAAGAGTTTTTCGTTGTTGTTGGCATGCAACTTTTTTTTCTGAAATGAGCGTTTTCTTTCTAACTCTCTGATAAGTGTGAGAAAAGACCCCAAATCAAAAAAGAGAAGATAGCACTCGCGTTGTCAGCGATGCCTGGCTTCAGTGCGGCACGAACACGGGCAGTTTTTTTTTGAGCTTTCATCAGAAGTGTTGGCGTCGTCCGGTTCGCAGTGACTCGCTTCTCCTCTTTCGATTTTTAGCTCAGCAGGCTCAAGCAACCTGCTCTCAGCGGACGACGTGCGACCGACGTCATATTAAGCTGCCCCTTGCGTTGCTTGTCTTGGTTGCGGAGTGCAATAGAAGTTGAAGCAAGGACAGAAATGTGGATAGGGGCTTGCAAACGTGTGCCACTCGTCCAAGGAGCTTCTTTCGTCGATACGTACACAAGCTCTGCCTCGCAAACAAACAAATACAAACACTAATCTGACAATGTCCGACCTTTCCTTTTAACCGATTAGTCTTCTTCCCTCCTCCCATTCTTCTTACTCCTCTATCTTCTTCGCGCCTCAAATCTACACCGCATTCGAAGTCGTTTCACTTTTATTTTTTCCCTTTGCTGAACGTTTCCCTTTTTTCCTTTTCATTGTCTTCTGGTTTCTCTACAGCTCTTCGGTGGTGCTGTGCTTCCCACTGCCAAGTACATTTTCTTCTCAGCTTCTACGTTTTATTGTTGTGCCCTTCCTTCTCTATTATTATTATTTTCATTTGCTTGTTTGCGCTGGCCAACGACGTTGCTCTTTGACGTTCAGTGAACGTATTTATATATTTCTTCCTGTTGCTGACACTGCTTGTGCTTTCTGTGCTAAGTCCCGCGACACCTTTCATCTTTTAATTCCTCATTCGCATCTCTCGTTGACTTTCCACAGCTTCTACCCAAAGCATTTCTCGTGTGTTGGCTGCCTTAAAGAACTGAGACTGATCAAAGTGGAAAGTAAAACAGTCGAGAAGAGAATGTTCAACCGTTTATTCGGCAAGGAAAAGCAGGTGCAGCCGAACCGCGGCGGCGGCGGCAGCAAGAGCGCGGCCAAGACGATGGAGGAAATGGACGCCGCCATCGACCTCCTGGAGAAGCGCGAGGCGGCGCTGGAGAAGCGGATGGAGGCGGAGCTCGTCAAGGCGAAGCAGTTCTACGCCAAGAAGAACACGCAGGGTGCGCTGCAGTGCATGAAGCGCAAGAAGATGTACGAGGAGCAGCTACTGAACATCGGTGCACAGAAGCAAAACTTAGAAACGTTGAAGTTCACGGTGCAGAACCAGACGATGAACCATGAGGTGCTGAAGGCACAGGTGGCGGCGAAGGATGAGCTGAAGGTGTCGAACAAGAAGATGAATGCAGACAAGATTGAGGATAACATGGATGAGCTGATGGAGGAGATGGACAAGGCGAACCAGGTGAGCGAAGCGCTGCGCCAGCCGATTGACAACAACTTCGTGGACGAGGATGAGCTGATGAACGAGCTAGAGATGGAACTCGGTGACATGGACCTGGAGGAGGCGCCTGCGGTGGAGACGAAGATGCCGGAGATGCCGAAGGTGCCGAGTGCGAAGCTGCCCGCCAAACCGACCAGGACGAAGGCGCAGGAGGACGAGGACGCTCTTGCCGCCCTCGAGGCGGAGCTCGCGTAATTTGCTTCACCCAACAAGACCTTTACGTGCTACACACGTCACATGTGTTTCTTTTTGTTTGTTTTGCTTTGCTTCTACGCCACAGTGTGGGTTTCTTGTTTTGTTTGTGTTTTGCGTTGTCGCGGCTTCTCCAAAGTGATGAAAAGAGAACACGAGCTCTCAGCCTATTCAGCAGAGGCTGCGACGATGATACTCGAGCGGCGCCGGTTTTGGATAAAGAACTATGTTTTTTTCTTTCTCTGTTTCTCTGTTACCTTTTAAAGGATTGCCAGGGTAGAGTTTAACATCAACAAGTGTAATACACAAGGAATTGCGCTAGCGTTGTTCCCTCGTTAAAAAGAAAAGAAAAACGTGTTTGTGTGACTACGTACGCTTGCTTCTTGCAGCTTGTGCGTTCCTTTGCGGTGGCTCCGTGGAAAGCTACAATGTGCGGCCAAAGGCTCTCTGAGTGAAGGAGTGCAACGGTGGCGTAGCTATCTACAAAGAGGAGAGACGCTAAGGAAGTACGTTCAAATGTTGATGTCCCCGCTGAGTACATATACATATACATGGTGAGTTCTTGTTTTTTTTTCCTTTCTGATTCTTCTCCGCATACATCATCTCCAGTGCACATTGCGATTTCTTTCATCCATTCTACCTTTTTTTGATCTCGCACGTAAAGGAGCGCATTCGTGCGGGTTTTGTTTTTCTTCGCTGTTTGCTTTTAACACACCCATTTCTTTGTCAACTTTCATTCCACGATTCGCAACGTTTGAGTTAGTATTACCGTACTTCACTTTTATTATTATTAAGAAAGCACACGACGCGGCATTAATCAGTCGAGAAGAGAATGTTCAACCGTTTATTCGGCAAGGAAAAGCAGGTGCAGCCGAACCGCGGCGGCGGCGGCAGCAAGAGCGCGGCCAAGACGATGGAGGAAATGGACGCCGCCATCGACCTCCTGGAGAAGCGCGAGGCGGCGCTGGAGAAGCGGATGGAGGCGGAGCTCGTCAAGGCGAAGCAGTTCTACGCCAAGAAGAACACGCAGGGTGCGCTGCAGTGCATGAAGCGCAAGAAGATGTACGAGGAGCAGCTACTGAACATCGGTGCACAGAAGCAAAACTTAGAAACGTTGAAGTTCACGGTGCAGAACCAGACGATGAACCATGAGGTGCTGAAGGCACAGGTGGCGGCGAAGGATGAGCTGAAGGTGTCGAACAAGAAGATGAATGCAGACAAGATTGAGGATAACATGGATGAGCTGATGGAGGAGATGGACAAGGCGAACCAGGTGAGCGAAGCGCTGCGCCAGCCGATTGACAACAACTTCGTGGACGAGGATGAGCTGATGAACGAGCTAGAGATGGAACTCGGTGACATGGACCTGGAGGAGGCGCCTGCGGTGGAGACGAAGATGCCGGAGATGCCGAAGGTGCCGAGTGCGAAGCTGCCCGCCAAACCGACCAGGACGAAGGCGCAGGAGGACGAGGACGCTCTTGCCGCCCTCGAGGCGGAACTCGCGTGATCGACGCTGCTGCTGCAGTGTTCTTTGAATTCGTTCTTGTAAATAAGAGTAATGAAATCTGTACTTCTCTTTACCTGTTACTTCTGTGCAGAGCTCGCATGTTTACACAAGGCCGTAACCGCCTCCTTTTGTTTTTTGCTGCTGCTGCCATGGCGTCGTACTTTGGCTTTCGTCTTGTGCGTTTGTCTGCTTTTGTTCGTTTGCACGACGTTTTTTTTCCTTTTCTTTTCTCTTTCTATTTCTGTGCATCGCCTATTGGCCACTGTGTATATCCATATACTTTCGTGGAACCGTCAACTTCTCAAGTCGAAATTTTCTTTTGGCATATATATGTAATCGTGGTATTCATCAACGGTCCAAAGCTCTGCGGACGGTAGCAGAAGTTGTTGTGTGGAAAGCAGAGGACACTTTCCTGGCAAGTGCAGCGGTGCGTTTGGAGAGTGTTCAACGGGAGGTCTTAGAGGTGAAAGATAAACGCTCATATGTTGAAGATTCCTGCATCTTTATACATATAATATAGGTGCATTTTTGTGTTTGGCTACACTGCAGCTCTCTGCTCATCATTCGCATCACGGTGTATCTGTGCTCTGCCATCATACTGAGCCTCTGTTCAGTTTTTATTTGTCTTCCTGTGGAAATGAGAGGCTCAGTTTCTCATCTACTATCGCTTTGAAGTCGCGTAGAAAGAAGGAAAAGAACGAGCACCTGTGAAGAGAAGGCTCACCGACTGCTGCGCATGCGTACAAAAGTTAGGAGCATCTTTTTCCTTGGCACAAAGATGCCATCTTGCTGATCTCGTTCCTTCTCCTCCTTTTTTTTGTTTCTTGGGTGCTACTATCCTTCTGTGGGGCAAACGTTGTTTTTTTCCCTCTTTCCGAAGACCTCCCGCTTCCAGCCCTGCTGCACCGGATAGTGCCCACACATTTCGTTCTGATCGCCACTCCCTTCTCTCCTGTTTTCCTTTGCTCTTCTTTTTTTGAATTTGAAACTGCACAGGCCACCTTAGACAACTCCGTTTTTTGCGCACATACACAGCCACACACACCACAGCAGTCTGGCGCACTTTAACATTAGCCTATCTTTCTAGATTACCGCATTTGACGCTCTCGCCCTCCAGTGCAGAAGTACAGTGGGAAGGCTTTTGTTTTCTCGACAGCTTCTGGTGGGCATCTTCAAAGTTGCAGTGCTGCGCTTTCTGCGACCTTTTTGTTACAAGAAAGAGGAATTAGGAAACCTATTTCCCATGAAGCGCTCCGTCAACTGTTACGTGGCGCGTTCACAGAGGGTGTTGCCAATCTGTGTCTGCCTCGGTCTTCTTCTCCTCATCGTCGCCTCAGCGGGCTGTGCATCCGCGGCCGCTTTCACCGATGGCACAAGTGGGGGTGCGACCGGAAGAGCCTTCGTGACGCACTGCGAACACGCCCCCGAGAGCACGGCGCCCGCCTCGTCGACGGAGTTGGGTGGATGTCAACGCAAGCTGGTGGTCGATCTCACGCTGGACGACAGCACAGTGGCCGGGTCCATCCTTGAGGCGGACGTGGTCGTCTCCGCTGCTCTGAACCAAGCTGTCTTCTCCGAAGGGGAGATGGCGAGCGCAGGTGGCACGGCGACAACGGCCACCACCCTTCAGGTGACCATGCCTCCCTTTTACATTCGCTTTCGACGCGGCGGTGTGCAGATGCGGTACGGACTGACGTACCTGCGCGATTTCCCTGCTGCGCTGCGGGACTACGTCCAAGCACTGCGCGCCGCGATGAAGTGCGACGACGGCGTCACTCGCTGCCCCTCCTACACCCCCCTCTCTCGCAGCGGCGAAACCGTCGCAGAAGCCGCACCGGTGGTGGTGGCGAACCCACTCGGGGTGTGCTGCCTGTGCACCAGCGTGGAGTGTGCGCTGTCGAATGACATGTGCAATGCGTCCATGCGCTCCTACTCTTGCTTCCGCACGGCGGCAGCGCTGAGCATTTGTGTGAGGGAGGACGGCGCGCGCTATGGGGGGTGGTCCATCAGCGCGGGATCGCCGTACTACGCACTGAACACGTCGGTGAGTGGCGCTGGAGTGCCCTCCACTTCCTTCCTACTGACGACGGACAAGGTGGACGTCCAAGCCGGTCCCTCACGCATGCAGCTCTTGCAGGTGTCCGATGTGGACACGGCGGTGGCTGGTTTGCGACTCAACGTGTCGCAGCGGGTCCTGTTCACCCCCCTCTCGGGCGATCGCGTCGCTGCCGGCGTCTCGGAGTGGATGCTTGTGCCCACCGGTCTCGTCACCGCAGCGGGAAACGAATGCAACAAGGTGGGCATCACGCCGGAGTACTTCTACTCCTTGTCCAGTCTGTCCCAGTGCAACGCCCCGAACGGCGCCTGCCTGGCGAACCAACTTGAGGATCTGCGTGCCGCCGACGTGGCAAGCATCGCGCAGGGCGGTGGCGGAAACTACCTAGCCGACTACCTCGGCTCCTTCTCGCAACAAACTATCGGCGCGCGGCGCTACCTGCTGGACGAGGTCGAGCGCAGCGGTGGCGCAACGCTGCGGTGGTCGACCAACGCGGATGCCATCACCTTCATTCCAGTGCCGGTGCACGGCAGCCTTGTCTCCGCCTTTTATGCGGCGGGCGCAGCCCAGATATCCGTCGCGGTGGCGAACAGCGGTGCGTACGCTGGTGTCTACTACGTGGTCGTGGACAACTGTACCACTTCCTCGGCGCATGTCATGCATTGCGACAGCGGTGACGGCGTTGGCCATGCATGCGCCGCACACGTTCTGGTCCGTGGCAACAGCACAACGAGCTCTCTTTTCCAAATGTCGAGCGCTGCTGATGCGGTGGGTGAGACGGCGAGCTGCACCATTGCGCTGCGTGACGCCGTCAACGCGACGCTCGACTCCGCCTACGTCAGCTGGACAGTGGAGACGACGACCACCACCACAGCTCCGCCGCTGACGAAAGCACAGCAATGCCAGCGCTGTGCCTTTCATAACATACACTGCCTCTTCCACGGCGTGTGTGAGTGGCAGATGCTGGTGTGGACAGTGGTGGCGCTCGTGGTGACGTGGTGTCCGTACGCAATTCTGGCGTACTGGCGTGTCGCGTGGCAACTGCGCACAAAGTGCGGCATTTAGCGCTCGTCATCGAAAAACTGAAAATGCCCCCCCGCCCTTTTTTTGTTTTCTGTTGTTCTTTTCGTGTTTTACCGGCACGCGTGCCAGTCATCACGCACTCCGTAACGTCTTGTGTTCGGAGTGTCGATGGATTGGGGTTTTTGTCTTTCTTTCCGGAATACACAGCGCATTTCCCCAGTCTCAAACTTTTCTTTTTGTACTCCTTCGCTTCCGTTGCGAAGGATCGTTTAGCATCTGCCTTTTCATTCTTTGGTTTTCCTTTCAGTTCCCCCTCCCCACTTCTTTTTTGTAGTCCTCGCGAACCCGAAATTGCCGCAGAACAACATCCAAAAGACCGCACCTGAAGAGTGGACTCTTTATGCCGATGCGCAGCTTTGTATCGCTTAACGACAGTCGCTCGCCGATTCTCACGAGTCCTCTGGCGGTAAACAAACCTGCCCTCTTCGTTTGCTGGCGTCCCTGACGTTTTCGATTTTCTTCAAATCAGTCACCACTTCACCGTTTCCGTTGACAACGTGAACGCTGACTCACACGTAGCAAATATTTTCGTTTTTCTTTTATTTTCCTCTGAGCATCTTTCCCCTTCCTCCTTCAATTCAGAGTCACATCTTGCCGTCTTACTTCTCACTTTCTCTCCCTCTCTCTTTTTGTGGTTGCTATTGATGACAGCGTGCACCTACGGAGTAATTTCTTAGTTATGTGAAGCTTCGTGTTCGCACGGTACTTCTATCGATACACAATTCATTTCAAGATCACTTGCATATATACGTATACTCCGACATACGATAGACGATAGACACTCTCTCTGAAGGCCTCTTCGGTTTGGAAGAGAAGAAAAAACAACTCAAAAATAGACACACACGCACATAATGGCCAACCCTTCACTTCTTGAGCGCTACTTTGCGCAGTGTCAGGCGCACCGCATGGCACCGCTCCCCGATTTTGTGGCGAGCTTGCGTGACGGCGTCATGAAGGTGAACCTCGCCGACGTCTCTCTCGCTGACATCCGTCTCTTCGCCTCAGCTGTGACGGACACCATGCCGTCCACCGCTGCTGTTGCCAGCCCGGTCCTGCCCCGCGAGCGACGCCGCGGTGGTAATGCGGGGTCAACGCAAGACCACGCTTCCTCCGCCTCGTCGGCAGCCGGCCAGGCGGCAATCTTTTTCACAACGCTTCACTTTTCCTTTGACCCTTCCTCCTCGCGGCAGCGGCAGCAGCAGTCGGCGGATGGCGGTCGTGGAGCTGGCCGAGGGGTCTCCTCTTCCTCCTCAGCGCCGGCGTCTGTCTCACTGCTGCTAGCCCCCCAGAGCGAGTCGACGCTGCGGTGGTTGATGGAAGCCGTTGGGCAGCTGGTGCGGGATAGTGCCCGAACTCTCAAGTCGTTTGCGTGGTGCGGACTTCCAGTCGTCGCCCCAAGCCGCGGTGCACGCAGTGCGGTTCTCGGCGCGCTGTCTTTCACGCAACTGTTGCCCTTGTGCCGTCACATCAAGCGTCTGAACCTCGACGGCGTTGCCCTTTCCCGTGCCCAATTTATGCAACTTGTGATGATCAACTTCTCCAGCAGCTCCACCGACGTGGGCGAGGGGCCGTGGATGGAGCTGGAGGAGGCAAGCTTCGTCAACTGCGGCGTGACGGACGCGTGCAAAGGTGGCATTGTACGGCTGATTCGCGTGGGGCTGCCCATGAAAACGGCGCAGCTGTACTTCCGTTCGCTGCGCAAGAGTGTCGGCAACTCGGCGGAGAGCCCCCTCAGCGCCCCTCTTCCTCTTCCAGCCGCCACCATCTCAGCCGGAACGAGCGCCATGCGCGGGCTACGACATCTTGACTTGTCGCAGAACCCGTTAGGCGACGAGACGGCGCGGGCGATTGCCACGGCGATTACCGGATCTTCTCTGCACACCTTGCGTCTCGCCAGCACCGCCGTGACTGAAAGAGGTGCCGCCGTGTTGCTGCTGCCGTCCGTGTTAGAGGAGAACGCGGTGGAGATGCTGGACCTGAGCAGCACACCAGTCAGCGACGCCTACGAGGCCTCCGCGGTGTCCTCGTCGTCGTCGCCCGCGGCTGACCTGCGCCTTCTCGCAGCGTCGTCGATCGCGACGGGGTTTCGCGTGGTGGCGCGTGGGATGGGGCAGCTGCTGGTGCTGCGGGAGGCGAAGCGCTTGTCGCAGCAGCCGGGGGATGTGCGGACCCCGACCGCGACGACGGCAGCGACCACTGCTCCATCATCGGCGCCACGAAGAGCCACTACCACTGCGGCTGCCCACACGACGACCGACCGACAGAGTATCGTGCGAGCGTCGTCGAGAGAGCGCGCGGAACGTGCGGATGGGGAGGATGGACAGCTGTCACCCGATTCTTTTGATGACTTTGTCCGCGTTGCATGTGCTTCTTTTGCGCCCCCGCCTTCACGTGTGACTCCGGTCGCACAGAAACGACAACCATCGCCACCGCAGCAGCCACAGCAACCACAACCAGCGGTTGCGGCACCACCAACAGCAGCATCTCCCGATGACACGCCCGCTTCCGCACCCTTTCCATCACCTCCACCATTACAGCCATGCCCACCACTACAACCACCTTTCACAGCGGCGGCCGCAGCAGCACAATCATCTGGAGCTACAGCGCCCAACACGTACGGACCGTGGTGGCCTGCGATGGCTTCGTGGTATGCGATGCAGCACCCTTACCCTGGTGTACCGGACGGGCTGCCTGGTATGCCGATCCCTGTGCCTGTGCCTGTGCCCGTGCCCATTCCCGTTCTCGCACCGATGCCGGCCCCGTACACGCCGGCAGCTCTCGGCACGATTCCGTGGTCAGGAGCTGCGTTTGCGCAGGCAGCGGCGGCATCATCCACCGCCGCGGCTGTTGGTGCAGGGGAGGGGGCGCCCGAAAGAAAAGACGGCGGCGCGTCTCTCGCGAAGAGCAACAGCGCTTTCAAGCCTGCGGAGCACAATGAGAAGCCGAAGGACAACTCGACTGCCGCAGCTGCTTTGGCCTCCTCTCTTCACGAAGTAACGGAGGCTGTAGGTGACATCGCTGGAGTCGCTGAAGACGTGAAGGTGTCCAAAGTGGTGGAGAGGGAAGAGAGGGCGACAGAGGAGGCGGCGACTCCCCTTGCTTCTTCTCTCGCCGATGACGCCGTGTCTACGCACTTGACTCGGCAGGCGAGCGACGCGGCCGGCGGGAGCAGCTTCCTCGCCGCGCTCATCACCCGTCTCGAGGCGCACGAGACGGACGTGAGCGAGCGTCTCGAGCAGCAGTATCAACGTACCACCTCTCAACTCACGGCGCTAGAGAAGGACATGCGTTTTCGCCTGCAGCAGATGGCCGAGGCGGAGCGGAAGGAGCGTGCGACCGCGGCGGAGAGACAGACGGCGCTGCTCGAGGCGATCGCGGCTCTGCATGAGGCCCCGGTGAAGCCAGCGTCGGAGACGATGTCGGAGGAGATGTTGTCGCAGCTGGCGCACTTGATTGAGGTGGGCATGAAGCGTGTGCATGCCGCGTTGGAGAACGACGGGGCAGAGAAGACTACAGACGAGAAGCTCGAAGTCAAGGCTGCTGCCGCTCCAGTTTCTGCCCCGACTGCGGCGGAGGCAACAGAGCGCGACACGACGAAGGCGATAAACCAGCGGCTGAAACAGTTAGGTTGGTGAGTATGTTTCCTGTTGATTCGGCGTACGCACAAACAATTATTAGACACGTTTTCCTTTCTAACTGCTTACACACGTCCAATTCGAGTCGTCTCGCTTCCCCCCCCCCTCTCCAAAAAGCGCTTCGTTTCTCAAACATTACCCTTGCTTGCTTACAGACGTGTGCGGCGGATGAAACGCACAGGCAATAAAAGTTTTGTTTCTGCGCTGGAGCGAACAGTCCTTTTTGATTGCAACTGACTCTTCCAAACAAGCAAGCAGGCAACCACAACCACAACACTGTTTTTTTCATTTGGAAGTCTGATCGCACACCGTGGCTCTCTTGAGCTTCCGTATCGATACTTTCTCTCTTGCGTTTCTCCTCGACTTCCTCGAAACTGTCCCACTTGAATTCTCCCGCTTTTCAACTTGACTGCAAATCCCATGAACACTTTTTCTTTTGTTACAACCACCACCGTAGAAAGCACCGTCGATACAACTGTGTTGTACCCACACTTTATTTTTCTCTCGCCAGCTTCACAACGTTCTTTTCCTACAGGGAAGAATAAACGAACCCGTACGTCTCGCACCACCCCACCCGTCAAAGCGTCGATGCCGTCTGCCGTGAATCTGGAAGGCGTTGCCCTGCACGGGCACATGAAGGGTGTAACCATGCTGAAGTTCAACCGTGAAGGTGATTTGCTCTTTTCGTCCTCTAAGGATACGAACTGCACGGCGTGCTGCTGGTACACCAAGACCGGCAAGCTGCTCGGCTCCTACACGACCGTCGGCCAGGTAGAAGGCCGAGGCCACGACGCGGCCATGGTCGCCTTAGATGTCAATCGCGAGTCGACGCTGCTGGCCACCGCCAGTCTGGGCGAGGACGTCCTGCTGTGGAGCGTGGAGACGGGTGCGCTGCTCGGTTCGATCAGCCGCAGCATGTCCTCCGGCGTCAGCGTGGGTTTCTCGCACGATGACACGAAGCTGATGGTGGCGACGAAAGGTCGCGCCGGCACCCGTTCCGCCATTCACGTGTACAACATCCCATTTGCCGTGCCGAAGGACGGCGAGGACATTGCGCCGGCGAAGGCGCCCTTCACGACCTTCGCGTCCTTTGAGACAACTGACATCATCACGTGGGCCGCGTGGGGGCCGACGGACCGCACCATCTACTACTCCGAGAGCGGCTTCATGCACATCCTGGACGTGGAGACGAGCCAGGTGATCCGAAGCCGCGAGATTCACGGCGACGGTGGTGTGATCAACCGCTTCAGCTGGGATCCGAACTACCTCACCCTGGCCACGGCCTCGACCGACAACACCTCCCACCTCGTAGACTACCGCGACTTCAGCGAGATCCAGATCTACGAGAGCGACGTCCCGGTCAACGACGTCTCGATCAGCCCCAACGCCGACCACATTATCCTCGGTGGCGGCATGGACGCTGCGGCGGTCACCACGCAGGGTGGTCAGTCGATCTTCGAGGTGAAGTTCTTTCACAAGGTGCACGGCCACCAGCTCGGCCAGCTACGCTGCCACTTTGGTACCATCACGGCCATGTCCTTCCACCCGGACGGACGCGGGTTTGCTAGCGCTAGTTACGACGGTCTCATTAAGCTGTACCGCTTTGGCGACTCCTACGACGCTGCGCCGGGCGCGAAGCCGCTGTGGACGCTGCGCGAGTAAGAGCCGTGCGTGTTGATGGCGATTGACTGAGGATGTGTCGAGGTTTAAAAAGAAAAAAACCTGCACACACATTTATTTCTGTTGTTCTCTTTGTTCTTTGTTCTTATGGTGTGCGCGAAAGGAGGTTGTTTTTGGTGAGACTCAGTGTCACGGGGCGACGTGCCGAATTCGAGCGAGCGAGCGGGGAGGAGATAGGAAGGGATGCTGCCTGCCGACGCCGATCCAGCTGAATGGGGGGAGGAGACCGCGGACTATTGCCACATCGCTCCAAGCTGTGTCGTATGGCATGCTTTCTTTTGCGTCTCTGCCGTGCCTTTTCTTGGTTTTTCTGGCACACCTAATAGATCGCGTTTTGAGTGCGTATTAGGCTTGTGTGGTGAGTGTAGGAGCGTGCGAGTGGGAGAGCTGAAGACGGAAATGACGAGGAGGAGGAAAGGAGACGAATGAAGCACGCATCGTCAATCGTTGAGCTGCGGATTGCATTCCTCTCATGACTTCTTTTTTGCGAAGAACAGCCATTTTGGTTGTCCGGAGAAGGAGATGTTGGCGTCGTTGCCGTCAGCTGATTTGCTTTCTCCGGCCTTCTCATTTCTCTCACTCGGCATTGTTCATTGGGAAAGATATTTTGACTGTAATAGGTAACTGTGATGATAAGCTAATGAAATCAACAACAACGAAACAGACACACAAAACACCAAGCAAGAATACGACCTCATCATTGCCGTGGAAAAAAAAGAGGCGTGATCATCACGGTTTGTGCTCTCCCTTTTCTTCATCGTCAGTTTGGGCGGTGTAGGTCTAGGACGCTGAGAGAAGTGCCGCTGCTGTTTTCGCTCACACACATACTTCTGTGCGTGTGTGGGGTGGGGAAGGAAGTCTGCCGCTTACACCAGCACCGAAGAGAAGACTTGTTGCTGAAACATCTGAATTTAACGTTGCGCGTGAATTCTGATTGCATACTTTCTTTCTTCTTCTTCCACGTTAATCGTTGGTGGACAAGTATAAATCTTCTTTGCGTCTTTGTGTTCCTTACTCCCTCCTCTCTCGTGTGGCTCTCTTTCTGTTGTCGTTTGCCCACTTTTCTTTCTCCTCCAAGTCTCCCGCTGTGGTCACCTCGCAGGCCCGCTGTATTACTCCACCTTTCCATAACGTCACGAGTGCACAGGAAGGTGAGAGTGAGGCACAGCGCTCTCTTGCACTCTTCATTACCGCAGTATTTTGCTCTGCTTTTTTTTTCTAAGTAGTCCGTTATCGCAGGACCCATGTGGAGTCGACGGCTGAAGCTAAACGGCACCGTGTCACGGTGTGGGCGGCTAGGTACTGGTGCGCTACGACGCCTCTGCGTCGCCACCCAAACGGTCCTCCTTCCTCAGTCTTCTGCCGCGTTGACCCACATCAGCCGCGCCTTCTCAAGTGAGGAAGTGCTCGACGAGGAGACGCAGTGGACGAATGCCATGGCGAACAAGTACGGCGCTGGTAACTATCAACTTTTCCGTCCCCTCTACAAAGACTTATGTGATGAGATGCGGCGCGAGTACTATACGAAGCCGCCCCCACCGCCGCCGGTGGCCGCAGCTACCAAACGGAGAAGGCACGACGGCCATGACAGAAACAGCAGCGAGGAAGAAGACGGCGGAGGCACGGCAAACTCGCACGGGGAAACGGCGGCGGCGGCGAAGGGAGCGAACGAACCACTGGAAAAGAGTTCGAGCATGGCGGAACAAGACAGAAGCGACGGCGGCAGCGTGGGTGCCTCCGCGTCGGGGGATAGCGAGGCGGCAGCTGACCCTGAGCTCTCCCATCCGCATTCCCCGACTCCGCCAGAACCAACGTACGGGGACGGCACGTGGTCGGTGCACTACCATCCCGAGCACAACGCGCTCACCTTCCACTGCGCTGCGGTGAAGGAGAGTCGACTGGCTGAGATACACGCGTGGAGCCGCATCGAGCTGAAGGACCCGCCCCGCCTCAACGCCGTTCTGGCCTTTGCCGATTGGACCCCAATTGAGATTTGTGTGGAGCGCAACGGGGTCATGATCCACTTCTCCATGGCCTCGAATGAGGGCGGAATGCATATGCGCAACGTGCGCGTGTACGCGCCGGCGTCAGAGGAGGAAAAAATGGCGTTGGTCGACCCATCCGAGGATGGTGAGCGAGCACGTAAGAAGCTGTACTACGACGGACCCTGCCTGTGGCACCTGGAGCTCCGCTTTCAGAACGAGCTGTACGACGTGATGCAGGACCATGGAATCTCTCTTGACTGGGTACACTGGGCCGCCTCGTGGGTATTCTACGCGGAGCACGTCAACTACGTGAAGTGGAACCTTGGACTCTTAGAGGAGCTCATCCCCTCTCCGCTGCGTGGCCCGGAAAGTGATTTTCTGTCTGCTGCGGAGAGAGCGTTGCTGGATGAGCCTGTGGAGGATTGGCTGGAAGCACACAGCACTTGAGAGCCTTTTCTTTTTCTAAGAATCTGCTGGAAAGGCTCAAGTACTAAAAGAGTCTGCAAAAAGATCTCTTTTGTTTTCAAAAAGAGAATAAGTTGGAGCATCGTACATACGGGCGCGAGTGAGGAATAGAATATCGACATGTTTTAGGTTTTGGCCCGCTTTTGGGCGGTTAGCGCGGCTTTGATTATTGTTGTTTTGCGAAGCGCATTGTTGTTCTTCACACTCACACGGGAAACACTGACAAAAACACCGACACACGCACACATCCCTAACCTCTGTGAAATTGTGCTTTGTGAAGCGCGCGCACGCAAGGTTAGTGAACGTCAGACCTAGGTTTCCTCTGAACTCCAGCGATGGCACGGTGATAGTTTTGTTCCATGTACCGGTTCCCTCCTGTGCACGGTGTCACATCAGGGGTAAGCAACGCAGCAATCATCTCTGTGACGCGGCTATTTGTTGATGTCAACGACGTACTTCCGCTTCTTTTTTTTCTCTTGGCGTTTACCGCGCTGTCTTTCCGCCCTACTCATTTTCTTGTATATCCCTTTCCCCACAACATTGCATCCTCTCTTCCTCTCCCTCCTCCATAGCGTTCGCCCTACGGAGCCATCACGTGACATTCCATGCTGGGCGAGGATCTCGACATCGGCTTCTACGCCGAAGATGCGTATGCGGCGTACATCACGCAGGTGGCCACAGTATTCCACATTATCCCCGAGTTCCACAATCCGCGTGGGGCAACGGTTGATGTCGTCTTTGAAGGCCCTTTCATGACGGAGGCTGCCTTTCAGGAGGCGGCGCTTTCTTTACCCCCAAATGACGCGATGCCCGCTGCTGCCCCTTCCGCTGAGCATCACAGCCCCAGCAGTATGTCTACCGGGGAGCGTCCTGTGCAAGCCCCATGGGCGGCGGGTGCATCGAAGACGGTGGTGCTACACGCATGGATTGAGAAGCTCAACGGACCTCGCAAGGTGCAACTAACGGAGCCGGTGCAGCTTCTACGAAGAACGGAGTCGAATATTGGTCTTACGGAAGCACACGACGTTTCAGGAAAAACTAACAGCAGCCACGATGCGGCAGAAGAGAGTCGATCAACTGCAACAGCGCATCACCGCGTTCTCGGCAACCTTGATTTTCTTTTGCATCTTTCCGCGCGCAACCTATTCTTGGGAGAGAGCAACGCCAGCCAGGATTCGCTGACTATGGATAGGTACGGTGCTTCTTTTTCCTTTTCGGCTTCTGCAACGAGCGATGACACACATGTGGCCTGCTCCATCCGCAATGCGCTGGAGCAGCGGGACGATGTCGCAGTGGCTCGCAACGCTGTCGCCACCGTCATCAAATTTGCGCAGCTTGCCGAGGAACATGCTGGAAAAGTGGCGACCGTCTACGTCGACGCGCAGCACGGGGACGAGTACCTCCGATTTGACGATGAATGAGCTCTGTTTGTAATTGGGTGGAGGTTCCGCGCGGTTGATGTGGCGCGTGTGTGTTTGCGCCGCTGTCGTTGCTGCTAATGTAAAACACAGGAAGAAGGTCTGATTAAAAAAAGGGATGTAGACTTGATCGTTGTGATGGCTTTCGTTTCGATGCCTTAAATGAAAAAGGGAAACATCCTTAGCCAAAAAAAAAAAAGAAATCGGATCGTCATGCCTAAAGCGATTGCTCCTCTCTTTTTGCTTATCTCCTCTGTGCGTTCCGTACTTGAGCTTCCTCTTCCCCCCGCCTCCCCCCCCCCTCCCTCCTCTCACTCGCTGCCGTCAATGCTTCTGTACTTCTTCGTTTGCTTGATCCCGCGCCGATGCGGATGTGTGTCGCCGCGCAGGAGTAATTTATTATTACCGTTCATATTCCTCTTACCAGCAGCTAACACGCCCACTTCTGCCTTTTTGTCGCTTTCTTCTCGTTTAAGATACACGCTTTGTCTCTCTCTCTCTTTCTTGTTTCGCAGCACCTCAAGATGACGGACTACAAGGTGAAGGACATCAGCCTCGCTGAGTGGGGCCGCAAGGCGATCGAGCTGGCCGAAAACGAGATGCCCGGTCTGATGGAGCTGCGCCGCGAGTACGGTGCGTCGAAGCCGCTCACTGGCGCCAAGATCGCCGGTTGCCTGCACATGACGGTGCAGACCGCCGTGCTCATCGAGACCCTCAAGGAGCTCGGTGCGGAGCTGCGCTGGTCCTCGTGCAACATCTTCTCGACCCAGGACAACGCCGCCGCCGCCATCGCCAAGGCCGGCGTCCCCGTGTTTGCGTGGAAAGGCGAGACGGATGAGGAGTACGAGTGGTGCATCCGCCAGACGGTGAAGGGCTTCAGCGGCGACGGCTTCCCGAACATGATCCTCGACGACGGCGGTGACCTGACGAACCTGGTCATTGACCACCACCCCGAGCTCGTGCCCAAGATCTTCGGCATCTCGGAGGAGACCACCACTGGGGTGAAGAACCTGTACAAGCGCCTCGCCAAGGGAAAGCTCCCCATCTCCGCCATCAACGTCAACGACAGCGTGACGAAGAGCAAGTTCGACAACTTGTACGGCTGCCGTGAGTCGCTGGTGGACGGCATCAAGCGCGCCACCGACGTCATGATCGCCGGTAAGACGTGCTGCGTGTGCGGTTACGGGGATGTGGGCAAGGGCTGCGCCGCGGCCCTGCGCGCCTTCGGTGCCCGCGTGGTGGTGACGGAGGTTGACCCGATCAACGCCCTGCAGGCCTCAATGGAGGGCTTCCAGGTGCTCCTCGTCGAGGACGTCGTGGCCGACGCGCACATCTTTGTGACGACGACCGGCAACGACGACATCATCACCTCCGCCCACTTCCCGCATATGCGCGACGACGCCATTGTGTGCAACATTGGCCACTTCGACACGGAGATCCAGGTGGACTGGCTGCAGTCGAACGCGAAGGAGCACATCGAGATCAAGCCGCAGGTGGACCGCTACACGATGGCGAGCGGACGCCACATCATCCTGCTCGCCAAGGGCCGCCTCGTCAACCTCGGCTGCGCCAGCGGGCACCCGTCTTTTGTCATGTCGAACTCCTTCACGAACCAGGTGCTCGCCCAGATCGAGCTCTGGACGAACCGCGACTCGGGCAAGTACCCCCACGGCGACAAGGCCGGCGTCTTCTTCCTGCCCAAGTATCTCGACGAGAAGGTCGCCGCCCTGCACCTCGCGCACGTCGGCGCGAAGCTGACGAAGCTGACGCCCAAGCAGGCGGAGTACATCAACTGCCCGGTGGACGGCCCCTTCAAGCCGGACCACTACCGCTACTAAGGTGCGCAGCCGTCGCGGGGGCAGCTGTGGCTTGTCGTGGCTCTTCACATCCTCGCTGCTCGTGCGGAGACATGCACGTGGGTACAATTTGAGTAAAAATCGACATCATTTCGCAAGTCTTCCCCCCAGTGTCAAGAAGAAGGAAGGGAACGTGTGCTGTGTGGGATGAAGAGAGGTGGTGGAGAGCACGTGGCGAAGGCGTCGCGGTTGCCCGGAGAGGTAACTAACTGGCTTCCGTGGCTCCTCGCTCGTCGTTTTTTCTTTCTCCTCTCCCTCTTCGTTCTTCTTAGCGCGCGGCTCTCCGCATTTCTTCTTCTTTTTGTGAACGTTGCGAGGGACACGCAGATGGAAGACGAATGGATTTGATGAGCTGCGCTGCACAGGTGCACACACGCGCGCGCGCACACACACACACACACGTACATGTGCGATGAACGCTACATATTCGTTCAGGCACGTGTACAACTTCGCCGGCCGCGAGTTGCTCCTCCGTCGCAAACCTCAGGTTTGTCGTTTGCTTGGCTATGATAATAATTCCCTTTTTTTCTTTTCTTTAGGTTGGTATCCGTAATGTTTTTGTTCTCCTACTTCGTTCTTTTTTTTCTCTGTTTATTATCGTGTTGTGATTCACATGTCTTTTTTCCCCTCTCTATTGATGTGGATGAACACACGGCAAATGAACGAAGCGGAGAGAGATCATAGTAAAAAAAAAAACCGAGAAGTTTTATTGAAAGGAGAATACATGGTGGAAGTCATTTTAGTCTTGTGAAGTATTTTTTCTTTTCTTACAATTCTACGATGAAAGGACACGAGAGTCCACAAAACAACAGCAGTGGCAAGGAGCACTTCGTGCTTTCCCCTAGTTGTTGCTGTTCGCGGGATAAATCACTTCCTAACGCGACTTTCGCTTTATTGTTACACTCGTTGCCAACGGGTGAAGAAGAAAAAAAGCTCGCAATAAAGAAGAATAAAGCAACCAAAGAGACAACACCTCGCACACGATTCTTTCCTCGGGAATCGTGCTTCGATCGGTCCCTCCTGTCGTCTCTTCGTTTGTGGGGTTTCCGGAAAAAAAGAAGAAGTGGTCTTCGCTTTTCTTTTTGTTGTGTAACGTACAGTACGAAGGTTCGCAGTCGTGACTTATCAAAAAACATCATCAGTTAGACGCATAGACGCGCCGAGAAAGCGTGGCTGGGCTTGGCTGGCTGACAAAGCGAGGCATGTGTTATTTCCCGCCGCGCCGAAGCACAACGAATTGCCACGCGAATGCCGGCGGCAGCGCCTCTTCTTTTGTTTCTTTTTCTTCTAGAGAAGAAGGAGCGAAACACAAACTTACGCTTTCTTTGCCACGTACCTTTTCTTCATGAGGTAGGCGGAAGCAGCAGAGCTTAGTTTATGCATAAAGGAGAACTCTGCTACCGACTGAAGGTGCTGATGCGTTTGAGTGGCCCCTTCCCGATTTTCATTGCTGTATTCCTTCTATTGCGCCTCTCTCTTCCTCTTTTTTTTTTTCGACTAATTACCCTCCTTGGTCGCCTTAGTATCTAGCGCTAATACAGAGAGAGCATCATGATCGTAGTTTTGGCTGCTGCCGCGGCCATCTTCCTGCTCGTGTGCGGGGCTGTCTTCTTGTACAGCTCGCCGAGCATCGTGTACGGTGGCTTCTTCGCCTTTGCTATTGGCGCCCTCCTCGCGGGCATGTCGTTATCAGCCGTGTTTTCCACCTGTGCTAACCTGCTTCTTGTCACGCTGTCCCGCTACGAACTGGCGCCGTCGCCACCGGTGGTGTTCCTGCGCAGTTTCCTGGCCGCGATGGGCCAGCCGACCTTAACAGGCATCATCGCCCTCTCTCTTGTAGCGCTCATCGCCATGGCAGCCTCCAAGGTGCGGCTGATGGTGGAGGAGATGGATGTGCTCCTCCGCTGCCATGCGGCCTTCGCAGCGCGCAGTGAGCAGGCAGGCCAATGATTGTGTCGTTGCTTCATGTGGCAGTAACGGTAAGCAACTGAAAGAAGAAAAGAGGAAAACAAGAAGAGATGAACGTTATGTCGGGCGGGATCTTTCTTTGTTTCCTTTCAGCTTCAGTTCTGATGGCGGAGGAGGCGGAGACGGTGGTGGGGCGTTGGCTGAAACGCGCAAGTTGTACAGTTTGGGCACTTTGCTGCAGAGCAGGAAGGTAAAAAAAAAAAGAAAAGAGCCGCAATTCGCATCGTTTATGCGATCTTTCACGCGAACATGAAATGCTTTGGTACAGCAACAACAGCAAAAAAAAGAATTATACGCGCTGGCAACCGCGTGAATAGATAGAGAGAAAAACCATGGTTTGACACGAGCTTGTTGAAAGAACCACACATATTTTTTAGAAACAATGATGTGATGCTACGCTCGGGTATGCGTTAGCCGCTTGCTGCGCAACCGATTCAATGTATTGTGTACGTTACTGTTCTCTCTCTGCTCCTCTTTTTGTCTTTTTTTTTGTTTCTTGTTTCTTCATTGCATTTGCTGCGCTTTGCATGTCTTTGAATTTCACCAGGCCTGAAATGATGCTTCTCTGATTGGCTTTCAACCCAATCAGCGCTTGCATACGAACCCTCCTTTCTATTCTAGAGAGAGAGAAAAGGCAAAGGGATCACATCACCAATGTGAGGAACACGCGGTTGTAATTCCAGAAAAAAGGAATCGCGCTTTGCATAGCACTCACCGCCATTAAACCATCGAACACACTTTCACCCTCTTCCACTTCTGCTGCCGAACAGAAAAGAAGAAAAAACACAGAAGGAAAATAGGCGAACAAGAAAAATCCTGATAAAGAGGACGTGTCATGTCGTCTTCTTTTCCTTCTGTTCCAGGCTTTATCGGACCGCTCTCTCTCAGGACGTTCCTGGAAAACTACTTCGCTTTGAAGCTGACCTTTGGTACAAACGCCGAACCTTCTAGGGTTACTAGGGCTGGTCATGCACCGTCTCGTACCACGCAAGACGTGGTACTCTCAGTCAACGAAGCTTTTCTGGTGGTCGTGTACGTCGCCCGACATGCACCTGCCGCGCCGCGGGTGCCTGCCGCACGCGCTGCCCAGCACAGCAACGACAGCAGCGTTGCGCCATCGGTGAACTCAAAAGCAAGAGGCCAGGCTGTCGCTGCTTCTTTGAAGGCGAACCACCGTCCGAGCAGTACATCAACCGCTGCGTCGTGGCTGCTGTACACACAGGCTGACCACCGCCCCCTCACGCGCGCGCTTCTGCAGCACCCTTGGTGGCTGTCCCTCGCGTCTCTCCTCGGGCCGGCCGCCGTTGCGTTCGTAGAGCTCTACTGCCCGATGGTGCTCCAGCTGGAAGCCATGGCGGGCGGTCTCCAGGTGTTGGGGCCTGCGCTGCTGCAGAACGCCGCCGCGCCTGCCGCCCACCACAACGCAGTGCATCGATGGCGCGAAGTAAAACGGGCCAGAGAAGAAGCCACCGCTGTACCTGTTCGAGACAACTGCTCCCCTTTATCAAAAAAGAGTCGGCCTGAGGGCACAGCCGACTCAGTTACCGCGGCGCCTGTGAGGCTACAGGAAAACCAAAGCACAGCAAACAAAAGCCTAAGGAACGGAAGGAAAGAACTTCGCAAGTCGCACGCCAAGAGCGTGTCCACCTTTTTATCGAAAAGGGCGTCGACGTGGGAGGCGGCACTGCCGCGCACCGACGTGTCGCGAACTCGTTTGTACAGTGTACAAGACAAGGTCGCGATGAACGCGAGGTGGTTCACACAAAATACCAAGGAAGGGGTAGCAGAGGATTCAGAGCCGATGCCTATGTCGCTGCTGGAGGCGCTGTGGGTAGGCCGGCACCCGCGAAGCTTACAGTGTGCCGTGCGCGCCGCCCTCCCTCGTTGGCAGGCGCTGCGATTGGAGCGCCTGTCGTCATCACCGCAAGCTTCAGTACTTCCGTTTTCTCAGGACACAAAAAATGGAGACGCAGAAGCTGCCCCGCTGTGTCTTCCGCTCTGCTTTGTGCGGCACGCCTTTCGTTGGATGGAGCTGAAATCGTTGAGCCCCGCCAACGCTGAGTCGAGACCCGCGATGGTGGCAGGCAAGACCTCTTTCAGCGTCAGCGCACACCTGCAACATGTCCTCTCCTCCGCGCTCGACCAATGCAGCCGCCTTGACCTCCGCGGCGCGGCGCTGAAGCATCTGCACTACATCGAGGTCCGATTCCAGCGTCAACAGCAGGCACAGGAGCCGTCCGACATTCAACGACTGGCCGCTCCGGTCGATGTCGTGGTGGCCTATTTGCGTACGCTGCTCTCCGCCTTACGCTGGTCCTTCGCCGCCGATTCTTGTGGTGCGGACTCTCCCGCCTGCTCCTTCTGGGGCGTGGAGGAAGCCAACGGTGCTCGCGTGTTGGATGCACTCCTCACGACCGTGCGCGCGTGGCTGCTGGCCGGTCGTCACGCCGTCTTTCCCGTTTCCAGATTTCTCGACGGGGTGCCGGTGGCGCAACTGCCATGGTTGAGGGGCTTCTTCACCTGTCCACTTTCGCAGTCCCCATCGTCGGCACGTCACGCTCGCCGGCAGCGCTCGCAGATCCAGCAACGAGTCTGGCTTCAATTCGTGCTCTTTTTGACGCAAGATGTCCTGCCCTTCTTGGTGCGGTCCTCCTTCGCGGTGACGTGGAGTTCCAAGAACACAAATCAGCTTATTTTTTACCCCGCATCCGTGTGGCGACGTGTTGTGCGGTGCGAGCTAAATCGCACTGTGAGCAGCCAAGCAAGTGGATCACCACTTGGAGACGTGACCGCTACCAAAACCGACAACAACACGTGTCCACCACCGCCGCCGACGAACGTGGAGGATGGAAAAGAAACGGAGCACACGCACGGTGCGAAGCGCCTGTCGCCGCTCTCCTTTGAGCAGATCGAGCAGCGCAAGGGCGCGGCAACGCTCACCGCCCGCAACGGTCGGCCGTCTTTGTTGTACGCTGCGGTCCGCTTTCGGCCGGATGGGCGCAAACTGCGTCCCATCGCCGTGCTGCGCAGCGCCTCTTGTCGTTCCATCAGCGCCATGGCCCGCGGTGCGCCAGGCCCTTACCACCACCGTGCTGCGCTGGTCCGTTTGCTGACGAGGATCGTTGCCCGGCTCGGCGTGGCGGTCCCACCTTCTACCACGAATGTGCTGGCGTGGGTGCAGAGGATGAGCGACAAAGGAGACAGTTTTGTTGTACCGCGACCGCCTTTGCATCACCTATCGCCCCTGCCACTACCACGAGATCATCAGCCCCCTCACAAGAATGCGCTGCAGGGCGTCTTTCGTTGTCTCCTGAGTGGCGCAGAGGAGCGGCGGGTGCAAAGCGGGCTGCCCAAACTGAGCAACTTGTCGCACCAAGACGAGTACGCGGAGCTGCGTAGCTTCTGCGAGGAGGCGCGATGTCGTGCGGGGGCGACGAACGAAGAGGAGAAGGAATCTGTTGAGGAGGGAAACTCTCGCCATGGCTCGACCTTCTCGAAAACAGCGCCTCATATCTTTCTTGTGCGCAGCGACGCCCTCCGCTGCTACGACAACTTGCCGCAGACCCGCGTACTCGCAGAGGCGCACGCACTCGTGAGCCACGACGCGTACCGCACCCTCTCTTTCACGGCCATTTTTCATTCAGCTGAGTGTTCTTGTGAGGACACTTCATCGTTGCATCGCACGCTGGTGAGTCGTACAGTTCCATGGACGGACGTCGCCAACGGCAAGCTGGCCCGCATTCCACGCGGGCACGTCTACTGGGAAGAGGAGAGCAAAGACGGCAAACAGGGTGGAGGCGCGAAAGGCACCACCAGCGGCACTGCCGTCCGCGCCCTCCTTCATGAACACCTGCAGCACCACCTGATCGTTCTAAACGGCAGATTATTTGTGCAGCACGTTGGCATCCTGCAGGGCTCCCCGGTCGCGATGCTGTTGTGTGACCAACTCTTTGCGAAAGCGGTCGACACGTCACTTTCGAGTATCCTCAGCGAGCACGCAGAGCGCTCCTTGCTGCTGCGCCGCGTGGACGATGTGCTTGTGGCGACCACCTCCCCTGTTGCGGGTCAGCGGTGTCTGCAGGCGATGCAGCGCGGGTGGCCATCTGTCGGCTACCGAAGCAACGCGAAGAAGCTGACCATGTCCGCTGGCGACGGCAAATCTGTGCCGTGGTGCGGTCTGCTCCTGCACGACACCACGCTGGAGACGAGCGTGGAGTGGCGACGTATGGGCCCCGTGTTATCGTCGGTGCGGGTGGCCGACACGATCAGAGCACACTGCGGGGATCGCGAACCGTTGCTGTTTACGCAGCGCCTCCTCGCTGCGATTTACCTGCGTGTGCCGCCCACGGCGCTGTGTGGTCGCATTAACTCCAAACTGCGGCAGCTGCAGACGTTCTACGAAGCTGCGCTGCTGTGGAGTCGTCTGATTGTATGGAAAGTGCAGGAGACGCTCGCCACGGCGCACCACCGCTGCGTCGCCGTGTTGCTGCTGCGACCGCTGGCCGCGTGCATCGCCCGCTTGTGTCGCCTCCTGCGCCGTCATCACGAGTTCCTGGCGGCGCGTCAGTCTGGCTGCGACGTGCGCAATGGCGAGGTCCGCGCGTGCGTGCTGACGGCGTTGCATCGTACACTGCAGGTACAGCTTCGGGTGTTAGTGCGGAAGCGGATGCGTCATGCACGTGAACGGCTGCAGCAACCACAGCGCGGGCACTGTCCGAGCGGCAGGGGAAGACAGCGGCGAGCAAATGACAGGAAGATGCGTGTAGCGACGGCACATCCTCAAGATGTGATACGACGTCGTGTCCACACGGATTCAGCAACATCGCAATCCACTTTTCGTGCCTTCTGGTGGTGTGCGGCGTTGCAGATTGAGGCACAATGGTGTGGCTCCCTTGCTGCTCTTGAGCGCGAGGGTGAGAACGCGAGGGCCGCCGAAGAGGATGCAGAGTTGAAGCAGCGTACACCGGCGGCCACAGCGCATCTTCTGAGGGACGTTGGACCATCTTCTCTGCATATGGAGGCACTGCGTGCAACACAGCTGCTCTTCAAACCCGACACTGACAGTGCGATCTGTTCAAAAGCGGGAGGCTCATGAGGTTTAGTAGATGGAGCACGAAAAGGTTAGGTGTGCGTTTCCGTTTGCACACAGTCTACTGAGCATAGGTTCTACCTTTGTTCATTTATCGAACTCTTTTTATTATTATTATAAATCTCTTGCCCCCAAGCTGACAGGCTGTTCCGCTTTCCGCAGAAAGAAGGAAACGGAATTCTAATACCGCAAAAAAGAAAAAATTAAATAAAAAAGAAACGTTTCTAACGAATGTCAACAAATGAAGGTGCCATTTGATGCGCATCGTTTTTGCTTTAACTCTTAGAACTTGCATAGGTCGTCGATGCACTGCAGACGCAGCGCATCTGGTGTGTGGTTTTGCTTCGATGCGTCTCGACGGTGCAGTAAAACCTGTTCCATCACTCTTTCCTTGCTTTCCCCTCTTTCTGTTGTTCTTTCTTTCCCGCGTTGACATTTATTTCTTTTTCCTTTTGCACTCGCTTCTCGCAGAAGTTGATTGCGCAGCATCCGCATAAACACATCACTTCAGAAAGATCAACGTCTCGTTCAGTTTTCTTCTTCTTTTTTTTTCTAATTGTCCTATTTTTGTTTGGAACTTCTCGCTTCTGCTTTGCATCGTGTCTAAGCGTTTTTCGTGTACGCGTGTGTCCGTGATGACGTTTTTTATTATTCATGTAACATTTCCGTAGAACACTTGCACGTCTTGACGACCTCGCCGCGCAGTTTTTTTATTTTATTATTTTCCCTCATCGCAGTTTTGCTTCTTCTCCGTTTTCTGTGTGTGTGTGTGTTTCCCCTTTTCCTTTGAGTTTCCTTCTCCCTCTCTTCTTTCTTCACCTGCCCCCTCATCTTCCGTGATCAACAGACGATTTACTGGTAAGAGGGAGAGATTATGGAACACCGGCAGCCGTCTCTTTTACAGTTGTTAGTGCCGAACAGCGCCGCCGCTCTTGGCCTGCACGACAAGAGGAACCAGGATGACTCGTCCTTCTCCGTCGCCTCGGCGGCCGCCGCAGCGGAGGGCACGGTGTCGGCGCTGTCGACGGCGACGAAAGCAGCAGCCCCGTCCGTCGTCTACACCCCGTCCACGGTGTCGATACCGCACTCTGACGGGGTGACGGCGGCCCCCACTGCAATGGACAGTGACGACATATCATCCCCGTTTCCCGATAACGGCAGCACGTTAGCGGCGCTATCAAACCTTTTCAGCCAGGCGGTCTTCCAGCCGCAGCAGGCTGGCGGCGACGAACGCGGCCTGGAGGAGGAGGAAGAAGGGCGCCCGTCGGATGCTCCGACGGCTTCGTCAAGGACCACCTTTAGTTTGGTGTCTCGAATGCACTCGACAATTCTTCCACAAACAGCAATAGACGCTGCTGCTGCTGCGGCGGCGGCGCCCACAGCACACAACGCCGACCAAAGCCAGGCATCGAGTTTCACTGACGCTACCAACACCGCTGCTGTTGCCGCACAGTCTGCCGTTTGTGCCGCCCCGCGCGGTCCAATGGAGGCGATGGCGTCCATCACCACCGCACATTCTGGTAGTAACTCCCACGCGGCCGCCGCGCGCGATCAATGCCGATCGAGCGGCATCAACGTTTCCATTCCATCGGATATCGATTGGGAGCAGGAGCCGCAGCCGGAGGAGTCGCCGCCGTCGCGACCTCCTTCCCGCGCGCGACGCGCCACCCTCGCTGGTCCGGCAGACTTTCCCGAAATCTCCGAGCTCGGCGCGCAAGCGAAAGGCAACCACGCCGACGGCTCCCAGGCTGACCCGGCCGCGCTTAGCCCCCTCACCAACGACGGAATGAATGTTCCTTTGCTGCAGGTGGAGGACGACGTACCGGCAAACGAGTACATGTCGAACCTGTTCGTCTCGTTCGACTTAAACTTGTCCGCCGCCGGGTTTTACTCGCCGCCGCGTGTGCTCAGCACGACCGGGTTGGCGGTGCCTTCCTCGTTGACCTCCTCTGTGAGCCCTTCCGCCGCAAGTCATCGCAAGCAGATGTCGGTAGAGATGCGCTCCACCACCATGGCCCCCGTCGCCAACGCCTGCAACTCCACATCGTCTGCCCCCTCGCAAAGTGCAGAGGGTGGGACGGGCGAAATGCGGCGGTTTTCCCAAGCGTTTGCGCTACAAAGCTCCGCCAGCGACGGAGGTCAGCAGCGGCTGTCGCAGATGATTTCTCTCCCCCAGGAGAGGCCGACGGACTCGTCGACGGCGGCGAGTCATCACTCGACGGAGGTGCCGACGCCGAGATCGAGCGCGGAGCACAGCTCGGCTGTGTTGGGTGCCTTTGCCGCCTCGACGGAGGACACGCTGTTGGCCGCAGCTGCCCCCGCGGACGCGGAGGGAAACGACGAAGCCCTTGCGGCTACCGTTGCGGGTGCGGCGACGGACAGCGAGAATGCGATGCATGGAAAGCCAGCGATCGCCTCGTCCCGCCCTGCTGCGGGTGCTCCCGTTGACGACAACAACAGTAGCGCGTCCGCTTCTCCGTTTCCAAGCCTGTCGTTGAATGAGCGCTCGTCGACGCAGCGTCAGGCCAGCAGTCCGCTGGCTAGTCGCCGTTCTGATCTGACAAAAGCGACGGATAATGTTGCGGCGTCTACTTCAGCGCCGTCTCCAACAGAGCCGAAAGGCAGTGAGAAGGGCGGTGACCTGGGTAGCGGTGCCAATGAAAGCATGGAGGATCACGAGAATGACAATTCTCTATTTTCGACGAACGCTGCGAACAACAGTGGATCGGCCTCTTCAAACGCGTGCGCGGTGTCGTTGGCGGCACCGCACTCGGAATCCCTTCACGCTCACGGTGGGCCAACCAACAGCGGCAGCCTTCCGCTGCCGCTCGCCACCACTGACAACGGAAACGCGAATCATCAAAACTCGACGTCGCACAGCACCGTGAGTGTCTTCTCCTTTTCGCAGGACGCCGTTGCGTGGCCGTCCGACGGGCTCAGCAGCTCCCAACTGCGCGAAGACAGCGCCGTCAGCCAGAACGTTACTCGGCATTCTGCGCTGCACTGGATTCAACGATCGTTCTTTGTGCCACTGGGCAGGATGACTTCCTCCGTGGGCAGCTTCTTCGTGCGTCGCGTTCGGCAAGGGCGATGGCTGATGTTTGGTTTGTTTAACATACCCAAAGCGATGCTCTTCTCCCCTATCAGGAGGATGCTGTCCAAGCAGACGGAGGAGGACACGATGCAGCGTAGCGGCAATGCCAGCAGCCGAGGCATGCGAAAGAAGCCACACCTCACGGTGAAACTGCAGCTGGAGCCGCGTGATGCTTCGCCGTCGCCCTCTTCCTCTACCTGCGACGCGTTCTCCGAGGCGGCGGGCGTGGGCAGCGTGAGCTTCTCCGAGACAATACCGCTGTCTCTGCCGCCGTCGCAAGGCGCGTCGCCGGCGACGAACGGGCCGGCGTCGTGGCGGCGCGGATTGACCTCAACGCAGGTCTCCGAGGGCTTGCAGCAGACCCTTCGCGAAACCTGGAACGGCGCGGCCAACGCGTGGTTTGGCACCGCGGCGCAGCGTGAGCCGCGTACCGCGCTGCGATCTTCTAACAGAATTCGACGCAGCGCCGCATCGGAGCAAAGTCAGTCGTCCCCGCAGCTGCAACCTTCCAGCGGCGCCAGTGGTGGCGGTGGCGGTGGCGAAGACCTCCTTTGGTATGCTCAACACAATGGCTCTCCCTCGTCGCTGCGCCTGTCCTTCTCGGACTCCTTATCTCCCGGCTACGAAGGCCTCTCCGCTTCTGGCGTCTTCAACCGCGGAACGCCGCTGTCGATCTCGCGCCAGCTGGCCGCTTTGGGAAATAGCGGCAGTCTTCCTGCAGGCAGCCCCTTCGTCGAGTACAGCGCGTCCCCGAAACGGAAGCGAAACTCACTGAGCGGCATAGCAGCTTCTACCAATTCGGCTCTCCTGGACGACGAATACCGCGCGCAGCTGTACCATGAATTCCAACATCCGCCCAGTTGCATCATTGGGGACTTGACGGGTTGCTATGTGGCGTACAAGGCGATGTCGGAGACCTCATCGAACGGGCACCACGTCTTGAACTGGAAGGAGCTGAGCCTTTTGCTGCAGCCGGAGGACTACATCGACTACCGCGACCTTTTTCCCCCGTATCATTTCTTGACCTTCCCTGACTTTGTGGAGTTTGTGGAGGTGCTGTCGGTGCGCCATCGCCGTTGAGGTCTAGGGAGGAGGGGATAAGATATTAAAAAAAAAGAAAGGGGGATAAAGCATCGCCTTTATATCAGCGACAATTTTCTCCTTTCCCCCCTTTCAATATGTTTTCGTTCATTTGTTGGCTCTCTGTTCTCTTCGTTATTGTTATTACTCCTATTTTTGTTTCGTTGACTTGGTTTCTTTGCTCACACCTGCTTTCGTTCCAGCTGATCATTTCGACACACACGGGACAGACTCGTTTCGTCCTCGCCGCTGCGAGTAGTTAGTATGAAAAGCTGCGAAGGTTTTTCCTTTTAGCTCTCTTATTTTCCGTGATATGCTTTGTAATTTGGAACCGCAAAAACGTTTTCTTCTTTTTTTTTCCCTTTGAACTCCTTTTCTCTTCTCTTCCACAACAAACGCACGCGATCAATCTCTATCACTATTATTATTATTATAGTTGTGGCTTTGTATTCTTCTGATTTGATCAATAATAATAGTAGCTGTCCTGCGATGCTGCCTTTGCTTTCCTGTTCTGTCTTGTTCAACATCGCTTACCATCTCTGGTTTTGCGTTATGCGTCTCACATGAGGAGACGTGCGTGCGCGTGCGCGTGCGCATGCGCGTGCGCGTGTATGTGTTATGTGTGTTTGCTTTTGGTTTCTTTGTACGGTAAAATATATAAAGGTGGACTTTAATCTGCCGCTTAGCTTCCAGCCAGACAAGTTGAGGTGTTTCGACTTTGCGGCTGAACAATCAGCCGTATCTTCGACGTGTCCTTTTCCCTCTTTTCTTCACCCGTTTCTCTCCACGCTTCATGTTATTGACCAGTAGAACGAAAACCCCACCTTTCTTCCAAGCCTCCATTCACAGATGTACGTAGCTTCAGGACAGGGCAACCGACGTTTGTTTACTCGTGTCCCGTTACTATCTGCTTAGCTTTTCTTTTCGTCCTTCCTCAACGCAGTGCTGCGATTGTCTTCACGACTGAACGCATGTCGTGCGTTTAACCCCTTTAGGGCATTCGCCACTCAGCGACTGCGTTTCATTTATCATTGCGATTCAGCTCTTCACTTTTACATATGCGTTTTTTTGTGAGCCTGCGAGGGGAATGGAAGGGACGGAAAAAATGAGTTGAATGTGATTGGCAGCGGAGAGATTGGCGGATCTCGGTCATTTAGGGTAATGCTCTAAACTATCTTCTCCTTTTCTATTACCTCCTGAATCCTGGTTCTTCCGTATTCTGGTTTGCCTGGCACAGTTGTTTTCAGCATCGAGAGAAACTCCGGTTTTTCGCTGAAAACTCCCTTCTCAGAGTTTTATTCGCAAGGTTTTTACATATTCATCGCCAGTTTTTTACATATTCATCGCCAGTTGTTTCATAAGTTTTATAAAAAAATAATAAAAAAAAATTAGTAGATTCATAAATATATTAAAACCCTTTTAGGTAGTTTCCCTCAATATGGCGCTTATACCCATCGATCCGTCCAAGTGGAACTTGGTTGGCACGGATTAATATGAGAACTTTCCCGAGCAGGGCGAATGCGAGTTGACTCTGCAGATCGTGGGCCCGAACGGATCGGATTCTCGGCCTGTGACTTTCCGAGTCAGGCGGGAGAATACTTCTCTGATCCTCAGGGATGGATACGAGACGTTCGATTGGCACACGTTCCTCCATCACGTTGAGCGTTTCCGCATCGAGACCCGCGACCTCTATGAGAGGTTGATCCAAAAGACGGAGCTGGCGGGGTACTACATGGGGATGGCACAGTCCGCCACGGCTGTGGACACAGTCCGCCTGCAGTCGGACATCTCCCTACTGCGGGAGCAGGCGGCTTCGGAGGTTGCAGGTGCACGCCATGAGGCAGCGATGCACAACCAGTTGATAGCATGACGACGGGGAAGACGGGCCTGGGGCGCCAACACAAAAGTCTCGGTTGACTTTTTTAGACGACGCCGAGTCAGTGGCTGAGTCGCTGAAGGTGGAGTTCGACCCAATGGACGTCTGCACCTGGCGTCCTTGGTTCCGTGGGAAGACTCCCTACGAGATTGAGAAGCAGCTGAAGCACATTTTTCTTCGCGGCGAGGCACCCCGCACTGCGCCAGTGAATGATGCCTTCCAGGCGGTCCTGCGGTGGCTGTTGGCGGCGGAGGCCGACCCGCGGTATTGGGCTGACCACCAGGGCACTGGGCGCAGGATGGGTTTGACGTTGTTTTACAGGGTCAATGGATCCTCGTACAAGATGACGGAGACTGAGTTTCTGCAGGCGTGCGAGGAGAACTCGTACAATTTCGACCCGCTCCTCAAAGTTCTACGTTTGTCTGGCAAGAAGGACGCCTACAAGACGAAAGGGTCTTCTGGCCCCGCGAAAGGCAGCGGCGGAGGTAGGAAACTGGTCGACGGACCCCGCGAGCTTGGAGAAGGTGAGTCGACCACAGGTTCGGCGACCGACATTGGTGGAGATTGCAAAGTTGGTGCCGCACACAAATTTCGGAGGGGTGGCAAGCCGGCCGCACTCGTCACTACCGCCGGGAACGTCGGTAAACGATCATCGAATGTTTTGGGACGGGTTGGAGGCGGTGCCCCCTCACCTGTCGGCTCTGAGGAGCCAGGTCAACGAAGTGGCGGCAGACATGTACGAGCCGACCACATGGGAGCAGCGCACATCACTGCTCAGAGGCTTTCAGTCGTTTTGCCTCGAAGCCGGACTGCCGCTCAACCTCGACGCGGTGCCGGTTTTCCTGGAGTCGAAGGAGCTCAAGTACTCTACCAAGGTGCAGTACGGCACCACACTGAAGTCCCTGCTCACGAGGGAGATAGCGGTGGTAGACGCGTACCTGGCGGGATGCCGGAAGCGCGAGGCAAAGGAGGAGGTGCGTCAGGCAGCACCGATCACACCAGCGGACATGCGGGCCCTGGTGGAAGGGGCCCCTTCGTGGGCCGACGCCACTGTGATGCAGTTGGCATGGATGACCGCGTCGCGGTGGGGGGAGGTGAAGGATCTCCGAGGGGAGAACCTGCTGCCACAACCGGACGGGTCGGTGATTTTGGACTGGGCAGCCATTCCAAAAACGGCAAAGATCAATCCATACCGCGCACATCGGTATGTGAAGTTGCAGGGTCCCATGGCCCAGGAGCTGCGAAAGTTGAAGGCTCAGGTCGGGGAGAGCGGCAAGCTGACTGGGCTCACGACGACACAAATCGCACAGCGTCTGCGCGAGCGCGGATACTCAGCACACTCCATCAAGCGAGGAGCTCTTCAGTCAGCGGCACAGCTGGCCCAAGAGCACGCACTTCCCCCACGCTCGGTGGTGGCTCTCGCGAAGCACGCAGACCCTCTGGATATACCGACGACGACGGTTCGCTACATGGGCCCAAAAACCACGGAACTCACGAATTCTCACGTGCTGCCGGGTTTACTCGACCGTTTGGTTTTTCGGAAGTGAGTCAGGCACCTTGGATGGAACCAGAGCGGCGCGTTGCTTTTGGAGGGCACACGGTCCTCCGCCGAGCCAACAAAAGTCGTGTTGCGAGTGAGGAGGAGCAACGTTCTCTCCCCCTCCAGAACGTGGACGTGCAGCCGCTGAACGTCGAAATCTTGCGGTCACGCATGAAGGCGTCGGCCAAGGCGCGGTTTGACGAGTTATGGCGTTTACTGTCATCGCCGGAACAGCTCGATCCAGGAACGTCACCGCTCAGGACGATTTTTGAAGGTGATGCCCGAGTCCTCATGTCGGCAGGCGTCTTGGTGCCGGCGTCTCCGAGACCTACGCGGGGTTGGTTCGTTCCTTTCTCGGTTGTGGAGGAGAAACCTTCGGGGCTACGTAGGAGGTTTATCGCGTGGCCGAAAGAGAAGAACCTGGAGGACTCCTACGAGGCTGACGTGCCGTTGGGTCACATTTCCGCATACCTCGACGTTGTGTGGGAGGAAGGCGCATCCAATTTGGACCTGAAAGCCTCGTTTTACCAGGTACCGCTGCCTGAGGAGGCGCGTTCGGCTTTTCGTTGCCGCCTCGACGACGGCACCCTCGTTGAGCTGGCGCGGCTGCCGATGGGGTATGCTGCGAGTCCGGAGCTTATGCAGTTGTTAACGTCGGCGTTGGCAGGAGTACCCACTGTGGTCGATGCCGCCTTCGCCTGCCCAACGGCATTGAAAATCCACGTCTGGATAGACAATGTGAGAATTGCTGGTCCCCTGAAGGCCGTGGAGGCCTGGACGCGGCGTGTGACACAGTTCGCGCGGGACGCCAGCGTCACGATTGGTGAGTCGGAGGTTGCGGTTGCGTCATATACATTCGTCGGGGTGTTTTTTGATCACGCAACTCATACTGTACGTTTAGGTGAAAAGACATGGCGCCATCTGCGGGAGACCCCTCCTTTCGAGGAGATGACGGTGGGTGATTTGGAGGTCTTTACATCCCGCGCCATCTATGGCGCGGCGGTGCTGGGCGTCCGCCTGTTTCGTAACTACATGTTTCTGAAGTTTGTGAGACGCCAGCTGAGCTCCCTCAATAGAGGTAAGATCACCACCAGGAGCAAGATCACCATGACGCCCTACATCCGGGGTTTTCGCGTCTGATTTGTTGGAGGTCTTGCACCGAAACGAGGCGCGTCTCGTGCATCGGCCGGGGGGTGAGCCGACAGCCACATTGGTGACGGATGCTTCGCTCCAGGGTTGGGGGGCGGTTCTTTTTCTGGGCGCCGGTCCAGTATTCATCACGGGGGCTCGGTGGGATTCTTCACCGCGGATGATCATGCAGGCTGAGGCGCGTGCGGTGCACCTGGGGCTGCTGGCTTTTCGAGAGCGCCTACCGAGACGATTGTTTGTATTGATCGACAACACATCAGTTCTGGGGGCGGTGCGACGCGGAATTTCGAAATCGGGAGCGCTTGCGGCCGAGCTACAGCAGGTGGACCAACTTCTCCGCGACGAGGGGATACACGTGGTTTTCCGGTACATTCGGTCTGAGGACAACGTCGCGGATTTTCCCTCACGCGAACGCGACATTCCCACGACGGCTTTGGCGAAGGGGTATAACTTGCGAAGGGGAGACAGGGACCCATGGGATCCTTAAAAAGA